AAAGGAGTCCAACATTGCAGCATGAAAACACATAGCAGTACATATTTTCTATCTGCTGGAGGGTATGAGACAATTTGCACTTATTATACAGACTGTTGGTCTTTAAAGCAACGACGCTCCATTCCTCATTTAATAGGAATAAGAATTTAAACATTCAAGATTTCAGAATGAGTAATGTCAGCGTTCTCAACATCTGTCCCAACAGTTTGTGCCCGTCTGTGCCAACCCATCCATTCTTCATACCATGGCACTTACTTCCTGCAGGTTGTCCTCTGCTATCAATTACACCCTCCTCTCCCTGCAAGAAGGATGCTCTTTGTCCCCCCCTGTTGCATACACAATCACACACAAGCGAGCGCGCAGGGACGCAGAGGGACAGACACCTGCAGAGTGTTTGTCACCTCTTCTGTTGGCATCTGCGACCGCACAGCATTATGGGAGAAACTGCCATCTGTTGTCGGCGAGGCTGGATTTGGAAGGGGGCAAGCCGGGCCAGTGCATCCTGCTGTTCTTTTCTGTTGGTCTTCTGTTGGTAGGTGTTGTTGTTCCTCTCTCTTGTATCGGTCTAACTAAGCCAAAATGATATGGCAAAAGGAGGAGAGTGGACTTAAATCTGCACCTGAACTAAAGCTATAAATGCAACAGCTTGTTTGCTGCTCGGATGTTTAAAGTAGCATCTTCCAGGAGCTCATACATGCAAGAAATTCAACATGTGCTAATTACACAAAAAGCAGTGTCCCATACAGAATGTTTTGGAGTCATTAAAACCGCATGCAAACGTTACCTTTTGTCAAATCCAATGCTGTCCTAATTATCTCTGAAGTGTTTACCCCTCTTCACAGGGAGACAGCACATGAATGCTTGATTGACATGACAGCGGCTGCAAAGTTTCTTCAATTATCCTGGCAAGGTTACGACTGCTGCCTCCTGATTCACAGCAGGTCTTTGTCATTCTGAACACAGAAATACTAAACTCTTTCCGCTGCTGTAACCCATGAATTTTAAGTCTGAAGAGATCTCAGGTGAAAGACGGACAGGGAGTCAGAGATTATTGTGGTTTTTAAAGCACGAGGAGTTAGCAGAGGGTGAGTTTCATTTTAATTTTCTGTTCTGTTAGTTAGTCTAATGTATTTTGTTTGGAAAGTCTGGAAAGTGAGAGGATACAGTTACATTAAGTTTCATACTGCAATTCATGGTCTCCTGAGTTTTAGAGATCACTTAGCAAAGTATCCTAACAAACCTTTAATCCATAGACTCTATATAGAATAGACGCCATCTGCCTCCTCGCTGGGTGAAGCCACCACAAGAGCAGCACCCTCTGGTGACGGGCTGCAGTATAGGTCATAAATCCTGCCTCCTCCAGCAATCCCTATGGAGCTGTGGACAAACTTTAGAAATTTATTACACAGAATATACATTTTTCTCCCCCCTGGTTGTGATGTTGACATGTAGTTACTGTTAGACTGGTTTGTGCTCAAGTCCTCTTTTTTTATGAAGCTCCATTTTTAAAAGTTATTAGGGGGTTCATTGTTTTCTATGATTGACACTTGATACAGCCTATGGGCGTACGAAGATTGTGTAGCTCGCCCGGGGGGATATGCTGTTTGAGCAGAGCATCATCGAAGCGACTCTCCCGCCGTACGTGTACAATGCTACTGCACAAGTGGTGATTCCAGGAAGTGGAGAAAATTCCGGAAATACCGAGTGAGAGGATTCAGCTTCAAATTCCTATAATGATGGAAGGCGGAGCCAAGTTGTCCATAGTATATACAGTCTATGCTTTAATTTATTGCTATTTAACTCTAAATGACTGACTGACTGAATGATTTTGATTAAATATTCATAAATGACACAGTGTCAGTTACTTGAGTTAGCATGTCAGCCCAACTGAATTGCACAAAACTCACCATTGATGGTTAAACTTCATCCACAGGTATCTCCTGTAATTGCCATAGCCGTCAAGTACCCTGTTTTGGCCTGGAACCTACTGTATTGTACCCCTCTTTCCTGCCATCTTCCCATAGTAGTATTCTCCCGTAAATCCCCAGAATCTCCTTCTCTGCCTCTCAACTGAACTCTGTCAATAGCGTGCTCTGAGGACCCACCAACTAGTAGTAACAAGTTGTCGTTTATGATCACACAGACGATGAATTACTTAAAAAGTATGATAACAAATATAAAATACTGGATCTATCATTTCACCTAAACAGGCTGTGGCTGCTGCATTCGATGATTGGCTTGCTTATATGTTTAACCATGAAGAGATCATTGGCACATACCATTTCCTTCATGGACACAGTACAATTAGATTTTTGTAAACTTAGATTGGTAAATAACAAACCTGGCCAGACCTCGGCACTTGTTAGACTACAGTAGTGTATTGAACAGGTGCCATTTTTCATTTCTCTACAACATTGTATCACCTGCTGAGTCCATGTGTATTCGTGAGTCATTAAGTGTTTCTTGTAGAGGTGCGGGTTTTAAACTTGACTCATGGATAAGTCTGATTTTACAAACACAGTTATTCTGGTCAGAGAAATAGAGTGGTGCTCTGTAACCTGCAGAATAAACTGAACAGTCTCGACAAGAGGGGGCAACACATGCCAACAGGACATCATAAAGCAGAAAAGATACTGATTACATCCAAAAATACTTCAAGAATACCACACTGGTGTTGAAAGTGTCACTCAAATTACCTGAATACAGTAAACATTGTTCCTGCCAAACATCAGCATCTTACTAGCGTTCTCTTGTTAGCACTTAGCTCCCTCCTTATAGCCCCACAGAGCTGTTTGCCTTACTTCAGGCTGTGTCTGAATTGAACAAACAAAAAAAGTTAGAATATATATATGCAGAACAGCTGTCCACATTAGTTATGCTGAGAAAATATATTCTGCTCATGTGTTTGTTTACAAAAAAAAAACAAGTGTGCTTGAAATAGAAATGGCTAGAGGGCTCAAATCCACAGTTGAGAATTAAAAGTACCTTTCACATTTTATGCTTTGACATCATGAAATTAAGAAGTCATTCCAGTCGTACATCCAAAAATGCACAGAATTTTCTGTCACTTGAGGCAACAGCTGCTTAGTGAGTCGCCTAATGTGTGTAGAAAATGTTAGTATCATAAAAAAATTAGGCGTTAAAAGCAGAAAATTTAAAGATGTTTTTGTCTTTATTTTCAAGAACTGCAACAGAGCAGAAAACAAATAATGGGAGAATCTTTTAAAGGGAACAAATAAATGTTATTAGAGAAGGAATGACACACTCAGACTGGCTAACAGAGATATTAACTCACATATTCCTCAAGGACATTCACTTGTGCAGGGCATTCATTTGGCTGGTTGGGTGGGCGGTTTGTAGGTCTGCTCATCCAGCCGGTCAGCGCATCACAGACAGATGTTCGTCCAGCCGAGCCTGCAGCGCCACAGGCAGTGTGTGCTCTAGAAAAACCCGCAGACCAGATGCTGCTACCTGGTGTCAAGTACGCCTGTCACTCTGTTATACTGGGCATGCTCCACTGACCATCACATGACCTCAAATCCAGTTTGGACAGTGTGTGCCGTCAATCATGCTGATGATGGAATGAAGAGGAAACAGATTATAGGGTTGACTGCTGTGTAGCTGACAGACTTCATTTGCTAGATTATTGAGAATAGTTCATCAGATAAAGTAGAGACGTGTGAAGTGCTGCTAAATGAGTCAGCGTTAAATTAAAGGTACATTCTGTAGAACTTAGCAGCATTTTCCCAAAGACACTGGGGGTATTATTCAGAAGTTTGTTTAAATTAGTTTATTTTGACTGGACTATCATAATTGTTTCATTTCAAGTGCCGCAAAAAAAGTCTTTAATATTATTGAAGCAGCAGGTCCTCATTCTAAAGGCTGACAAGTTGCATCCCTTTGTTTGTCTACAGTAGCTCAGAATAGACATATTAGCAGGAATCAAATGTGTTTTGTTAATTACTGAAAAAAAATGAAAAAATCTTTTTTTCTTTTATATGTAGACTTAATACTTAGTTGTGCGTAAAAACTGTTGGTTTTGTTTAGTAATAGAAAACTCATAATTGATTGAATTTCTTGTATCTGTTATAGATGAGTTATCTGAGTTACTTTTGGTTAGGGCGACCATATTCTGAATCCTATGGGGCGAAGTGGTGTGCTAAATTTCTAGGGTATCTTGGGTCGGGTATTTTTTACACGCTTCTAGCTCAGTAAGTCCACACTACACAAACTCAAAACTTCCATACAAAATCCCAGGCATTTAAAGGAGTTTATAAACTCCTTCAGACAGGCCGGACAAGGCTGGACAGCCCCCAAAAAAGAGGACATGTCCAGGTAAAAGAGGACATTTGGTCACCCTCATTTGTGTGCGCTGCACCTTTAAGACGAAGTGATGCTACAGCTTTGTTTTCAGACTGAAATATTGCACATTACAGAGTTATTATGGGTGAATGACAGCATCAAAACACACATCCTGCACACCATGACAGCCCTCAGAGTCACCTACTAAAGTAACATCAAAGATATAACCTAAAGTAACTTTCAGCCTCAGTTTCCTTCCAGTTTGGAACCACAAATACCTAAACCGTCACACACAGAAAACAGATTTTCAGTCCCTGTCTGCTCCCCCTGTCATTACAAACCCGAGGAAACTTTCGAAAGAGATTCAAAGACACTAAAGATTAAAGATTTATCTGATTCCTTTTAAGTCCCAGCAGTGTTTTTGTCTTTTTCTTCCTTGTCTAATGGTGTTTTTTGTTTTTGCAGCATGGTTGGAGCTTCTAACCCAGAACTGCCAAAGAGGCTGAAACTCCTCTAATGAGCAGCGGCGCCATAATGGCATCACTTCTTTTAAGCCTCAGAGAATGGGCAGTTTACTGTTATTTATATATTATATATTGCATAAAAAAAGAACTACAATGAAGTGTTATTGGACTACTACATCTTTGCAGCATCTTTTTATAGTCTGGTGAACTTCAAATTCAGTACTTTTAAAATTATTTCCCACTGTCTTATCTAAATCAAGGGTGTTCCCTTTATTGAATCCTGATGAAGCGATAGCACAGTTATTGTCTTGTACATCTGGTGTAACTGCCAGCTCTTTTTCTGCAGATATGCATCACTGAGAGCAAGCAAGCATTCCCTTTTTTTTCTTGAACAGGGTTGCACTTTTTGGATTTCACAGCCTCACACGCTCTGATCTGATGCTCGAGTTTCAATTAATCTTTGAATTCCAATAAGAGCTCATTGTCTCTGCTTTTATTAGCTGCTCTATCTCTTAGCTTCATCAGGCATGTCTCAGTGTTGCTGTGCATCAGTGGATGTCATCAGCTCCAGAGGCAGCAGAGAATCCTACTGCCCCCTAGTGAACAAAAATATTACAAACAGCAGGATTGATTGTGCAGTCATCAAGCAGACAATACCCTGGTACTCTGCCAGTGGCTCGATACCAAGATTTGTCATGGGCAGCGATGCACAACAATAGATCCTACTGATTGGAGTGGTCCACACTCCTGGGTATGACACGGGCCTACCGCCCGTTATCGAGTACCTGCTTTTTCTCTCTCCACTCAGAAGGCCCCTAATTCAGCAATCAATGCTGCTCATTTTAATAGCACCTCTGCTGCTACCCTGAGGAGAGAAGAGGAGAGGAGAAATCAGGGTGAGCTGGTGTCAAATCATTCTTCTGAGGTGAAGACCACAATCATTGCTTGACTGGATGCCTAAAAATAACGAGTATTGCAGTGGGGATTTAATGCAGTGACAGTGTTCGTTACTGGGATGAGGTTTCTGCTGGTTGAAGTTAAGTTTTCCCCAAGGTGAACAAATTGGGGACGCAGGCTGGTGGATTTGGCCAACATCTGATATGTTGATATTTCCAAACTCATTTTAGCTGGTATTGACAATGAGCGTGGTCTAGACCTTCTCCTTTTTTATTTTTATTTCTTTTCTTGGAAAGTGTCTTAGGATAACAACTGTTTTTGTGATTTGGCGCTATACAAATAAAATTTGATTTGATTTGATACTGATATCAACACTAGTAGTCGACTGATATCAGTTTTTCAACAGCTGGTGTTGATACCAATAATGAGAAAGCAGGTCAGCCAATATGTTACACTGATATCTCATAGATAGCATTTGACAATATTGCTGAACTAATAAGAAAAATGTAGACAGAAAAATATTTCACTCAGTAACATATTGTCACAGCTGCCTCTAACTAATAAAGTAGAAAAAATGTATATCTGTCTGTTTCCAACACTTCAACCACTCCTGTACGGCCAACATGCAAGTTGTCACTGCATGCACATAATTAATGCATCACCATTTTGAATGATAAATATGTCTGCAGAAATGTTCTTATCTGCCTTTACTGATACAATGCCAATAAAATTATGAATCTCTCCTCTAAATAATAGAACAGAATATGGGCTGATTTGACACTAAACAAACAAAGTGATATACAACCAAGATTATTTATGCAAATGACATCAAGCTTGAAGCGGAGAATCAAATGAAAGACTCAGAGAAAAACAATACAGAGATTTTTTGCAGGTTTTTGTATGACCTCCAGAAACAAACACAGATAGCTTTGTCATATCCGTTACCATGAAAGCTCTTCTCTAGTTTCCTTATTTCTGTTTTTAGATCACTTTCCTTTCAAGCCTCAAGATGCAACCAGAGCTGCAGCAGCCATAGGCTTCTCTGAAGACATCCTAAGTAAGCGCTCCAAATGACAAGACAGGCTAAACACCCCCTAACAAACGCTACACGACTGCAGAAAGCGCTTTAACAAAGGAGGTATGTAATGAACCCCAGGTGCCTTCCCCCAATATATCATCCTGAGTGAATTTGCCAACATCACTCTCCTTACCTCCGAGCATGGTAAATGAGAATTTATGCGCCCGCTACTTTATCATTCTTTACTTCTTTCACCCCCATGAGGTAGCTGCACCATGTGAGACAGATATTTTCACCAAAGGCAATATCCCCTCGTAGTAATTATATCAGAGCAAGAGAATGGCTCATTAACATATGCTAGGCATGTCAGGAATTTACAAGCGCCTTTTGTAGATGCCTCTCGTCAGTGTGCTGCTCCCATCCGTATGGTGTCTCCTTTGAGGATGCAACCTCCTCATTTCCATAGACGTCAATCAAGCGGTGCATGGTTTTTCAAAAAACACACACACACACGGCTTTCTGAAATGGCAATCATAAGGGACGGCTCAGTATTATGGAGAAAGTGTGTGAGCTTAAATGTGGGGGTGCGACTGTTTGTTTTCATGAAAACAAAGCGATGGGGGTAAAATTAGCTTGATGATATGTCATCAATGCAGAGTGGGTGGAAGGATTGTTTAAGAAGCGTACGTGTGTGTGTGAACAGATGCATGTAAAGCCTGACACCAGACACCAGACCGCCAGCAGACTACAGACAAGTCCTGAGGCCTCGGAGCTCCTGGCACTGCTGCTGCGACTCCAGTGCTTCAGGATCCAACATCTGCTACGTTCAAGGAGGCACGTACTGTTAGCCTCTCCCCCATTAGTTTACCACCAGCACAATGACCTATTTATAAGCCATGTTTATAGACAACCCTTAACAGGTTTTCTAATGAGCCCTAATCTAAAATAGCTGTGCTCTTTGTCTGCCTGACTCCATAGATCCGTCCATCTGAGACTAACCGGTGTAATGTTCGACTTGGCTATACGCCATTTTACTCTAATGGTACACAAACAAAATAATTCAGACACAAACAACATAATCAAAAGTGACCCAACACAGCCAAACAGGAGTTTACAGGAAACCTACAGAGTGAGACAGGATGGAAAGAAAAGACCGTGTTTGAATGAGTCAGATTTTTTCACTCCAGAAAATGTCACCGCAATGACTGAAGACCCAATGTCCATTTCCATCCCTGACCACTCTATCTGTCTCCCCCCTTCTCTCTTACCCTCCCTCTCTTATTCTTTGTCATTGCCTTTTCCCTTTAAGTGCACTTTCGCCCACACCACTTGGAAATTGATTGAAACAAAATGTCACAATTATGCCCTGTAGCTCGCCGCTTCAATTATTCATCAATTAGGGGCTAGGCTTCTTTTTTTCTCTCCTCCGAGCTGATTTTTCATTCAGTTTGCTCGAGATGTATGGCTCCCCTGCTGTTAACCAGTCCAAAGTCATTAGTTTCTGGGTTTGCAATTAAACCTGATGCCTTATGCATGAGGCTCCGACTCAGTAGACACACGCAGCAGCGGCCGCAGCAGCCAGTGAACGAGTGAGCAAGCTCTGGAGGCGTGGATGGGAAATTAATTTGCTAGAAATGAAGTTCTCTCTCTCTCTCTCTCTCTCTCTCTCTGTCTCTCTCTCTTCCTCCTGCCCTCCCTCTCTCTATCTCTCTGTTGTCTGGCAGGTTGGAACAGATGCTTCTGGCTGAGGATGGAGATAGAGACAGGGCAGTGATGAAGTCTCAGTACACCCTGAACACTAAAGTCAAGAGAATAGGATCTCATAGATTCACTCAGCCAAAATATGGGAAAGATGAATATCATAGTTTTCCAATTCTTGTAGTAACAGAATAAAATCACCAGTGTTTGACTTTTGACCTTTGGATACTCCTGATGGGAATAAAACAAAATCAACTACCCATCTGGTGCCCAATCCATGGAAAATACATGAGAGACTGCTTCTTTGAGTGACAAAACATGTCCTCTGGATGCCCTCACAGTATATAATTCAGTAAATAGTGCATGCTGAATCCTCTTCTAGTAGATAGTACATGAAAAAGTACCCTCTAGATGCCCTTCGGGTGTATGTATAAAATACAAAAAGGGGCCCTCTGGATGGCCATCCAATGCAAGACATTGTAAAATTGCTAATTTAGATACCCTTCCAGTGGGTATGATCTAACAAAGTACCCGTGATGTGCACTTTTGGTATATATGACAATGTAAGTACAAATGGGTAAAGTGTAAAAAGTGCCCACCAGATGCTATTCAAGTAGATACAACATTAAAATGTTCCTCTGGATGCCCTACCAGTGGATATAACAAAGAACTAGTGCCCCCTGGATCCACTTTTAGTATAAAGAGCATTAAAAGTGCCCCCTGGATGCCCTTCCAGTAGATACAACATTTGAAAAATGCCCTCCGGTTGCCCTACCAGTGGATATAACAAAGAACTAGTGCCCTCTGGATCCACTTTAAGTATAGAGAGCGTTAAAGTGCCCCTGTGGATGCCCTTCTTGTAGATTAAATGTTAAAAGGTTCAATGGATTAAACATAATACCCAATGGGTGCCTGATGCCAGCAAATTTGAGGTCAAAAGTGCTCTCTCTCTGAATATCCTTCCAGTGGTTAAAATGCAGTACCTTATTATTTAGGATAGCCCCTTGAGATTCATCATCTCATTTTCGAGGGGGTATCTAATAAATGTTAACTTGACATGGTGTGAGAGGCAAGTTCAGAAAGTCATTTGTCAACTGAAGTGTTGAATTAATTTATTGTTTGATATGATTTACATTTAACTGCCCCCTTTACAATAATGAAATCTGCACTGAAGTAAACAAACTTTCAAAATCATAAAACAAACTGATAATGTCACCCAAATTTAGCTGGTTAAAAATGTTTGAAATCAGGCCTAGGGCATCTACGTAAGTATTGCACATGCAAATCATCATACATTAAGTTATGGTTTGCAGAGGCGCTATCCAGCTGTAGCACAGGAATCTCTCTTACAGAGAGTTTAATAACAGGTATATCTGACAAACAGCATATTCTCCATGCTCTCAGTCTGAACTGAAGTCTGTATTGAGCGTGAAGACAGTGTCGGCTCTCGGCAGTGATGAATAGTTTCTCGTGTTCATTCAATGCCATCTAGTGACCACAGGGATAAATACAATCGGAGAGATTTGAAAAGACAAAAACCAGCCTAAACTGTAATTTAGCCATAAAACTACAATACGAAGTCCAGTTCTCTGCAAAACTCTATTATAAAAGTAGATTTGTGTCTTCAAACTAACGAAATAAGATGTGTTAGAGGTTGTTTTGATGGATTTTACCTCTGTGATGAACTTTTATTTCATTTCACTTATCTTGAAGCAACACCATAGTAAGGGTGTCCGTCTGTATTGAAGCATTTGTAGGAACACAGAAGAGCTCGCACTGGAATAGACTGAGAACTCCTCATGTTCATGTCCTGTAATAGACACAAACAACACAACAAATCCATCAGCTGCTGTTTATCTGTAGTTATCTCTCTCAGGTTAGTATTACAAATCCATTCATGAAACCCTTAACATGAACAACAGAATCATATAGTTTGGATTGAAGTCTCCAAGAGGGTCTTTGCACACCTTCTTTAAACTGATAAAATGCACACACTGCAGCCAGGTGGTGAGGAAGGGGCTCAGGCAGACCGCACAACAGCTGCTGTTAGCTAACAGCGTTACCAAGGATGGGAAGAGAGGGAGTGTCCTATTAACTGGAGACGACCTGTCCCTCTTCTCACGCAGGACAAATCTTGCAACCAGCTCCTTAGAAACAAAGATAAATAAATAAGATACAAACGGTCCAAACAATATTATAATCCAGTCTGCTGGCTTTTTACCTTTAATGTAAAGACCTGCACATCCTGCACTGACGACATGGGCTCACAGCGCACAAGCCTGTTATCTTCAAAGTAAAGCTCCTTCAGGTGCAGCTGGTGAAACTGAACAGAGGAATGTCCCATTTCATTCAGTGAAGATTGATTTCATATATGTTTAGACTTCACTGTAGCATGATGGGCTGATACTGTTTACCGTACCCCAACAGGAAACATGGACAGCTTGTTACCGGCCACATCCAGAACTTGGAGTTTAGGCAGTGTCTGAATTCCCTGCAGAAAATCAGTGTCCAGTTATTCATCTGCCACACTGAGGAGTAAAATAAAGTTTTTCAAGAGTGTTGACGTGTTGTTGCACACAATAGGATTGTTATGAGGCCATAGAGTCCTCATCAATTATTGTTAAGGCTCAAGGAAGGTGCACATTCCTCTAGCACCCAAGCAATATTGGTTTGAAGCATATTAAATGCATATGATGTTTACATTTCACTCTAAATATGTGGTGTGTGCAGTTTTTTTTTTCTTTGGGGGAATCCTGTCTTCAGACCTGTTTTCCCTTTTGTTATTGCTGCAGCTTCTCTCACTTGGATTGCCTGCAGGTGAGAGTGGCCACACCTGAATTCTGTGAGGCTGTGATTAAAGCTGCAGGTAGTGGAGCATATGAGCTGAGTGAAATCAGCAGTCTGAGAGATGTGTGGCACATTAGATGTAAGGCTGTGAGTACAACCAGTTTTGTTGGACTTATGTTGTACTAATATTTTATTTGTCTTCCTCTGTAGGGGATATGTAGCCTAATAAATGTTCTTCTCATTTTTGAGAATTCATATCTTGTTTGAGATTTTTTTCCTTCCACTCACACTACCTACCATCTGAGAATATAGCAAGGATTAATTCTACAGGAGAAAATTGATATATTTTGCAATGCAATACAAAAACCCCTCGAAATGCAATTAGAGACTAAGGTGAAAGGTAAACTGCAAGAACCTGTCAGCAGTAAACAGCAGAAACAATCTCTTGGGGTAGAATAATAGGATACATCACTCCATCAAAATAAAAAACAGGATGTATGATCACCCACCTCTGGCAGGCTGGTCAGCTTGTTTCTGGCTACATGCAGCTTTGTTAGCCCTTTACACTGGTACAGCTGCTGAGGCAGGTGAGTCAAGTTGTTGGAAGTCAGGTTTAAAACAGACAAACAGGTGAGATGACACACCTCAGCTGGGATCTCCTCCAGTTTGTTGTCCAGCACACTGAGATGTTCAAGTCTAGTCAAACTAATGAGAAAGAGTAATAGAAACTCAAATTAATCCTTTTGTGCACATGAATTACTTACGTGAGTACAGAAATGTGGATCTTTTACCATTTAATCTCTGCTGGAAGTCTCTGGATGTGGTTGTGGTTTAGATTGAGCACAACAAGCTTCTTTAAGCCTCCTGTGAAGCATTGATGACATATCGTCAAGCAAATGAAAATAAAGGTGCAGATTTTTGCTTTAGGTCATAATCATTGAACAGCAACAATGAGGACCCACCTATCACCTCATGTGGCACAGCTCTAATCCGGTTGCTGAACAAATACAGTTTCTTCAAGGACTCCAGATGGCCCAGAACAGCAGGGACCTCCTCTAAGGCATTATTTCCCAAATTCAGCTCCAACAGCTCACAGGCATTGCAAGAAGAAAACATATTTAATCACAAATCTGTGTTTAAACACTGAAGGATCTGTTTGAGTATTTTCCAGAGAGGCAAATGAGCTGTTAAAGAAAAAGACTCACATGTTGTAGAGAGAGCAGCTCTGCAGGCAGGGAGCTGATAAAGTTGTTATTCAGCTGGAGGACCGACAGTCTGGGTAACATAGACACACACTCTGGAACTTTCTTTAGTTTTCTTGAACTTAGTGTTAAAGAAGTTGTTTTGTCATTAAACGCCCTGATCACGAACTCTGCCATTTCGAACAGTCAGCGGGGAGATTTCTCGTTCATGTTGCCATAGAGACGAGGCGCTCTCTGACCTGTAGCTGAAGAATGGCTGCCGGATAGCGGCGCCCTCTAGTGATATTAGCTCAGTACTGCAGGATGTTTCTCTGCTCCTCTGGTTGTTGAAAGGTAAGTTACCCTCTTTTTTAGCTAGTTAATTTCTCACAAATATAACTTAATATGAACAGCATGTTCTCTGAGTTTATTAAGTATTACATATGTACATATTAAGTATATAAACAGATAACTTCTAAGCTTGCTTTAACTGTAAATGATGGCACACTTACAAAGGAGCCAACTCAGTTTTATTTTCTTGCTCTCACAACATAATAAAGCAATTTTTTTTAAAGTTTGTGGAATTTATGACTTTCTTCTTCAAATGTAGTCACTCAGTGTGCTTTATCTGCAACCCACATAAACTTGTATGCGTTTTGAATGTCAACTCATAACCCTACACCAAGTATTGCAGGATTTATTAAACCATATAGATATCATAAATTGTTAAGTACAGAACAATGTAATACTTCTAGAAGTATAACACACTAAAATGGTCAAATAAAAAAGATAAGAGTTGCATTTGTTTGCATAAGACTACCCCATGCTCTAAATTCACTTACTTTCTACTACTGGCATTTTCTGACATTGTTTCATGACATGCAAGAAAATTGAAGTGTCATATCTCCAGAATATGTAACTTTACGAGAACAAGGAAAATAAGTTTGCACTGAGTCAGTCAGTCATACTAAATCTAAGCTCTGGATCAAAAAAAACAAAAGTGTGGTGTCTTTTCCTTGCAGATAAAGTTAAAGAAATGAGCCCTGTGATTTAAATGCAACATAGATTCATTCTCAAATCTTTCCTGCATTTAAAAAAATTAAAATAAAGACAAAACAGCTCATTCATATTGTATTTGTTTATGTCAGACTGATATGATTGACAGGTTCAGTATATTTCAGGAATGCTGCAGGATGTCAACAAACCTCAACATGACTGAATTCATTTCTACTGCCCTGAAAAAGATCAAATGTGTCACATCTCATCACCAGTGCGTGTTGAATAGATCTCTGGGGGTCACTGGGGGCTTTGTAAAATCATCAGAAGATGTAGCTTCTTTCTGTGATATTTTCCATTCACTTGGTGATGTTAATTTTAACACAGAGAACACGCCCTATCTGCTAAACCCAATCTGAAAACTACAGTGTCTTCAATAAGAGGGTCAGTCTCATTCCAAAAACTGTATTTAGTCTGAGTGGACAGGACACTCTGAGCTGGATAAACTCTGGTTTATATCACTCTGAGACTGCGTCGACTCTCAGCTGTCCTCTGTATTAGCGGGGTCCTTTAACCGCTCCACTGAGTTATAGTGCTCTCCTAGTCCATAGGCGTGATGCATGTAGCTGCAAACAATAAGAAAGTGCATTTTAAAATCTTAATTTTAAACAGTTCTAGTTAATGAATGAATGACAGGAATACAGGTTTGTCTTTTAGCAGCTGTGTTAGTAATCTGAGTCCAAGCATACAGTTAACGTAGACCCAAATCTAACATTCGTCCCACGTGAGCATACACAGAACAGTCCCCTGTTTATCTTAATATGTTAGATTCACACATCTCCCTCTCAGAAAAAGTCACAGCTGCAGCTCAAATATTACATCTGTCTGTGATTGGTCATATGTTTTAAGTAGATAATCGGCTTTGTGCGACCAATCAGCTTCACCTTCTGAAGCCAGAGAAGTGAGATATACCAAGATATCTCCAACTCATTTCAGAGTAAAAGCCTCCATTTTCTCCTATCTGTTATCCACTCTTTAGCCTCAACTAGTTTTGCAAATATCATGTACATGAAAATGCAAATATTAAACTTGAGCACAAAACAAAACAGAGCGTAACTTACACAAGAGTGATTGGATCACTACTGAATTCTTCTCCTATCTTGATATTTGAGGAGTTTGCCTGAATCACTTCTATCGGCAGTTGAAGCACTTGAGTCAGAGCTCGCAGCTGTCAGGGATGACAATTAAAACAGTTCATGAAAAAGTGCTCAAAAACATAAGGGTTACAATTCCTACTTAATTTAAACAACTCACTTCCAGCTGTCCACCCCAAGCTGCTGTGTGCTCCACCTCACTGCAGTATTTCTCAAACTCATCTAGAAAGTTAAGCAAAAACACTCTCATTAAAACACATTTTATATAGACACTTACATAAAATATGACATCAAACTTTGCTGTTACCGGTTGTGTACATGTCACCAGTGTTGGGGTTTGTGAGGAAAGGCAGGAAGTCGTCAGCATGGTTTCTCATGTGCTCAGCAGTGCGGGATCGCAGCTCCTTCACACTCATGACTAACCCAGGCTGGAATAAGAGAGAGCAGAAGAACAGCAGGTGTAAGCATTTTCTGTTTTAATATTCAAACTACACCTTTGAGTATGAAAACATCAACCTGTGAGCGCTGTGTAAGCTGATCTTCAATGGCTCGGTACATGCAGTGACCATCAGACGAGATCTCCTTGATCTGGAGCTGCTGCTGAGCAAGTTTCTGAGCCAGAACCAAACCCTCCTGGTGCCTCACACCCTGCAGGTTTTGCACCTCCGCCTCTGCTATCCGGCTCTCTCTCTCCTTCTCCTGAGCGGCCTTTTTATCCTGAAGAGAAAAAATTTGATATTTTCCTGATCATGACCATCATATGTGAAAAATCTCAAGCATGAAAACTCCAGGAAATGAGGCTAATGTTTATTATCTTTAACACTGCACGCTGATGGTGTCAGAGTTAGTAACACTGCTGTGGGCAATAACAAACAGAACATGAACACAAACAATCCTATTTGAGGTGGAACCTGTTTCTCACCCTTCTCTTCTGAGCCTTTGTAACGCGTGGCTGTGTGACCTCTTGTTTTTCTTCAGCCTCAATCTTCAGATCCTCAACTCCATTAGACAACCCATCCACCTGAGACACATGAAGAATGAAATATTCATGCATGAGAATATTCAAGAACTGAGCACATATCATAAAATAAACTCAGGGATTGACGTGTAAAAGTAGATCTGGCACAGGAAGCTGTGTTAAAAACTGTAAACAGATGAGAGATGTGTTGGTAAATTTAGGGCAGATACCTTTGTTTCCACGGTGGGTTTGAGTTGTTTGATTTCCTCCTCGTGTTTCTGGCTGAGGTCGGCCTCTAGTTTGGCGATCTCCTCTGTCATCTGTTTCCTTCTTTTCTTGTCATTTTTGGGGATGGCATTTTTCATGCTCTGGATTTTAGCTGACAGTCAAACAAAGTGTGAGAAAAGTAAAGCTGCAGGTACAGAAAGGTGAACATTTTCAGCCAGCACAGATCTGAGAAGCAGCTGTTTTGTGCCCCCAGTGATTTTCCATTAAACGTAACCCAAAATCTACTACATTAAAAAGCTGGGCTGGTGCACCTGGATAGAGTATAACACAATTATTATTATTATTATAATGGTAACCTCTTTATGCTTGTAGCTGGGTTTTGCTATATTTCAATAACGTAAACATTAACATTGGATTCAAAGGAAGAGACGGCAAAGTCTAAATCTTATTTATGAAGTGAATTATTCTAAATCAAAGAAGAATTTCAGGTTAGTTACCCTGTAAGTCTTTCTTTTCTTTGCGGTGCTGCCTGGTCAGCTGCTCCTCTGGTGTTCCTGCAGCCTCCTCCTCCATGACAGGACGCTGCTCTAAGGCTTCACTCCAGTTTGAGACAAATGTAAGATATCAGAAACAAAAACAAACCAATAAGGTCCCTGTTTGGAGCACGAGTTTAAAAATGTGTCTCACACTACATGAAATGTGCTGATATCATGGATGGGTATCCATCATTGTTGTGGCCTTGCGCGGAAGTTACGAGGAAGAAAGGCGGAGCTTTACTCTTCTTCTTTGCTTTGAGATTTAAGCCATATTTTTCTTACACCGCCACCTGCTGGCTGCATTTTAATTAACATTCCTGTTTGGGGAGCGAGTTAATTGTTGTCTTACGTGTTCTTTGTGGGTTTTTAATGGCTGATAAATAAAATAAAATAAAATAAAATAAGCATCAATAGAAGAACAGAGTAACATTTAGAAAGGGGAAAACAATTACATCAGACAATGAGCAAAAATATTCAAAAAGATGCAGTAATAAATAGATGTACAAGTAATTAGATGCCTTTCTAGTTTTTGCTCATGCTAATGCAACTTGTGTTATTAGACAAAAGATCAAATATGGATCTAGAAAGAGAACATAAGTGACCTTTTTTATTTTTTTTATTTTTTCATGTTGGCATCTGTCAAAAAATCCTTTTTACACAACATTATGATACCTGACAGCTGCACAATGATTTCAAACTTTATGGTTGTGCACTTTGTAAAATGTGCTTGATTTGTTCATGTCTGCATTTATCCTGATAAATGTGAAAAATAGCTCTTAAAAAATAACAGTTTTAGAGTTTTCATGGAGTCAGATGGAAATACAACTGTACATCAGTCGCCGATAGATTAGTATGCAACACTGTAGTGGTGTGAGGGAATGCAATGACAAATGTTTAGATTTAAGTGCAAACCAAGGCAGTTTATAAAACTGACTTATATGACTTAAGAGCTGTTTGAAAGCCAGGGAGCCATTTAAGTCTCTAAAAACAAATACTTTCAATTGTGCACACAAGATATTAACTTCTCTGAACAAGAAAATAACTTGTGCAAACAATAGGTCTTGCAGGAACACAGAAGTTATCCTGTGAGATCAAGTTTCTTATTCTTTGTCTAGATGTCATAATGCAGGCCCATTTAACATTTACTTTTGTATTTTTTATGTGGTGCAAATGTTCTAATAAATATCTTTTTCCCTTTATATTCATTACATTGCAGATAACTAATAATGGTCACTGTAGGTTACACATAAAAGTATAGGAAGAATAAGAAAAGAATAACTTTATTAATCCCCGAAGGGAAATTCAATTGTCTGTTGTCCCACATAATGCGTCTCCAAAAAAGTTATCAACTATTTACACAAGAGTTATAAAGTCTGATGGCTGTGGGTACAAAAGATCTTCTGAATCTTTCTGTCCTGCAGCGAAGAGAGGAGCCATCCACCATTGGCCCTTTGGTCCATCAAGGTGTTATGAAGCGTTCTTTAGAATAGTCTCCACCTTCCTCAGTGTAGATCTCTCCACCACATCCTCCACTGAGTCCAGCTTGAGTCCTACCACAGAGCCAGCCTTTTTCACCAGTTTGTTAAGACGTCTTGCATCTTTGCGTTTGATGCTTCCTCCCCAGAAGACTGCAGCGTAGAACAGAACGCTGTAGACACCACAGACTGATAAAACATCTGCAGCATCTTACTACAGATGTCTACTGATCTGAGTCTTCTCAAGCAAAAGAGGTGGCTCTGCCCCTTTCTGTAGAAGAAGTCTATATTCTTAGACCAGTCCAACTTATTATCCAGATGTACACCTAGGTATTTATATGATATCACCACTTTGATGTCCACTCCACAGGTGTTCACAGCCTGAAGAGGGGGTTTGGATCTACAGAAGTCTATGACCATCTCCTTTGTCTTTGAGGTGTTGAGGATGAGGCAGTTTTTGTGATTCCGGTCACTGAAGGCTCTTATCAGATCTCTGTATTCAGCTTCTTGTCCATTTCTGATAACTTGCCACAATAGCGGTGTCATCTGAGTATTTCTGGATATGGCAGGACTCAGGGATATTCCGGCATAAAATTAATTTAGGGTCAAACACCATAACACTGAGTTAGACACCCCCTTGAGAGGTGAATGTTGCCAACCTTTCACCTCTCTAGTTATACCAGCTTCAGTAACGACCACATGATAGCAATACACAGCAGTCTACACAAACCTCAACCAAAACGCCACTCTATAGCCACAAATAATGCTCAGAACTGCACCTTGCTTCTTCAACAGTACATATAGGGTCCCAGCCATAGTACTAGCCACCAAACATCTTTTTAACTTTGCCTGATTTCCTTAGCAAAGAGACTAAACACAACTCACGTACTCTCTTCCAGCAGCTGCTTGTTTGTAGCGAGACCTGGGGCCGGTGTTGTTCATGACGGAGTCCAGCAGGGTGACGCAGCTGAAGGAAGAACATTTATGATCATTTCTTCATGAAAATGAAATCAGACCAAGACGATGGCAGAAGAACTACCGCGTTGCAGTGGAAAATGATTGATATGATGATCATAAATATTCTTCCTTGAGCTGCGTCACCCCGCTGGAGTCCGCCATGGACCCCAGGTCTCGCGACAAACAAGCGGCTGTTTGAAGAGAGTAGGTGAGTTGTGTTTAGTCTCTTCACTAAAGAAATTAGGCAAAGTTAAAAAGATGTTTGGTGGCTAGTACTGTGGCTGGGACCCTATATGTACTGTAGATGAAGTTAGGTGCTGTTCTGAGCATTATTTGTGGCTATAGAGTGGTGTTTTGGTTGAGATTTGTGCGTGGAGGCGTAGACCGTTGTGTATTGCTATCGTGCGGTCGTCACTAAAGTTGGTATAACTAGAGAAGCAAGCAGTCGGCAACATTCATCTCTTGAGGGGGTGTCTGACTCGGTGTTATGGTGTTTGACCCTAAATTAATTTTATGCCGGAATATCCCTTTAAAGAAAGTAAAATTCAAAATGCCTTTTTGTGGGTATTTAATGTGACGAATGAATTGTTTGAACTAGTCACTTCGTGATGTTTTACGTGTAATTTTACGTTTCTGGATGTGGAATTTGCCTATTAGACTGATCATACAAAGACACTTTTTTTCTGTGTACTCATTTCCTCTAAATCAAAGTGAAAATAAAGTTGGTTTATTTTATTAATAAAGTCGCATTATTTTGGCTGGAGCACATTCAACGCCAGGCAGCACCATCAGTAAACACTCAATCACTTTAAGGATATTTATGACATACGCGCTCGTGGAACTCGGACCGTCGGGCAGACGTGCTGTGTGACGTGGCACGGAGGGCGGAAGCGCTTGTTTGTGTTTTGGTTCTGAGGGGAAGTTGCGAGAAGAAAGAAAGGAGGAGACGTGACGGGATTGTTTCAAATTTTTTCTTGGTACCCCGAAACCAGCTCACCGTAGTGGCACAGGCTCCGTGTATACAGACTCCAGCCGTGGTAACTGAAGCTGTAAACACCGTCTGGCTTTCAGGTAGCGGACTTTTGTCTGAAGGTTTACCGTTTGCACTGTTAGCTAACTGAGGCTAACTGACTCCGGCTAACGATAGCTGAGGGAAAGGAGGCCCTTTTCAGGTCTTATCGAGTTCAGCAGGAACTCCACAGTGTCCGTGGGCTGTCATTAACAAATACTGGGTATATTAAAGTGGGTGACAGCTTACTGTTTGAAGGCTGACAGCTTCATGGGAGGAATCAGGTCAGAGGGTGGGATGCTAACAGAGCTCTCGAGCTAATGTCTGTGTTTGTTCATCTAAAGGTTAATACCAACATCTATTACCGACAACACTGCCACTTAACACAGCCATCAGCCTTTCAACCCGTTACATCCTTCTTTTGTAAGAATTTTGTAGTTTCTTGACAGTCCTCATCTGTCTGAGGAAACGCAGTTGTTTTTTTAACAGCAGCGCCCTTTCAAAATAAAATACCTTTATTTAAATTCAGTTTATTATTCTGCTGAATTGTTGATATGTCACCATAAGCTGCAGAGATATTGCAGAAAAAAGTGGGCCTGCTGTAAAGTGAACATCAGTTGAAATGGAACTCTCTCCTGATGTGACCATTAGACATCAGTTTGGCTGTTTGCTCTGGACACAGACTCTTCACCTGATCTAATGAGGCCCTATTATCTGATTTGTACACACAAAAACAACATCTAGTTCTGTACTATACTACTGTGACTTGTGTGTGCAGAGTATGATTGAAAAATACATACAAAAATGATTTTCGTTTTGCCACTCTTATTATATTGTATATGGGTATGGTACATATGAGAGATTTGAAGTGTTCTAGGTACATATATAAAGTGTATATGTAAGGTCTCTGTTTTAGTATTAATGATAAGTTGTATATTCATGCTAGACTTTGGAGCTTTGGTTACCTTTTGGCAACATCAGAAATTCTAGAGACATGTAAACGAATAGGAAGGAATGAGGGTAGGTACCGGTACATATAAGCTAAATAGCTTCAATCTACTCCTTTTCGATCGCCAAAAAAGTAGGGAATTCCTTGTCCAAAATTGTACTATATGTATTTATGATTGAAATAAACAATCTCAATCTCTTATAGAAAGAGAAGAGTATAATCTGTTAGTACCACTGCCCTGTATTGTATTACAGAGTATATGTGAGCACAATAAGGTCTCTGTATTTATGTCTGAAGGGTCAAAAGCTGACTGAGTGGGTGGTCGGGTGGTGCAGCATGGCAGTAATTCCTTTTATTATTATTATTATTGTCATTTTAATGGTTTTGGATAGTGATGCATTTAACTTTTCTGCTGGTATTCAATATTTTCAAACTTATTTTGGACAATACTGTTATTGATCCAAGCTCATCATTAGCCGGTGAATGCCTTTGTTTTCCACTTTGCTGAAAGGCTGCTGTTCAAGATCAACAAATGTATTGATGGTCTTGATAAGCTCCTTTTACTGCCAGGTGGTCGTTTACTCTATGTTGTACACCTAAGCTTTGTTGAACGACTAAATTAAAGGTTGATGACAGTTTTTTTGTAGGCACAGTCCTTTTCTGGTCTTCTTAGAAATTCTTGGTTACGTTTAAAATGACTGAGATGGTAGCGTTAAAGGAGTTTTACTTTGCGCAGTCTGTTTTACTTGACAAACTTCTATTTAGCCAACATTTTGAAGTGCATTGTTGGTACATCTAAGCTTTTATGTTGAAAACAAATACTGTGATACCGGCAACCCATCTGCAGAGCATGGTAGGCTGCTGTCACAACAGCATGAGATGTCACCTCACCCTACCAAGCAGGATACCAGTCTGCTGTTGAGGTGAAGCTGCTGCTTTTTCCAGCACTGACCTGCAGAGCGTCTCGTGCCAATGCAGGGTGACAGCTTGTGACAAGGCCAAACCACCAAACACAAAACTTAAAGTGTCAGACATAAAGACCTTATATTGTATTTGGTGGAAGAAGTAGTGCTGTTTTTGATTGATGGAAATAAAAGTTAAAGTTAAGATATGTTCAAAGTCTGACAGTCTGAACCCTTCCTGCTGCAACTAAGGAGGTCCCCCTGATCCTAGTCCAGTAAAAGACTCAATCCAACACATTTTGTCCATAAAGATCTTCAGATGACTTCAAAGCTACAAAGATTATATGCTTCTGCTTGAGTTGTGTGCAGTCCATCTTAACAAATAAGGACAGGGTGTGAATTCACCTTCTTTCTCAGGCAAACAAGTTAAGCGTAGATGCTATGAGTGATGCAAACTCAGGCTGTTAAGTGCTCCAGATTATTTGGCTCAGCAAAACTGGCCTTTTGGCCCCAAATGCCACCTAGAGTTGTTTTTGGGAGCCAAGTTTTTTTGCAACAGACACATTCTTCCCACCTCAGAGTAGATACTGTCTGCTGCCACAGTGCTGTGTCCCTGCAGTGGAGTCAAGTGATATGAAAATAAGAAAATATGAACAGATAAACGGAAGTGTGCAGTACCAAAACTGCTAGGGGATTCCTCACTGCAACACACCTACTTATCAGCCATAAGTACTGGCAGAAATTTTCAAACACGTCAATATGATAATTAACTTTCTAGGATAATATCTGCTGATATTTTGTTGTTAATGTTGTGCATCCCTGAGAGAGGGATAAAATTCTTGAACCATGCTCAGGACAAATTCTTGCTTAATAACTCAAAAACAGTGATTATCTCCAACAACAGTCATTTGTTGAACACAAATTGTCAACAGGCCAGTCCTAAACAAGTTACAGAGAAATGCACAGAAGAATGCTTCTTGGCAGAGGCTCTTGCAGTTGTAACATCCTCCATTAATGTGAATGGATGAAACTCTTCAGCCTGTTGTGGTGTCTTTGACAAGGCTTCTTTAGCTCTTTATTATAACTGTATGTGGTTTTGGTGGTCTGCCTTTACCTCCTGAGGTCATTTAAGCTGAAACTGTCCCACAACTGTGAAAAATTGTCTCAGCAAAAAACAAACATGCCTGAAGGAGAGTTTTGCTTGCATTTAAGACTGTCATCATATAGTATAGATAGTCTGTTGCTGTATGCTAAGTAACTGAAAATAGTTTAACTTGGGGGAAAAAGATATTATTTTCATTGTAATTATAATCAATGAACTGTTCAGTTGATTTACTACATTTTTATGGTGTTGCTGTTGACAAACTTAATGAAGCTAACCTTTTGTTGCAGTATTCCTAAGTATCTTACTGTCTTACAAATTGGTTTCTCATGAACTTGAAATCTGCAGGAAGACCAAAAGAGTGATACTGTGGCATTTCAATTCCAAGTAAAAAAAACGTACAAATGTTCTTTTAAATTATTTCCCTTTTTTCCCCTTTGCTTTTTTTGCAGCAGGAGTTCTGATAGTTGGTTTGGCCCACAGAACCCCCAGCGTATCTGACTAGGTCATGGCCAGTCGGGGAGGAGCTACGAGACCCAACGGACCCAATGCAGGGAACAAGATCTGTCAGTTTAAGCTGGTGCTGTTGGGGGAGTCGGCTGTAGGGAAGTCCAGCTTAGTGCTCCGCTTTGTCAAGGGTCAGTTCCACGAATTCCAGGAGAGCACAATAGGAGGTGAGTTTAGTATCAACACATACATGGCTCGCTTTAATGAGCTGCCAGTTGTTTGTAGATCAAACAGGGTTGTTAGTGAATGCATCTGCACGAAGCAAACTAGGTATGTAACTGTTTTCACACCATCAGACTAAATTCTTCAAACATATGAGTAAAGACCCCAATATCAAAGCGATTTGCAAAAGTATGACAGTTTGTTTCATTATAGACCTTCTATAACCTGATATTGTACATTAAAAAACATAATACTTTGTTTTGGTAAACTGTATTCAGGGTTTTTCCTGGCTCAAATTGAGGCAGAGGTGGCACCATCCTGACCATGCGCCATGACGTGCATGTATTTGTAAATTCAACTGACTCACATTTTTTACAGGCAACATACTTTAAGTTAAGAGTTCAAAAAAAGAGTGTGACCATTATCATGTTAAAGCATTCATTTATTAAAACTATATACATACACAAATCAGCTGGCAACTTTAAATTGAAAGTACACTTCATCCACACATCTCACAACCAGACAGAACATTTCAGCCTCCTCTCTTTCATTCTGTAGAACCTCCTCATGCACTCCTTGTAGTCCAAGGCCTCCTGGTCTGGTCCATCAACGGCCACCTTACAACAGACATCCAAGTGCCTCTCCTTCAGTCTGTTCCGCAGAGGTGTCTTCACCTTAAACAAAACAATTCATCATGCATTAAGTATTTTTGTTTTTATTCTGATACAGACATGAAGAGTGATAGTGTTTTAATCATATATTATATATATGTATACGCTGGAGTGTCCTCCCTAAAAAAACGACAACCGATTATTGCTTAAACTATCTAAACTATGTTATTTTAGTTTTTGTAACTTTATTAGTTGAGTGTTTTTAGGTACTACCATCTTTAATATATTCTCCTTCTCTTCTGCTGCTTTGTGAATGGCTGTCACCTCATGTCTTTTTAATGTGTCCAGCCTGTAGTTGGTTGATGGCTGTCTCACTAAGGAGGCAGCAATTGCCTGCTGTGTTGGGGCACAGTGCTTTTGGCATCAATAGCAGTGCATGCCTTCCTCAGTATGCCTGAGCCAGGTAAATTGATTGAGCCACTGCTTGTCAAAGCCACTGGCTCTGTGTTTTTGAGAAGATCTAGACAGAGGAATAAAAACCACGTACACGTTGGTTTTGCGTTGTTATGCTCCTAATTGGAAACTAATTAATTAATTACCCTCACCTCGCCGACTCGTCCTGTCCTGCATTCTGACCCTCGCGATCACCAGTCCCTTGTGAAGTACTTTCAGACCTGACACAAATGTCCACGTTGTCCCCACCATGAGTTATAGCATTTTAACTGCCTGTTACGTTTTTTCTCTGCTGTGTTTCACCTGGACTCTTGACTTTCCTCCTCGCGAGGTCGCTTTTTAAAGTACTGGCTGATTTAGCCTGTCATATCTGCAACGCTAAAAAAACGGAGGAAACTTTTTTTTTTTAATAAACACGTCATGCTTGGATGCAAAAAAGACAAGCAGTATTTACCTGTTTGTACCAGCCGCCGGGGAAAATCAGGTCGCCGATAGCACCAACTAGCGGGAAAAAAACTTGAAAAAACATGATTCGATCCGTTTCTTCTTCGGTAGATGCTTCAGGTCTTTCCGGTGCACTGCTGTTGATATAGCGCCTTTATAGTGGCGCAACGCTGCAACTGCAGTTAAGATACGTTGCTGCTGCAGAGGGACATCATACACTCAATCAACACAGCTGGAGCTTTACGCTGTGTTGAGCGAAATCAATCGCTCTGGCTGGGGGCGGCACAAAATTAGGTGGAGGCGGCCGCCACGCAATTTTGAACGCAGGAAAAACCCTGTGTATTTATAACCTTTTATACATGATCTGTAACCATTTTTATTGTAAATATTTAGCACGATAATCCTCCCCTCCTTTCTTTCAGCTGCCTTCCTCACCCAGACAGTGTGTCTAGATGACACAACAGTGAAGTTTGAAATCTGGGACACTGCAGGTCAGGAGCGCTACCACAGTTTGGCGCCAATGTATTACAGAGGAGCGCAGGCCGCCATCGTCGTCTATGATATCACAAACGAGGCAAGTTCATCTATCAGTGAACGAGTTTATAGAACTTAACTCTCACTTTAGATTGTAAAAATATTACCAAGCATGTTCAAACTCTCAATAGTTTTAGCTCAAAAACTCATGTTCATATTTTTCTGTAAGATTGTCCTATCAAATGGTGAACATCTTTGAAACCACCAGTCATGTGATGGTTTAACATGTGGCTTTGTTTTCTCTGAACAGGAGTCCTTTGCTCGGGCAAAGAACTGGGTAAAGGAGCTTCAAAGACAAGCTAGCCCTAATATAGTCATCGCTCTGTCAGGCAACAAGGCCGACCTCGCCAACAAGAGGGCTGTTGACTTCCAGGTCAGAGCAAACCCACACACTTTGGTTTGGTTTTATGTGGTCACATCACATGCATGAGCTGTGGGTCGGTAGAGCAGATGCAGAAGGCCCCAAGTTCAACCCTCAACCTGCTAACATTCGTTGCATGTCACTCCGGATTTCCCTTCTTCTGCATTTACTCTCAATAATCAGCTGACCTGTGCAGTTGGTCCTGTTAGTCTTAGCTGTCAAGACTCTGTAAATCTCAATAACACTCATGTCTTCCTGTCCTCTCTTCCCTGAAGATGTGTGTGTAAGAAATGACAACTAAACAATGTTTACATTTTGTCAACAGGACGCCCAGTCCTACGCAGATGACAACAGTTTACTTTTCATGGAGACATCAGCCAAGACTTCTATGAATGTGAATGAAATATTTATGGCAATTGGTGGGTAGTATTTACATTCTATCAGAATCAAAGTTCTGTATGTTACTCTCTGTATGTACCATTTTTATCTTTCTAGAACTGGATTTTTAGGCTGTTTGATGAAAGTTACACAATTCCATATTTGCATTTCTGCATCCTCCAAATATAAATTCCTGTGGTTTTGTTTATATTTGTCTGATTTTATTTTCCCTTTAGCAAAGAGATTGCCGAAGAGCGAGCCCCAGGCCCCAGGAGCCACCAGTGCACGGAACCGAGGAGTGGACCTGACAGAAGCTGCTCAGCCAGCCAAGGCTCCGTGCTGCAGTAACTAACGTGAAGAACACCCCCTCCAACCTGCCTGTATAGCAGTAACTAATGCGGCTGATGCCCTGAATGCCACTGCAGTTACTAATGCAATGTGTTGTACTCTTTATCTCCAGTTTTCTCACTTGCAAATCAGGAAAAGATTTCCTCTCTTCCCTCCCTCCTTTTTTTGTCAAGGTCAAATCCAACACACTTCACATAGCCCTGTGTCTTTGCCTCCATCCTGGTTTCTGCTGCTACCAGATTTAGCCTCCAAACTATTCAGTCATCTATTTCTGCCACCCAGCTTATTCCATCTGTCAATACTTATTGATAGATAATCGATGGCAGATATAAAAGGCGTCTGTGCACCCTGCCTTCCACCGTGTAGATTTGATTTCTTTTAGAGGGAACGGTCACTTCTCTTTTTTGGTATAGCTTAAGACTTTACTACTGCATTTCTAAAACAAAAACAAAAAAAAAACCATCTTGTTTTGTTCTTTTTAAAGATTTTTGGTTAACTCCAGGTTGCTATGATTTTGTCAAAACAGATGGATGCACATACTGGAGAACTCACAAGGCCTAAAATAGACTAAATGAAATACTGACTATTGGTCTGCAGGAGCACAGAACATCTAGAAGACAACAGGAGCATGATCTTTTGAATCTGAGAATGAGGACAAGCAGAGAGGGAACAAGAGAGACACCCCACTCAGACCCTTTTTATCTTCAAGTTGAGTAAACTTTTGTTTACTGTTCTCCTGTTTGATTATCTCCCTCTCTGGTCTTTACCCCCCTGGTGTTTTTCCCCCAAAGTAGCACTGGTGTACTTCCTCTTCAATCACCTTTAAGGTTCTATTTTGGGCCCATGTCTGCTCCTAGCTATCCCTAGTGGCATTGTGCAATTTTTCACAGTATTTCTTTGTGACTTGAGTGTCTGCAGGGATGAAATGCAATGCAGCAAAACACCCTGAATCCAACCATTTATGTCCACAACAGGCATCAACCTTCTGACGCAGTTTCACTCCTGCAGATGATCCCTTTGTTGAATATTTCTTTTCTGTCTTTGGATTCCTTGATCAGGCAGATTGTCTTAATGTTTCATTGTTTTTGGTTTCCACCTGGTGATAAGCAAAGGTGAAGGTAGCAAGTTGCAATATGTGAATCTGCTTTTTAATCACCGTTCTCATTCATAATTACTCTGGTTTTTTTTTTTTTTTGTGTTTTTTTTTTTTTGTTGTTGTTGTTTTCTCGATTAGGAAGTGCTTTAGACACAGTTGTGTGTCACTGTGTATAAACAGGGCCTGGGCTGGCTGGCTGATGACAGATTTCATCCACAGACTCACTCACACGTGCCCATTTATGTATGTGTGTCTGAGCTGACACACATTTGCACATCAACACACACAAACACACACACACCCCATCAACATCTTGGCTCTTAAACCCTGAGAGACATATACATCATTGTACAGAAACACACACAGTCTGTTACACCGCTTCCTTACATACTGGTATGTTTAGCACGTACACACTTTTTTTCCTACAGCATTAATGACATTCGCACACACACACGCACGCACACAAACATACACACAGGTCATCTGAATAACTTTCCACAGGTTTGTCTTACTCATGCCTTGCACTAACAATGCTCATGAATATATCTTGTCATATTTACAGCCGGTGTGATATAAATATATAAATATATATAAATATAAATATATAAATAATATACTGTAAATAGGGTGTTGCAGTTTAGTCTACTTTTTTTTTTTTTTTGATTTTCCAGTGACAGGACTAATGCTTGCTAGGGAGTTGTCTAGATAATCATAGAAAAACTGTACAGTTAGCAGTGGAAAAACAGCTACAATCTGGGTTTGGAGTTTTGTCGCTGTCCTTTTTTTTTCACAAGAATGGTTAAATTATAATCAGTGGTGGTCTTTATAAATGTATGTAGTGTTATTAACAAAAAAATTGAGATTGCATTTATTTAGTCGTCTGTCTTGTACCTTTTTTCTCAAATGAGAGAATTATCTCTCAACATTTTGGTTTCTATTTTTTAACATAACCTCTTTCTTGCATTTCACTAATTCTTTTGATTTTTTGGTAGTGGTGGTTTTCAGGCCTCGATGCCTCGGTTATAAAAGCTCCAAAGGAGTCAGACACAAAACAGGAGAGTTAAACCGACTGTCTGCCCCCGTCATAACATCTCAGTTACCTTGTGAAAGATATCGTAGGAATAGAGTAACAACTATCAGCTGGCACAATGGTGATTCATGAATAAATGAATTAACACATAATGAGGATGTAAATTGTATGCTTTTTTGCAGTGAACATTTAATTACAGCCATAAAAAAGAAGACATTTAAATGCAAGCATTTTACAGTACTGTTATGTAATGACCAAATAAATACTGAAATAAATTTGATCATTTATTATTGTAATATTCTGTGTGGATGTGTGTATGAGTGTGTGGAAATTACATTTACTCAGAAATTTCACACAAAGACTCTATTACAGCCAAACAGCTTTTTTTCTGGCACTTTTGGTTGTGAAGTATAACAAATATTTCCCACTTTGACATAAAAATTGAGCTTTTCTCCCCTCGATAAGTTTGACTGAATGTGAATCTCATACAGAGACATTAGATTCCCTGTAGTCTGAGATATTTGGTGTCTTTATTAGTTCCACTAGCTCTATCACATTACATTGAACTGCTACGAACAGCCAGTCTGTTTGTCCTGAGATAAAGCTCTGCCAAGAAAGCCACATTTTTCTCTCCCATTCGACCTTGAAATTTTCCTCCAAACGCTTGCATTTTGTGACCTCTCCTCTCAGAATTAGAGAGGAATCGGCCTATCCCACCGAGTCCCCTAGCGGAGGAAAATAGGCCTACAGTGAGAAACTGAAAATAAGGATGAGCGCCATGTCTGATCCTCCGCTTGTGGAATAGAGCTGACGGCAGAGCGAATATTTCCCGGGCCGGGGGTCCCGTCGGGGGTTCGGTGTGAGTCATGGCGGACAGCGCTGGGATTCAGCAAGGTTCGCCGGCCATCGGGGCTTCAGGCCTTGTTCCGGCCGCTCCTGGAGCCGGGGGCACGGAGGGCTCAGGCGCCGCTGGAGGATCCGCACGTATCGCCGTGAAGAAGGCGCAACTCCGCTCCTCACCCCGGCCAAAGAAACTGGAAAAACTCGGAGTGTACTCATCCTGCAAAGTATGTTGCATTTGCAAATAGCTGTCAATGTGAGCACCGCTGCTTAGGAGGGTTTATTCTCTAAAAACGGTATTTCCTGGGCTTGGTTGCAATAGTTTACAATATGCAAGCGCAGCAAAGGAAGCCATTGCCGCACTTCATTTTTTTCATTTTGCATGCACGAGCCAATAATTGAAAAACTGTATTAATAATCTATTAAATAAAAGCGTAATTTATACATATGGGCTGCATAGAAGGGGAACTTCCAGCTGCAAGCTTTGCACTGTTCGTACAATGTTACTATGTTGTGTCGAGGTGGGGGGTTGGTGAACGTAAACAGTGGCTTGGCGCTGGTACTTGGGAGTAGCTGGCTGTGTGCACAAGGGCTGCATCCCAGTGTCTGTGGGTGAGTGTGCGGGGTCTCAGCTCTCCCCGCGGACATGCTCCGGTGTCTCCGTGCCGTCTGTGGGCACAAGGCGATCCACAGAGAGGATTTTATGTGTTTTTACAGTGTATCATCCGCAGAGAGGGACAGGGTCTTTGTTTTTGACAGGGTGACAGCTGCTGGGGGGGCGGAGTTTGTTGTTGTTTCAACGCGCATGCTCAGTGCGGTAGCTCCAGCTGACGGTGACAGGCCTCCTCACCCCACCTCACCTCCCTGCATTTTTACAGAGTCAGTCATAATAAACGAGAATTTAAACTGCATCGACGGTTGTAGCACTTTTAAAACTGCCCAGGTGAACTGTCAGGAGACATATAATATTCCAGCATTTGTCTTATAAAAAGTAATTAGATCACAAAAAAATGCAAATAGAAAATAAATTTATTGAGAAATAAGGTGCCTCTCTCAATGATATTTTATTATTCTGTATTGAGTTTCAGTGTTATTGCTGGTAATTTAGCCAGTTTGACCCACTCTCACCTTTACTCACATCTCTACTAATTCATAACCTGTTTTCTGCCCTAGGCTGAGGGAGCCTGTAAGTGTAACGGCTGGAAAAGTCAGAACCCCCCTCCTACACCTCCACGAACAGACCAGCAGTCCAACACAGTCAACCTGCAGGAGCCCTGCCGGAGCTGCTCTCACACTCTGGGTACAGCAGCTGTTGTGTGTTTTAACGCTCCTGTGAGGAGATTATGATTGGTTATGTAACAGTGAAGCATCTCTATGATGTGCAAAAGCAAATGACACTATTGATGACAAGATTGACAATTGTTATACTGTCATTTTTGATACCTGTCACTGCATCAAACAGCCCTGGTTGATATTCCTAATGCAAATACTGATGATAAATGATGAATTTCCACTATAAAAGACAACAAGAGAGAAAATCAACAACGATACAAGAGTTATCTCTTTTTATCACAGGGGTTGCCAAAGTCAACATAGATAACAAGTTCCTCACAGGAGCTCTAATATTTGTTCCATTAAATGACAATGAACTGTTTGTTTCCATTTTTAAAAAGGACAGTAGATTAACATCACAACTATTTTAATATTTGTCTTATCCTTGCATTAGGTGATCATGTGACCCATCTCGAAAATGTTTCTGAAGAGGAAATGAACAGACTTCTTGGTATTGTCTTGGATGTGGAGTATCTCTACACTTGTGTTCACAAAGAGGAGGATGCAGACACCAAACAGGTCTACTTTTCCCTCTTCAAGGTGAGCTTCTGCTTACACAGTTAAAAAAATATCCAGACACAGGATTGTAAAATACACTTTATGCACAAGTGAGCTCACTGCTATTCTTCTTATCTCTTCAGCTACTGAGAAAATCCATCCTGCAGATGGGCAAACCAATGCTTGAAGCCCAGGAGAGTCCTCCATTTGAAAAACCCAGTATTGAGCAGGTAACTATAAGATAGTATCAGTCTCAGCTATAACATGAAAGCATCACAATGCCAGAAGTGATAGTTTAGTTTGTCCATACTACTGCTTACGTATTTTCTCTTGTCCAAACAGGGAGTTAACAACTTTGTGCAGTACAAGTTCAGCCACCTCCCATCCAAAGAGCGCCAAACCATCATGGAGCTAGCTAAGATGTTCCTCAACCAGATCAACTACTGGCAGCTGGAGACACCCTCCCAGAGACGACAGAGGGTTCCCAACGATGACGCCGCCGGATACAAAGCCAACTACACGAGGTAGAGGCCCTTCAGACCTCCTATTAACATGAACCAAATGTGTTTACAGTCAGAGTGTGTGATTTGTGTTCCTTCTTCGCTGCAGATGGCTCTGCTACTGCAACGTGCCTCAGTTCTGCGACAGCCTCCCTCGGTATGAGACCACTCAGATTTTCGGCCGGACGTTGTTACGGTCAGTGTTCACTGTGATGAGGAAACAGCTGCTGGAGCAGGCCAGACAGGAAAAGGACAAGCTGCCACCTGAGAAACGCACACTCATCCTCACACACTTTCCAAAGTAAGAAAACAAACAAAAAGTGCAGATGCTTGGACTAATGGGTTTAGAAAATTACATACTTAAACTTTAATGGCATTTGCAGAACAGTAAAAACACTCACACCTGTGATACATCACCCTCAGTATAGAAGTCACACATGCATGTTTAACGACCTTTTATACTACAATGAAGCTGTGGTTGCTTTCCTTGGCTCAGGTTCCTGTCTATGCTGGAGGAGGAGGTTTACAGTCACAGCTCACCCATCTGGAGCCAAGACTTTTTGGCAGGAGCATCAGGAGGGCAGATTCCAATCCACACAGGTAACGTTCACCCTTACGAGCCCAGCTGAAGAAACAAATACCTGCAGACTCGACTTTTGGACGAGTTTAAGCTGATGAAAGAAATATAACCTAATATGACTTTATTTTCATGTTTGTTGGGAAATAGTCATTAGTGCGCCCCCAGTGGCCAGGCCACTCTACTACAGCACCAGCCCTGTGTCAGTGGATCCCTCCACCTGTGGCAGCGTCAGTCCTGCCAGAAAAACAGCATCTGTACTGGAGCCAAACCCAGGTATGACAGGTACACCTGTAATTATTCAAAGGTTACACTATTACGTAATACTAGCCTTGTAGTTTTTATTGTCAGTGGAGCTAGTTCAGGCACGCAACTAAGGCTTCACTGATTTCACTCTCCACGCACACTTTTCTGTTTCATGTAGCTATGATGTGACTTTGAATGATTTAGTAACAGCTTGTTCCCAAACACTTACAGAGTGTCGTTGAAAGGAGAGGTGATGAAACAGTGTCCTGAGTTATTTTTAAACATGGCATCAAATTCAGAGTGAGCATATGAGATTGATTTTCTCAGCTTTAGCACTAGATACGTCATCGTTGGGCTATTTTTTATCACATGTAGAGGTTTCAATGTGTTGTAAATCACCACATTCCTCTTATTCACTCTGTTGGTTATATTTTTCAACTTGTGACACTGTGTGAAATTGCCACCCTAAATAATAACTTCTTTTTGTGTTTATGTTTGTGTTTTGCAGTTGGAGAGAAACGAAAGCCCTCAGAGCCTCTCAACCATGAAGAAAACAAGAGACCGAGAGTGGTGGGTGACATCCCCATGGAACTCATCAATGAAGTCATGGCAACCATTGCCGACCCAGCTGCCATTCCAGAGGTGAACAGATGTTTTTGTTTGGGAAGCCAATAGCATGAAATCCAATACGATTTGCTTTTAATAGAAAACATCGCACCTGATCAATCAGCAAAAAACATGAATATTTTTAACTCTGAGGTTCTGAACAGATGGTAATTATTATATGCCTGCTCCTCGTGCAGACCAGTCTGCTGTCTGCCCACTCTGCACGTGATGAAGCCGCTCGTCTGGAGGAGCGCAGGGGCGTGATTGAATTCCATGTCATCGGTAACTCCCTGAACCAAAAACCCAACAAGAGGATCCTGATGTGGCTCGTTGGCCTGCAGAACGTTTTCTCCCACCAGCTTCCCCGCATGCCCAAAGAGTACATCACACGGCTGGTCTTTGATCCGTGAGTGTCGCAGCACTTTGTCCTGATAATGCACAGCATGATGGCAGAAACACAACACATCTCTGTTTCTTTGTTGACAGGAAGCACAAGACGTTGTCACTGATCAAAGATGGCCGTGTGATTGGAGGGATCTGCTTCCGGATGTTCCCGTCGCAGGGTTTTACAGAAATTGTGTTCTGTGCTGTGACCTCCAACGAACAGGTCAAGGTGAGAGTGTCTTCCTTTCCCAGTTTGGTTTGTTTCTGCACCCTGGATGTTCAGATGTTAACCTTTAGCACGTGTTGCTTGTAGGGATACGGGACTCATTTGATGAACCACCTGAAGGAGTATCACATAAAGCATGAAATTCTCAACTTCCTCACATACGCAGACGAGTATGCCATCGGCTACTTTAAGAAACAGGTGATTCAAGAACTTGAATTTCTTTTTCCATGAGTTTTCAATTAAATCCAAATTATTTCACATGTTCCCAATTGGTTCATTTTCTCGTTTTAAACTTGAAGAGTCTTTGCTCAAATCTTACTGATTATTCTCAAATCAAAAATCAAAAACACTATCTTTTATTGTTCTGTGGTTGTTAACAGCTGATAATGAACAGGCATAAAAAAGTTGACAGCTGTGATTTTAATGAGCTTGCTGTGCTTGCATGATGCTAAAAAAAATAGCTGCACAGAACCAAAAACTTCTCCTCTGCCCCAGGGGTTTTCAAAGGACATCAAGGTCCCAAAGGCCAAGTATGTGGGCTACATCAAAGACTACGAGGGAGCCACTCTCATGGGCTGTGAATTGAATCCCAGCATCCCCTACACTGAGTTTTCTGTTATCATCAAGAAGCAGAAGGAGGTGTGTGTTCCCATTTCTTTGTTTCTCGTTTAAATACTTATTTTCTTTTGTTGTCCCTGCACTTTAAACCCTCTCATTTTCATTTGTGTCCTTCAGATCATTAAGAAGCTGATTGAGCGGAAGCAGGCTCAGATCAGGAAGGTTTATCCAGGACTCTCCTGTTTCAAGGAAGGAGTGCGACAGATTCCTATTGAGAGTATTCCTGGCATACGTACGTAGTTATTTTAACAGTGTTTCATTTTTTTAACATCATCTATGGCGGCTCTGGGATTAATTTAAGTTTTTGTACATTCACAGGTGAAACTGGCTGGAAACCTGTAGGTAAAGGGTAAGTGTGACTCCACATTACTTCACCTTAGCAGAGTGCAAACTTGAAATTTTGCACTAACAGGATGGAAAGATTGATAATGTATCTGAAACTTATTTGACTTTAGGAAGGAACTGAAGGATCCAGACCAGCTGTACAGCACTCTGAAGACTATCCTCCAGCATGTGAAGGTGAGAAAAAGAAACATATACACATACATACATGTTTAACATATTCACACAGTTTATTTATAATAACCTGCTGTGTGTGTCTCAGAGTCACCAGAATGCCTGGCCTTTCATGGAGCCGGTGAAGAAGACAGAAGCACCAGGGTACTACCAAGTCATCCGCTTCCCCATGGGTATGTGCATGAGGCCATTCTGTCTAGAGCTGCTGTGAATGCTGCAACAGGATTTATATTTGCCTCCTCACGTCATCTTTGCCAGTCACCTTATAAACAAGGCTGCTATCAAAGCTCCTCTATGGAACTTTCTGTTTGTGTACATGAGGACAAAGTCGTGTTTCCTTTTCTTATCCTTTACATGCTAAAGTAGCGACTCGTGACAGTCAGATATATCATTTATTGCAAATATTTCATAAAATCAGGGCTGTTTCTTTCTGCTTGACTGACACCTACCCTCTCTCACTTGTATCAGGCATTGACAGTCACGATATGCAAATACTCAGTCTTGTTGCCGATGGTCTCATTTGCTTTTGGATGTCATGAAAAGGCATTAATATGAATTTTTGTCTATTTTATGAATGTGAAAGAACTCTTTCTAGGAGCTGCAAGCGTGCAGAATGATTTCAAACAGACTTTACGCCACTTTTAAAAACGGCAGAAGTGTGGTCAAACATTTTGGGCATTTTTTGCCTTATTTAGATAAAACACAGAAGAGATACAGGAAATGTGGCGACGTGGAAAGAGCTGATGGAATTGAACCAGCAGCTGCTAAGATAGGACTGTAGCCTTCGTATGCAGGGCACTTAGACCTCTAGACCGGTAGTCCTCAAGTCCAGTCCTCAAGGCCCACTGTCCTGTATGTTTTGGATGTTTCCCTGCTCCACCACACCTGATTCAAATGATTAGCTCGTTATTAAGCTATTACAGAGCTTGATAACGAGCTGATCATTTGAATCAGGTGTGTTGGAACAGGGAAACATCCAAAAACATGCAGGACAGTGGGCCTTGAGGACTGGACTTGAGAACCACTGCTCTAAACCATCAATTTTCATAGTGGAGCTTTATTAAGTGCCAATAGATAGAAATGTGGGGGAAAAACGCTTGTAGTGGACATAGGCCCCAAGACTTTTTAGTTGATGTTCAAGGATCTGTTTCTAGTGAAAAAAAATAATTTTTGTCAACATCCAGTCATTAAACTTAAGTCATTGTCAAACACACCATAACAATAACGTTCATAATGTCTCCACACACAAACCTCAACCAAAAAGCCACTCTATAGCCACAAATAATGCTCAGAACAGCACCTCACTTCATCAACAGTACATATAGGGGTCCCAGCCATAGTTCTAGACATCAAACATCTTTTTAGCTTTGCCTGATTTCTTTAGCAAAGAGACCAAACACAACTCACCCACTCTCCCCCAGCAGCCACTTGTTTGTGGGGGAGCCCTGAAGAGTCAATCACCGAGTGCATCAGATCATTTCCATGAAATAATGATCATTATAACAATCATTTTGCACTGCAGACATGGTAGTCCTTCTGCCTTAGCATCTCGGTCTGATTGCGTTTCCATGCAGTAATAATCATAAATTTTCTGCAGCACTTAGTAGACTCCTGTGTATTGCTATCATACGGTCATTGCTAAAGTTGGTATAACTAGAGAAGCAAGCGGTCGGCAACATTCATCTATCGAGGGGGTGTCTAACTCAGTATTATGGTGTGTTTGACTATAACTTAAATTTACACTGGTATATCCCTTTAAGGTTTGCTGTCACCCTTTGGCTGAGATTTTAAAAATAGCCATTACAGCGCAGATTTTTTGATAAATTCTTAACAGATGGCTCAAACCAGTTATTTTTTGTCTGAAAGCGATTAAGGAGTACAGAACTTTTTACATAGATATAAGATCTCTGCCAGTCGTAGTGTCCACACTCAACCTTTGACAGTGTCCTGATCCAAATTTCTAAAAATAAATGTTGATTTCTTTCCCCTACAGACCTAAAGACCATGAGTGAGCGTCTGAAAAGCAGGTACTACACAACGCGCAAGCTTTTCATGGCAGACATGCAACGCATCTTTACCAACTGTCGTGAATACAACCCTCCAGAGAGCGAGTACTATAAGTGCGCCAACCTACTGGAGAAGTTCTTCTACACCAAGATTAAAGAAGCAGGGCTTATAGAGAAATAGACGAGAGGAAGGAAACCTCCTCATCTTTCAAAAGGAGATTTTCCTCAGACTGTGTGCATGGAGGAGAAATGGTCTACTGATTCTGATGCACAGGATTATGACACTTATCTTCACTTTAAAGGTGCAAATAGGTCCCAGATCAGTTCTTTCAGTGTTTGATACATGCTGGCCCAGATCTGGAATCAGTAGCTTGAACTGAAATCTACATTAAGAGACGGGCGGCAAGGCAAAGGAATTATCATGTCTGCATATTTCATCACATCTCCCAGAGTCCTGTGGAGAACAGGACAGCAGGAGGTTTAACAGTGATACATGTTAAACAGGACAGGAAGCTCCCATGACTGTTTTTCTGTTAGACATTTAAAGGTGACACAGAATGTCTGATCGGAGATTCACCGTACACCTTACTCTCTCTCCCTCTTTTTTTCCTCTTTTCATCCCCTGCCTTTCAAACATCTGCCTCTTCTTCAGTAGACTCAGGTAGAGTTAAGATGAGCAGTAACCACATCTACAGTGTAAAGTCATACATTAAGGTGTACAAGTCATTTTAACACAAGTTACCTGTAATTAAGGTCAAAGTCAGTCTGATGAGTTCATCCTGCCAAAAGAGTACATACTTTAATTTGTACAGATTGAAATGATTTCAGAGCACTTAAACCCACTGTATATTTTAAATGTGTAAATAACATATATTTTCTGTTTCAGAACTAAAATGTAGTTTCTTCCCAATAAGCCGCATAGGGCAGTTTGTCTGTCAAAATGCACTTTTATTTTTCCAAGTATTACTTCACATAAATAACAGCATCTTCTTCTCTTTTAGACATAAATTCCCGCTGTGGACTAAGGACTAATTCAATGAACTAGAGTTTATTCTTATTTATGTGCTGTAATTTAAAAGAATTATGCTGAAGACAAGGTCTTAATTTATTCTTTCTTATTTTTGTCCTGCAGATGGAGATTGATAACTTTATACTTTGGAGATAAATGAAAAGATTGTGCAATACGATGTAGTTTTGCTGTTTTGTAAAAAGGTGTTTGTACTTTTCAGACTTTAGGGGGAAAAAAAATACATTTTGTAAAACGTCTGGAAAATAAATTCATGCTCTTTGTACAATTGGTTTTAATGACAAAGTATTAGCCTATTTTCTAGACTGAATAAAACAGAAATGAGGCTTATTTGTTGTCCGTACATTTTTGTTATTATTTCTTAACAGAATTATTATAATCATGTCACAGTCGTGATAACAGCGCAAATGAGGGAATTATATTTATTATCACAACACACAGGGAGAACTACGATTGACGGATACACGTGAAATAAGCAGACAGTAATACACACTCATATTATAGATCGAACAATAAAAAAAGCTGAATTTCAGAGAGAAAAGAGAAGTGAGGCCATCTTAAGGAAACAGCTATTACCACTGCCAGTCTAGCTTTTTCTCTGGAGAATCAGAGGACAGTTAAAAGACACTAATGCCTTGAAAAATAAGTATGAACAAAGCAACAACAATAATTTCAAAATGTCAAACTTATCACAGATACATTTAAAAACATGTTCCAGCATCTAAATGGCGGACATTAAAATTGATGACACACGCCAGCAGCCAGAGTTCAGAGGGGACAAAGAGGACAGCTGCTTTCAGCGACATCCAACAAACGACTCGTTGTACTTCCCAAACGACTTTTTGCTGCTCACAGATTTCCTCGATTTATGCATCGAGCTCCTGCCTGACTTCTGCTTAAAAATAGGGGATTGGAGGAACTGCAAGTCTGTGTGTTTGTCTCCACGACGAAGTTTCCTGTGAGGAGGAGAACGCAACTGTCAGAGCTGTTACATTCGAAAAATAATGCCTGTATCTTAGAACATTTATGGTAAGAAGAGCATCAGTGTGTTTACTTATCAGAGCTGATTCAGCATCATAACACTCTGGCCTTTGCACTTTAAACACCTCATGCACATTGATTCCCCCTTTACTCATAGTTTGTCTTGTGTAGAGTCCTACAGCCACCTTCTGTATTGTTGTATGTGGGTCTTTGTTAAAGTTGTTACTAAAGTTGGTATAACTAGAGAAGCAAGCGGTCGGCAACATTCATCTCTCTAGGGGGTCTCCCTCATTGTTACAGTGTGTTTGACCCCAACTTAATTTTACACTGGAATATCCCTGTAAGTTACGCAGTTTATGTTTTCTGGTTTTATGAACGTTTTCTTCTGTACATGCTTGATTATACTTTTATGAGTATAACCAATCTGGGGAGTGTGCAGATGGAGATTAGCCTTACATTAGCTACAATCTGGAACAGTTGAATACCCCTTATATTATACCATGTTATTAAAAGGGTAAATACTAACGCAGTGAGAGAAGGTTCCTTGTAATCCACTGCCATGGTACAGCGTCGCTTACGAGGGACAACAGGGGTGGAGCATCGGGCATCAGAGGGGCGGGAGCCACCACGGGAGAACTTGTGATTGGCTGCAGGGGACAGATTGGTAACATCACACAGACTGAAGCCCCGCCCTCCTGTCCTTACACCAAGCCCACCTGTGGAAATGTCAAAGAGGATGTGTGATCCAGAAACAAGAAAACAGGAGTTGTGAGTGATTGAAGAAGTGATGACACAACAGACATGTGATCAGCCTCCCAGTGCTCATTTTTTGTGACAACACTCATACAAGATTTCATTGATAGTCAGGCTTGAAAACAGACAAATTCACCCACCTCTCTTTCCTGTCCTGACCATCTGCGGTGTCTGGTGAGGAGGAGCTTCACAGGGAGAATCTCCGAAATGAGACAGAACGTTGTCTATTCTCATCATCTCAGCTTCAACCAGAGGGCTGACAGGAGGCAAACAATCCTCCACAATGACCTCTGTGTGAGGCTCTGAAAAACAAACACACAACAGTTTATAACACGGGTCAGAAAAAAAGGACACACACAGCAGCATTCTGCAGTTACACATTAAAGCTTCACTGTAACAGACCAAAAAAAAAAAGAAGTGTACATATTGTGAAAATGTTCCCACCTGGCTGGTTTTCTTGCTCTAACCTGACTGAGTCAGGGCTGTTTGAATAGCTCATGTGAGAGGAGGGACCATGAGCTGCTTCTTTCTTTTTAGGCCCCTCAGCTTTCGGACTTGTTTCCTCATCTCTGAAGACTACAGAAGACAAAAAGAAGTTGTTTAATTGGGACAAAGTTGAATACAAATTAAGTTAATATTAAGTGTGAGCGAAGCTTACCCATAATCTTTTGTTTTGGAGGGACTTGCTGTTTGATGACTATAGAGCGCCTGCCTCTGCGCGTGGCTATCACTTTGGTCCTGTCGGGTGAAGTCAGTCTCCATCGGCTCTTCTTCTTCTGAGGGACATAAAGACTGTCCTCGGACTCAGAAGAGGGTGATGAGGAGCTGGAATCACTTTGTTTGAAAGCTGCAGGTGAAGCTTTAGTTTGGGTCTGACCTCCCTCATGTGAGGATTCTTCACTGATGGGTGTAGCTGGTTGATTGTCCTCTGCCTTTGCCTTGAACGGCGTGACGTGAATCGTCTCTTCACAGTCAAAGTCAAATGTGTCATTGAACCCCAGTGAGGTGTTGAGCTTATGATTACCCTGAGAAGTAGGGGCTGTTTTAGCCCGGGAGGCTGACCGGTCCCGACTCTTAGAGCGGGCTCTGGGTTTCGGATTCTCCCAAGGCTTCTTTAACGGGGCGCGCTCCGGTTTGCGGCCTCTCTCTTGTTTCCGAGGAGCAGGTTCAGGTTTGGCAGGAGGTTGCTGTTGTTTGGCTTGTCTCCTTCCAGGCCTCTGTTGATTGGTCTTCTTTTGTGGGTCAGGCTCAGGGGTAGAATGCTGGAACTCTTCAGTCTCAACAGGGTCTGCGAACTCTGGCTCTGCTGCTTGCTGTGGCTGATTTGAATTCCCGTCTTCAGAGTGAATAGGACTGGCTATTAACGCCCCCGAGCCTGAGATGATGTCACTGTCGCTCATCGACCTCCTTTCTCTCACTCGCTCAGATCGTCTCTTGCTTCTTCTATCCACATGGCGACGCCTGACACCCACTGTGGATGGTAGTGCTATCCGAGTGTCACATTCAGACCATTCACTTTTGTTAGAGGTCTGAGGATCTGTGAGGAAAAGGAAAAGACCAGCAACATAATTTCAGCAATTGAGATCACCTGCCATGGTTTATCACAAACATTTCTGTGGGGTCATGAGTGATAGTGAAAACTTTGCATACCTGCAGAAACTGGTGAGACTTTGCACACAACAGACTCATCGGTGTTCTGGCAGGTGCGCTTTCTCCTGTAAATTAAGAGGTAATAGATTCTCATTGTTAGAAAATTCTAGTTCATATGGTCATGGAACTTTAAAGTGGGTTTTAATTTTAATCTAAACCTTACCTTGCCGAATCTCCCTTTTGTTGAGGCTCAGCAGAAATGTTTGGATGCTTTGTCTAGATTGACACACAAAGAAAATATTATCTTTCTTACTCGGGTGCAGTGCTTTAAAATTTCTGACATTAGCCAGGAGTAGTTCAGTAACATATTGAGGGCAGACAACAGGATTTCAGAGCCTACCTCTGAAGAACTTGCTTCCTGATCTTTGAGTTTTCGCTTGAGCAGAAGCAGGTGAAGAAACAGGGCCTGTTGCTCCCTTTTCAGCTGCAGGATCACTGCATGTGCCTGCCTCACTTTCTCCTTCTCAGCCTGCAGGGTGACAGCCAGAGCTTTGTTGTTCTGCTGGATGCCTTTCAGGATGTTGTTAGTGGAGTTAGCCACTGGGAATAAAAATAAATAGAAGAAACATGGTCAATAATAGGCTAAATTTACTCTTGTGTTGGCCTAAGGGAGACCTTTTGTACAGGGGTATGCTGCAGACACACAATTATCATCACAAGATAAGAGCATGCAAACAGTTAATAGTTACAGACTAATTCAAAGACCTACTTCAGAGGTTACATTTGGTAAAGTTTTGTGTGTTTATGAAATATTTCTTTTTCCTTTTAAATTTCATCAAGACATTTTAGACTGACATGTCATCTGTGTGAACTGCAGACAGGTGTTAGGATCTCACTTGCAGCTTGAGAAGACGAAGGATATGTAAACAAGGCCCTGATCCAAAACCTTTGTACCTACACTCTTCAGATCTGGACTGGATTTTCCATACACTCTTCAAATGCAGTTTTGTTTTGTTCTTGTTATCCTGCAGTTTATTGTCCTGATCCATACTCACCACACTTATGCTTCTTGGACCTGACCTTAATTAATATAGGGAACCTACTGGCTTTTAAAAACAGTCCCAATTTTGTAAAATGTTCTTCTAATAGTGAAAATGCAAGAAGGGACAATTTCTCTTTTTTTCCACCTCTTTGAGTTGTCACTTTGTGCAAATAGAGTCCACAAATCTTATTAAATTGTGTTTAAAGGTCTAAGAATAACTTTGCCAAGTATTATTGTTTTGGATCAGGGCCTAATCCAGAACAATAGACTGAAATAAGCTGTAAAATAGCCTTGCACCACCGTTAACAGAATCTGTGGACTCTCTCAGATAATCTCACAGTCCACAAGTCTAGCAACAATAGTTTGTATCAGGACCTTGTTATTATTATATTCCTTTTTAAAGCCAACTGAGAAGCTGTGGATGAGAAGCTAAATTCAGTGTGGTCTTTCGTAAAAACGTGGGTTAACAGTGAAACTGGTTCAGAAGCAGGTCTTGTGTCCTCACCGGCGCTCTTGTTGATCCTGGGCCGTCCTCTCCTCGGAGCTGAAGCGCTGGCCAGCCGTTTGTTCCGCTTCTCCTTCATCTTCTCCTTTATGTCATCCAGACTCTGCTGGTATGACTTCTTTTGGACCCTCTCTTTCACCATGACTTGTGGTTTTCCCTCGTTTAACAGTTCTTTAGCTCGTCAAACTCGTCAACATCTAAACATACTCGGACGTGCTAGCTCGGTTAGCTTGATGCTGAACGTTAACTCCAATAAACACACTCTGGCTTATATTCCGACGGTCTATCAATATATAATCAAGGTGCCCAATTCAAAACCTACCAGCGTGTGAATATCGCTGACATAAAAGTTCAGTTTAGGAAGATTTGAAGCCGTAATGAAGCAATATAGTGTATTTAGCCACAGCCCATCCGTGTCTTCGTTGTGGTTCGAATTTTGAGTCGCGGCCGCTGATTGGTCAAAACGTGATATGACGCCACATCCGTGGATTGATTCCGCCGAGTGTCGGTAGATGGCGCTAATGTACAGCAGGAGATGATGCACATTGTTTTTCAGAGGATCTAAACTTATTTGGTATTCATATTGCGTCTACACATTCTCATCTTTTAAGACTGAACAGCAGACTTCCACACAGCCTCTCTACAAATCTAATTATAGTTTTTGGTGTTTCAATCAGCCTCTTTGCTGTCCATCTGTCTGCAAACAAGGCAAAGCATAGACTGAGAAATGTCAGTTTTGGTGCATTTAGGGGGAAAAAAAGATAGGCTAATTAGATTTGTTTGCTCATCATGGGTCAAGCCCATTCATCTGTTCCAAAATGTCTAATTGCATATTTAAAGCTGAGTGAAGATAAGAGTTTGAGCCGTGCACACAGTTAAGTGCTCTGCAGCGTGTGGATGGAGCTGATAACCATGTTAATCTAAAAGCCCTCTGACAGCAACGCTTGAATCATATTCCTTGAGGTTTTGGAGAACTCTAAGTGCTCGTTCAAAATTAGATTACTCTGTAGCTTTGAAAGCAAGTTAATTATCACATGAATACAAACTAGATTAAGTAACTAACACATAAAAACACATGAAGCCTTAATGTCCAGTCTCTTATCTTTTTCTGCTTTTTTAAAGGGTCTCTATGGGATATGCCTGACAAAAAAACTTCCTTGGAGCCACATGTCCTCCATGTGCCATTTTAAACTTTTTTTAAGCTTAATAAATGTTCTGTGAGCACTGAGTAGTCTGAAAACCTCAGGGTGATCTCATTAATTTTCCTAACAGTCTGACTTGGCTGGGTGCAAGGAAGAAATCTGCACCTTTCCTGCACAGTACCGAAGCTAATGCAACACCCATTTGCACCTTCTGTCAGATGAGAGGCCAAGAAAGCGTCCATGACGGCCAACTGAATGACATATTGAGGCTACAGAAAGGGGGTCACTCAAGCTTGGGTGTTGTGTCACCTGCAGAAATGAATTGTTTCAGAAAGATGCTTCGACTGCAAAACAGGGTTAGGTTGTTGAGTCTCCAAAGAGGTCCTAACAGAGTTCTCTTACAAATATCGTTTGTTTTTAAAGTTCTTAGCTGGATTTTTTCTGCATAATGTTAATCAAGTAAGGCTTTATTAAAACCCCTAGACAACCTTATGCAACCAAATGCGACAGCTTTATCACAAAATCTACTTCTGCAAAGGTTTTGCATTCTCAGATTTTGCAGTCACGGTCAGACAGGTGATAGTTCCAGCAGGCAAAATTAAGGCAGCTCAGTTGCACATGCATGCTTGAAGTGTAGCCAAGTAACTTGTAAGCTGCTGTGAGGAAGTTCTAGCTCCCGTTGTTAATTGCACTTACATGTGGAAGCGTCTTTCCTCTTTTTCTGTAAATTTGAAAGTAGTATTTTCAGACAAAAACCACAAGCTGTTGTGTTTTGACAGTGAAACGCATCTCTTAGTGTGAGTATTTGCGGTGGAATAAGTCAAAATAGGCTGTTTGGTTTATATATATGCTATATACAGTATATCTGTAAGTACATAAACATTTCAGCCAACATCAACTAACATAACTATCTTCTTTTTTTCTTTTCCAGGTGAGCCCTTATGGCTTCAGGGACAGGGTTAGGTATGAGTAATAACTCACTGTTTCAATAATAAGATCACTACTGTTTACCTAAAAGATGTATTATTCTCCCCAAAAGCAAATAAATGTTACAGTTGCTCCTGAAAAAAAAAACACTGTGTGGGTTGATTTGTGTGCGAGGGTGTATCCTGAGTCTGTATTAAAAAATAAAAAAGAATGAGACAGAAGGATGGAGAGAAACATTAAAGGTAGACAGCTAGACAGCCAGAGGGACTCCACAGGTTCTCACTCAGCTTGCTTTAATGGACAAATCCATCACACAGCATTGCACAGTCATTTCATGCCACCCCTGACTATCCACCTGTCTACTGCCTACAGAGAAACTTATTATCGCAGAGCGAGAGAAGAGATAGGAAAGCAGGGGCATATTAGAATAAAAATGTGGGGAGTGTTGTTGCAGCAAGAAAAATGAGGGCACACGTCGATACAAGTGGCAGATAGGCGCCAACAATGAAAACAGATTAAGACATCATCCTTTTGGTGTTACAAGTTCATTTATCTACAGAGATGATGCTCTTATTTCACGATGAAGAGATCACATGCTTGGCCCTGCCTAACCTCATCTCTGCAGATCACTCATCACTGTCCAGACAGTAAGACCAGCCAATGAAAAGATGATCTGTCTCTCTACCAGATGAAAAGTATTATCTCTAATCTGCTCATTTGCCTCAGCAGGTGCCAAGAATACACAGGTCTGCTTTTTAATATGGAAAATGCTGGTATGGTGCGCAATTTATGGAAATTAAATCATAACACAGGTTTTGTAATAAGCCCTGAAAGCAACCTCAAAGACAGAAACAACTCAGGATATTGGATTATGACTTGTGCTGTGGGTACATTATCAGGATGAGGAATAAGGCAGTGTCCTTTATCACAAGCATGAGTGTTCCTTTACCTGTTTTGTCCTGTTTTTCATAACAAAGATGATTTAAATTACACACATCTATGAGAACTGTCACCAATAACACTGAGGTATTAGATTTTAGGTCTGCAACATGATCCTCTATACTAACAAACTCAGTTACAGGCTGAGTGTTAAGAAAGCTCAAAATATAGAGCAGTTTTTGAATGGATGAGTCAGTGTAAAAAAAGTTATTTAAAGCTCTTGTCAGGATCTTTTCGTACGTGTCTATTTTCATGCCTAAAATGAGAGACATTTGCGGGTCTAAAAGACATGTAAAGCTGAATGTCATCTGCATAATAGCAATAAGAGACACATTTTAAAGTCCTTATGAGACAACCCATCTAGGGGCTGATACAGAGGAAACAGTAGAGGACCCTGGATGGAACCCTGAGGGCCCCGACTGAAAAAACATTTACCAGCAGTGGCTGAAAAAGTTACACTGGACAAATAATGGGGAAATCTAGTTAAATACTGTCCAAGTGTCTGAGCTGCTAAATTGGCTGTTATCCACAGTATCAAAGTCCAATAGAACCAGCACAGAAAATGGTCCTGCATCAGCCTTCATCAACAGATAATGGGAATGCATCTGCTGAACGCTAGATTGAAATTTGACACAATCACTCTTAGTTCCTCTACAGAGACCTCAATCACATAAAAAATCTAGTTTTAAATTGCAATGTATCCAAAACAACATTAGTTTAAGTCTGATTCAGACTTCTCTTAGTGTTTTGTCCTAAAGCATCCTCTTTAGGCTTAAAATAATGACAATTTATACATCCACTGCTTTAAAGGGAATAACAGCTGTACCAATGCAGTGATTTCTATAACTTGTATTACAACAAAGTGTTTCAGTGTTGCATCTTTTTTTTTCTGTGGGAGTGAAGGAGACCATTATATCCTACTGTAATGATAACAAATCCAAACCTGAGCACCACTCTGTTGCCATCACATCCCTTTTGAATCCAAACAGCAGCGAGATGAGGCCACAGTCACTCTCTGTAGGATACAGCCTGGTCATTATGCCTGTCTGCTCTTAAACACCCCGCTGAGCCGTTTACTTCACAGCCAACATCCCTTCCATTTACTGATCCGTCGCTTTGTGCCATGCTGCTGCCGCACTGCCTCCGCAGGAGCAGGAAGCCCCCACAGGGACTAAAACAAATCCTGTCTAGTTCTGCAAGTGCAACAATTGCCACTTTAGAGGGAAGAACTTGAAGTGTGCCATGTTTGAACTTTTTACATCTGCTCCCTGAACAGCTGTAGAGGTGTGTTGACCTAGACAGATGGTGCTGCAGCAGCTCCCCTCAGCCCACTCACCTTTAGTCTGCCCACTTGAGCCAGAATCACTGACAGCCACTGACACCGCCCACAGGGGCAGCTCTTACAGGTTTTGTTCTGCAGAAGTGACAGAATTTGCATAGTCATAACTTTGGCTGTAGTTATCAATGCAGGAATGCTGTTAAAAACAGTGACCAATATCACACAAGCTCTGAATTAGCCTATCAAAGTCAGGCAAACAATAGCTAGAAAGTTTGTTTTTTTAAAAGTTGGTTACATTACTCTTTCAAACCAAGGCCTTCAGTGGAGGAAAGATCATAGACTGTAACCAGCTTCTCAACTTTTCTTAAACTGATTGCAGACAACACAGCGTTTTGTTGTTTTTTTTTGCCAAAATACTGATAATTGGAAAAAATACTTCAATTGACAGTTTTTAGGGGTTTTAGGTACACGGCTCGAGTCTGTGGCCGCCATAGTTAGGACTGTAACGCCATCAGCTGGTTCACACAGTCAATGACATGCACAGATAAATGTCCTCTGCAAACATTATCAAGATATATCTAAATATGTTCTTATAAGATAACTTACAGGGATATACAGAGAAACCAGCAGAGGACTGAATACAGAACCCTGAGGAACTCCAAAAGACAGGGCCCTGACTGACAAAATATATTAAACTTTGATAACCATTGATAACCTTTTTCATATAGGAGTAAGTCGATGGGGGAATTATAGGTGTAAGTCACATGAGTCACATTCACTGCAGTTGCCATCATTCAGCTTATACAGTCAAAAAACACTGTACAGTTAAAAAAAAAAGCTTCCAAAAAACAATGATGTTCATATATGTAAGATTTGTGGACTTTAAGATTTTTTTACTTCCAAGTGAACCGTAGGCTCCTCTGAAATCAGCTGGAAATCATATCAATTCAGCTCCTATTTTAGAGAGGACAGAGAATTGCTTGACAGTTTAACTACTGGTTATGGTTATGGCACTTGCTTGTTATATGACTCAGAAAAAAATATTTTTTTCAGTTCCTATTGTTATTAAGATTTTTTTTTTAAAAGTAGACAGTGTTGGATTGACGGCTAGGTTCAAATTATACTTGAGCATCCGTTTTCTTTCCTTTTTCTCGCCTTTTTGCTGCAAATCACTGCACTTATGCCCGACCTCTGTGGGTTTATGATTTAAATAAAGTGCAATGTGCAGAAGTCAAAATGCAGCATCCTTCTGCCAAGAGCTTTTCATGTTTTTTTTTTATTTTCCTGCAGAGCTGCCCTCATATGGAGCGCACCGTTCTGCCTCATACCTTTGTACTCTCTCCAGGTAGCAAAGAATGAAAATGCTCCCTGAGTGCCAAGTGAGGCTTTTGTGTTGCTGACACATGTTTCTGTTGTGTGTGAATTGGATGGAAAGGCGTTGGAGGAGTTAACTGGGAATGCTGGGCAAGATAATGAAAAAAAAAAAAACATGAAGGGAAGCAAAGGAGAAAAGGCGGTGAAGGTTTGCGGGGGACTTGAAGGGGCCAAAGGAGGTCTGGATTCTGACAGCCTGTGGAGGATTGAGCATCCCACACACAGATGTTCACAATCATCACCCCACACACTTCATACTAATAAGAGTAATGAAGGCAGTGACACCTGGGTGAATCAGAAACCCATGATTGATTGGATAATAATTCCCTGAATTGGCCAATGGAATTATTTATTCTGGAGTGGTGGCAGAAGGCAGAGGCGAGGACATTTCACTAATTAATCCGATTTGGTGTCAGTCGGCTGAAGAGAGCCCAAAATAAAACACAGTCTGAGAGTTCGCACAAAGTTGAGAAGCAGAATCCACACAGCCAGTTTACTCACTGAAATAGTAAAAACCATTAGATTTCAAAATAAAACCAAATCAGACAGAACTGAGGTGTGGTGTCCAAGAGAAGCTACAGCAGTAGATCCCAATCTTTTCCAAATAAAGCCAACCTTGATGAAAAGACAGCTTGAAGCTGCTGCAGTGTAGAAAACCTCATGAGATAAAGTCAGACAGAACAATCCTGCTGTGATTTATCCCAGAGAACAAACCTGCAGGGGGTTTAAAGTAAGGCTGAGGTTTATCTGTACTCTACAGTTCAGTCTATTAAAGCTGAATAAAGTGTCCTTTCCACATTGATTATCTGAGAGATACGTGCACAAAGACAAAGGCTCAGGTCTGCGTCAGAAAGTCCAGAGTTACGAGAATCTGGGAGGGACAGATCACTGACTGACTCTTGGCTCATCTGCAGCTCTGGCAGCATCTAAGTGAACACGTATGCACAGGAGCTGAAAGACTGCCGTTTAAAACATGTGTATCTTATTTAGTGGGTCTGTTGAAACAAGTATATCAGAGAAACACAATGTCACGTTGAAAGGATGTTGGACTTAACTGTCAAATATTTCTGGAGTGCTTAAGTTGTCTTTTCCAGCTCGGACAGAATTTCACTAAAATAGGGTAATGCAATCAGATGAGAGTTTACACTGCTCTTGTTTACTGCATAACAATAAACACTTTCAGTTATGCATGCTCTGATCGGCAGTCATACTTTTGTACATAAACACACAGCACTACTCATCAGTGTAGCCCGTAGTGAAGCAGCAGTATAAAAGTTAACAATCATTTCACTGATGGTAAAAAAGTATGAGTAAGAATTTCAATCTTTTTTTCATAAACATCAAAAAACTTTCAACAAGAGCTTTGAATACTGATGTCATGATGCAGATTGCGTCAGTCTGTCATCAATCTGTCAAGCTAAGTGGTTGGATAAATCACCACAGGCCCCAGCTGCAGCCCAAACCGACTGGTTTTAACAAACGGCTCCAAATCCCTGTGGTATTAGTGAGCAGTAAGAAGCCATTAGCAATGGAAGAAATATCAAATGGCTGGAGGTTTTTTTGCTGGAGAAACCCGCTGAGAAATTAAGCTTATTACCTGTGGTTGTGTGCAGACTGCTGAATATCAAATCATTGACTTCTTTATGTCTTGAAATAAGAAAAGAAAGAGTCCACATTAAGCCCACAAGACCACTCAGTGGGTTTCAGACCCGGATCATAATGAACCAGCCAGAAAACTTTGTAACAGTAAAGTGGTCCACAGATCAGGATAATAATCATTTTATGTTTTGGGCGTCTTATGTAATGTGGACATAAACTTTACTTCTGTTAACTGCATCCTCCAAATTAAGTCCAATGTTTTTATAGAAGTCATAAACAGGCTTTGAAACCAACTTTGTCGTTGATAACACACAGTGGTGATTTATTTGTGGTTAAAATCTTAACCTGTTGCAATATCAGCATTTAACATCATGATTATTGTGGCCATACAGTATCATGATAAAGATTTAACCGCGATAGTTCAAAAACTAAAAACTATGCTTTTATTTGAAAGACTGAATGAAAACAGCTTTAAATTTTTCAATAGGGTTAAAATCGGTTTATTTTCCATGTTGTTTCTATGTGAAGCACTTTATGGCAGGATGTTTATATGCAAGGTGCTGCATAAATAAAGCAAAATTGAAGGATAATGAGGCTGTAACACACAGAATATGTAAGGAAAAGTTGCTCTTCTGTGACGGACACATTCCTGTTTGCACTCACACACTCTTACACACACACACACACTCTTACACACACATACACGACAGATGACACTTTTATCTGAGTGTTTGCTGTTTTCTGTTTCCTCTATCCTAAGCTGCCACCTGGATTTTGGCCCAGTAACCCCCCCCCCCCACACCACCACCACCACCACCACCACCACCTGGTCCATGACCCCTCACAGTGTCTGCAGATATTTGCAGCGCAGTCTTAAAGTCCCACTCTGATTATTTATTTTTTTATTACTTCAAGTGTTCTCAGTGGTCTTGAAATTGTGATTATGAAGTTTTTACCAAAAATCGTGTTACCTGTGTCATTTTTAAGGACTTTTCTTCTGCAGAGCTCCAGTTGCTCATTAGCAATTCACCTCTGAGTCGTGGGAGGAGACAGCGCTGCTCTGCACACTCCTCTTCACACTGGCTTGCCACCTAACATTGTCGGTGTAGTAGCAGAAGTGGCAGGTAACATAGGAGCTATTCAGCTCTCTGACACTAATGTCTTTATGGGCATAATGAAAGTTAATATCATAATTAGCTTCTAATGAGCATTGCAATCCGCTAACACACTTGTTCCACCATCGTCCTCTCTACTTCTTGGGGTCTGGCCTGCAGAACAGGGTGCCGGGGTGGAGCTTGGATTTGTGACATAGAAAATCCAACCGTGTCTGTGCTTGTCGTTTGGGTCTGCCAAAGGTTCACAGCGATTTGAATGCAGAATTACTCAGAAATGCAATTTTGCTCTTAGTTTTCTCATGATATGTCCTTGAGTATCAGAAAAATACCATAAGAACATGAAGACAACAAGAAAAACATGATTTTCATCAGAGCGGGTCTTTAAGTTTGTTTTGAAGCCATGGTCTGGGCTGATTGAGGCTTTGTTTTGGTCAGTATGGAGAAAACAGAACTGGCGTGTGTCCTGAGCAGATGCTTGGTCTGGGTGCTGGATGCAGCAGCGCTTGTGGGAGGGGCTGACTTGAAAACAGGGCGGGGTTTGAGTTTGTAGTGGGGCGTAGAGGAAAGGAGGGCAGCGTTGACATGGCGGCAGCAGCAGCGGCAGCAGCAACAGAAAGTTGACGCTGTAGGAGACAGGAGGCCAAAGGTTTGGTGATGTCTTGGTTCTTCTGCAGCGTGAGTCGAATCTGAGGAGGAAACAAACAAACAGCAATCAAAGTTTTTCTATTCTCCCCAAAGGAAATTGAAAAGTTTGAGTATGAAACCAGAGAAGGACAAGGAGACCAGGCTGTAGTAGCTACTTGGCAAAAACAGAAGTTCAACTTGTGCTTGTTTCTGCCAAATCTTATCCAAGTCTTAGCGTTACCTGCCCTTTTGTGCCTTTTTTAAAGTCACTGAATTAAGACTTCAGATTCCTTCCATCAGTATCACAGACAGTTCGTCTCATTTGACGCAGGGAGTGGAGGGTCTGGAGAGTCAAAAGCAATGAAGACGGATGAGGGTAAATCAAAAGAAGAGCACTCACTGCCTGGAAACTCTGGTGACGCTGGATGGGAGTGTACGGGCTGAACTTCGGCTTGGCTGGTTTACCTGCTGCTCTGTCTTTGTGTCTCCTGCTGCTGATGTGCTGCAGAGAAGGAGAGACGCAGAGATAAAGACACAGGAAAACAAAGGAAGGAGGACAAAGAAGGAAGAAAACAACAGCAGTATTTTCTTCTGAATAATAAGAGAAGAGGAAATTAAAAGGAGCCAAATCAAAGCTTCTGTTTGGACGAGAGAGGCAGGCTGTTGATTCTCTGTTTGCTCTGACCAGGAGGAAAATATTCTTGAGGGGTGGGCTCTTGGAGATCCTTTTTGATTTGATTGACATGCACAAACAGATGGCTACAGCCGGCGATGAACACAGTGAGCAGAGAAGAGCTGAATATTCATGAGCACCTGGTCAAAGTAAAGTTTTGAAACAGTTATGAAGACCAACACTTTGTAATCACATCACGTGCAGAGATGCTAACATTACACTCACCGAAACAGACCGGGCTTAGCCGCTTTATGTGACTTACATCCAGACATCTGTGAATTTACCTCACCTGCAGCGACAGGTGGGTGATAATGTGGATTAAAATATGCAGAGTCCTTAAATGGTTTTCTTGGCGCATGAGTGATGACGGCTGAGTCTGTGTTCAGGTCCAAATGTGCAAGACGTGAATCTGTGTGACAGCTGACCTTTTCAGACCTTCACTTTCATTAGAGGGAAGAACCAGCAGGAAATGTGACGAGCCAGTTCCTCCTGTCACCTACCCAGAATGCAGCCTGATCGAGCCACATGGTCAACAGTGGAACAAAACACCACTTACAGCTGCTCATGTACAAGATTGAAAGGAAGAGTTCAGCGTTTTTTTGAAGTGGGGTTGTATGAGGGACTTGTAAAAAGTGAGAGTGTGATCCACATGGAGAGCTGGTCGGCTCAACGTCTTTGTGGAGAAACCAACCAGAAGACCAGAACAGAAACTTGGTGATCAAGTGCTGCAGATGTGTTCAACTTTACAACATCATTCAGCATTGATTTGACACATGCACAGTTCTCTGCCTGCTGATCACATCTGCAGGCTTTGAAAGAAGCAAAAACTCAAACTTTCAGCACAATATCAATATTTAATTTTCTAAAAAAACTAAGGCAAAACTGCCTTAGTTTGAAGCATTTCCAAAAAAGTTTATGATGTAAGCGATCTAGTGCCAAACGTCTCAAGCTGCTTTGTTAGTTTTAAATTGGGTTTTGTTTGTACGCAAGCATATTGCATTCACTTACCAAAAAAAAAAAAAAAGGGAACTGTTTTTGGGGTATTTTTTTTCTTTCTGTTTTTTTTCTGACTATTTTTTTTTCATCTGTTTGTTGTATTCATATTTTTCCCCTTTTTTTCTGTTTTTCAGACAAATCTTAATAGAGTTTTTTGTGCTTTTTTTTTCATCTTTTGGTTTTTCAGACTATTTTTTTTCCCGGACTAACCAAGATACTTCAAAATCCTGTAAGAATCTCACACAATCAGATAATGTTAACCACCGCGGCTGCTCCAAATCTGCAGATTCTCCAGCTCCTAGATAACTTTGACTACAAGGTCAATGAAAGTAAAGAATGTTATCAGTTAAACATAGGGTGTGCAAATCCTGAGGTGCCTGCACAGAGTCAATAAACTTATGACAATTCCATCTATCTGACTTAAAGAAAGGAGGATCTTCAAGTGTATCAAACCCAAAAGAAAGTAAAACTCATTCAAACTAAACAAGTGGTCCATGTTTGCTTCCAAGAAATCGAGCAGAGGGGGATGAAAGCATCTGTTTTTAAATGATCATGATCCAAGAGAAAAGGAAGAACATTTAGTCTAAAAAACAAAACAAAATAAAATATTAGTGCAAAAAAACATTTAAAAAAATTTACTCATAAAAACAGAAAAAAATTACTTTGAAGAACAGAGCGCTATTTTTTTTCTTTTTTTTTTTGTAAATGCAATACGCGTCCGTGTGTTTGGCAACTTTGTCAGTTTTGCTTGTTGCACAGCACAGTAATCTTGTGGGAAATGGCAGAAAAAATTGGTTTGATGGATAGAGATGAGATAAAAGGTTACATTTATTTTCATTATTAAAATGACAGAAAGGAGGGAAATAAAGTTCATGGCCTTGTTGGTTTGTCAGTTCGTCATATGCAGTCCTTTCTGTCATGATTTTGTTTGACAGCAGAAAAACTTTGAGGACTGACCTGTTTGAGCTGAGTCTCAGAGTTGACGTGCACGTTGCAGATCTCACAGTGGAAAGTTTTGTTCTGGAGTCCCGTCGACGACTCGGATGGTGCGGCCATCTTTGCCTTAACCCCCGTCCTCGGAAAGGACTTGATGGCTCCATCTCCGCTCCTAGCCTCCAGCATTGTTTTGTGCTTAGTGCCTGAGCAGATAAAGGTCAACAGTGAATCAAACGCAGCAAACCAAGACAGATTTAGTCTGTGCTTTCCGTTTCTCACCACTATTATGGGCCTGCAGCTGGGAGGCAGAGTTGACAGCCACTTTGCAAAGGGAGCAGTAGAGCAGACGTTTGGCTTTTTCTTCTTCTGTTTCCTCCTCAGGAGTCACTTCTGCCACTTCTCTCCTCTCGGGAGTCGTCTGGTTGGGTGACAGGGAGGGTTCAGAGGGGGCGTTCATGGTGGCAGCAGGAGATGTCACCTCCTCTGTTGAATGGTTTGGTTCTGGTGGTTCTGAAAGGTAAAATATGGCACACAGAATATGGTTAGGTGAGCAATCTTTCCACTTTTTTAATGCCATAAATTTGACACAGCAACAAACTACAATTTCCCATCATGCTCAGAAGTGGAATAAAAACCCACCAGACTGATTATGAGCCTCTCTAATCTTTGTAACAGTCAATCATTCCCTCAAGGATCACCTCTCTGGCACTGAAAGGGACAGTTTTTCTATACAGATGATTTGACTCTATTATATGTTACACATCTTGTCTCATAGAGCTTCCTCAGAGGAGGACACGCTGATTTAAGGGTTCACTCTTTGCTAATAACAATGATTAGCTCTGTCTTCTTGAGTGGGTGTCTGCTTGGTACCATTGATTTGCTTCTCTTCAGGAGCCAATGAGGCCCGTTGCTGAAGTGATCCTGGAAGAGCTCATCCTCTTCACACTGGAGATGATCACTTATTCTTTTCCTCTTACAAACAAACTCTCATATTAGAGCCGCCAAGCACAACCCTCCTCTTTTTGGCTCGAAGCGAAATGTAGTATTTTTATTCCCAAACGCCCACACGTGCAAAAGCAGCACACATGTTGCACTGACAAACACACTTACGCCGACATGGTAGAGAAATACCCGTGGATCATATTCAAAGTCTTGTCAATGTGGTTCTGATCTCTGGAGCCACTGAGGAGGTCAGAAATTGTAGACATGAAGAGGGAAAAGAGCTCAACCTTTAATCTCTGCACTGTGAAACCCTGAACAGCAGGAGGCTTATCACATCAAAGAGTTCAAGTCGTGACTGAGGGGGAAAGAGGGTCTGAGCCATTTATTCCTGCACCGTATCTAAAGCTGTCATGTTTCACGTCTCCACACACACATGCACACACATGCACACACACAGGGAAGGAATGCATGCTAACAAAGGCACACACACACACACACACCTCCTGAGGATGTGTCAGAGCTGCAGGGCTGGGAGCAGGACATCGGCAGGATTTGCGATGCAGTTTCCTTGGCAGCCGGTTCAGAGGTCCTGATCTTTGATTCGGGGGCGTCGAGAGATTTCAGCCTCTTCGCATGTTTTGTGCCACTGTAATGGGAAGTAGCCTGAGCCTGTGTGCACACAAGCAAACAAGACAATATGAATCTAATGGATTGAGTTTGTTAGCTCGGTGAGCCGGTCAGTATTTTTAGCTTTCAGGCATAAAACATGACTTGAATTTTAAAGATTTCACGGTTTTCCCCTGGCAAATACTCCTCTGCTACACCTTGCAGACTTTCTTTCATCTCATATATGTAGGTGCTGACATCATAATGCACTTCAGCTCGAATTAGTAGCTGTGTCAATCATTCGGTAACAATCACAATGAAAATAAATGCTCTGCAAAGGTCATGCCAGGTGTTGGAAGAAGCTTTCACACAGTAAAAACAAAAAAACAGGGCAGGTCTCCTCGCTGCTCAACTGTCATATAAAGGGTGTGTGTGAGAAATACAAGCAACCAGAGAGAAACACAATTATAAGTGTGTGTTTCCCACAAGACAACACCCACCTCAGAGTTGAACCTCAGTCGACACACTCCACAGGAGCTGGACTTCCTCTTCAGGGGGGAAATCAGCTCAAAGCCTGGGCCAATCAGAGCTTTATGGATGGGGTCCATCTGCAATAAATGAGGAGTGTGACGTTCAGGTCATGACTGCTTTAGACTCAGAGGTTAAAGTGATCACCTGAGGTGTAAATGACAGGCTGGCCATGGTTGAGACACTCCTATTACGTTAACATGGATTTATTTAGACTCAAGTTTGAGGTAGAGGCCTGAAGAACGAGGGCGTGCTTGTCTGGCAAGAGGGCAGGCATGAACATGACAGCATGTGTCGCTCACTTATTGTTCACCAGAGAAACTTTGATGAGTGAATCAATGTCCTAAACTTCAGAGAGACTGACCTCATCAGGTTTAAAGTGACTCTCCAACACCAATCCTTTGATACTTTAACTCCTGTAGGATTGAAACGTGACTTTCAGAGGCAGAGGGACGTTGGTGTAACCTGGTTTTACAGCACTCTCACTTCTTCTTTTCTTCACAACAGTTAAAGATATTCTTAACAGTAAAGCTTGTTGTGTTGATTTTCAAAGGGATCATCTGCTGATCTGGTCCTGCTCATGAGTAAGAGGGCTGTTAAAACTGGCTGAAAGTGAAATAAATGTAATGAGAAAAATAAAAATCTAAAACCAATAAAAACAATCTAAAGATGAAATAAAATGTCTGTGATAGAGCCTGAAACTGAAAAAAAAAATGAAATATGAGAGGCTAACAGAAAAAAAAAAATCTTTTTTTTTTCAACCAGCTGGTGAGAGTGTTTAATCATTTTCCTGACCAAACACTTTCAGACAAAACTCTTATACACTTATTTTCCACTCAAAAAACACCTGAGGTCAGTTATGACCACCATAAATCACACCTGACCACAGTTTGTGCTGTCCATTTAAACATTTCAAACCTATAGCAGGGGAATGAGTGCCAGAGGCCTAGCCTCACTCTGGCTTTTGCCCTTGCTACAGTCAGACTTGAAGGTGAGTTTAATGGCAATTTTCTGCAATATTTCAGTCACTTTTACAGTAAATGCTTGAAATGTGAACAAAAAAACAAACTGAGATGGTCCTTCTTTCATGAGTGTCATAGTCGGAGCCTGTAAACCTCCTCATGTCTTTGAACATGAATGTTCGTCTGCATAATAACTCCACCAGAGACTGGCCACACAGCTCTGAGCATCTCTGGACATTTCCTCCCAGAGTCTTTAATGAGCGAATACCCGGCCTTATAAAACTCTTTGAGTCTATGTGGAGCACAACAAACCTATTACCTGTGATGAAATGTGGGGAGCCGTATAACCAGCCACAACCTGGGAGACTCTATGGAAATGTGGCTGGAGGTGACAGGAAGAATGATGTGTTATTACGCCTAAGCCAACTAGTCCTGTAGGCAGCGGGAACACACTGCATCACGCCGAAATGGAGATTCTCAGGGTGGAGGAGATGAATTATTTGCTCTTGAAATGTTACAAACACAGAAGCTGACTGTAAGTGTGTGTGTGTGTGTGTGTGTGTGTGTGTGTGTGTGTGTGTGTGTGTGTGTGTGTGTGTGTGTGTGTGTGTGCGTGTGTGTGTGTGTGTGTGTGTGTGTGTGTGTGTGTGCTGAGTTTCTTTGATCATTACTTCAGGCAGCTACAAGGGAAAGTATCTCTGCAGACTCTTATCTCAGTTTCTCTGCAGCCGTTGGAGTAAATGGTGCTTAAACAAACACAGAGAAACAGAAACAGTTCTTTGGTGCATCATTAATGAAATCAATAATAAGATCTACAATCAGACTCTAGAAAATGTGAAGCAATTAAAGGTAAGACATGAGCTGGACATTTCTCAAGTTGCTAAAAGCCTCCACGACCTTCCATCAAAGCTCCCTCCCTTCACCTCCCCAGCTGCCTCCCCCTCTTTCTCTGATCAAAGTCACCTCCCCGCGTCCCTCTGGACTCCCACTCAGCACTCTGGGTCAAAGTCATTTTGCCCTTCACAGTCATCACCTTTTGTTTCTGTCATCTGTCCACATGATAAACCCACAGATGAATCAAAGCAGTGTCACCCTCCTCCTTCGCCTCCTCTACTTCAATCTGCTTGCTCTGCATTAATGCAAACTCTGTGGATTCACTTAAATAAACTGTGACATTCATCTGTTGTATTCCAGCTGTATAGGTATAGCAAAGAGAACCAGAGAGTTATCATTTCAAACTGTGCAGCAAAACAGGAAAACATCAGTCATCTGTGCTTGTTTACATCCGGGTAGTAGAGCATCACTACACCCTCTTACAAGACCTCCAAGCATGGACACAGAGCAGGCTATTAGACCCTCCAACAGCAAGTCTGCACCAGTGATCAGGCTATGTCATGGGAGGTGCTTCATAAATACAAGTTCTGCACTGACACCGGCACAGACAGTCAATGACAGTACATGTATCACAGCAGTAAAACAAGACATTATTTGATTTTCCCACCCAAAGTATGACATTGGCAGATATGGATATGGTGAATAAATCAAGCAGTCATCCAAGTGCATGACAAAGTCAACAAATAACTTCAGCACATAACTTCAGCGCTGATCTGTATGTAGTTCAGTGGTGGCATGTCACACACACACACACACAGACACACCTCCAGTGAGCGAGTTATGGCAGAAACATATGGCCGAGTGAAGCAAAGCAGACTTTAAATTTGGAGCAGAGTCAACATTTACAATGATGAATGATCTTGGATTTACATAGTGTACCAGAGCGACATGAGAGTACATGACATCAAGCACCTTGAGAGAGGCGGGCTTATGATGAATGAGCTGCTGCTTCTGGTTCTTTGTCGTTTATCTTATTATCTGCTCAGAAACATAATAAAGAAAAATCTGTCAAAGTACAAGCCACATTGTCTTGGTCTGCTGCTGCTCTGGATCCCTGGCTCATGACACACATCCACATCCTGGTGTAACCATGACAACCCATATGTGGATACCAAACAAATTATGTTGTGCTCTAGATAGAGGCCAGCAAACATGTCATCAAGGTTCATGAGATTAGCATCTATAGTCATGCAAAAACTTTTCTGTGACTTACATATGATCTTTTTATTCTGAGCTGCTGTTACAGTTGGAAAATATGAGATGGAGTTATTGCTGCATTCCTGTTGTACTCGGAAGTCGGGGTTTCAGACTCGGTCAATCCCCCCCAGCCCTGACTTGACGACAACGTCATAATCCAAGATGGCAGCACATTGCATCAACAGTAAAGAGTAACAGTGAAAGCTCTCGTAATGAAATATTTATGAGCATTTGTGTTTTGTTCTTGTGAAATTAAATAAGTGGTGTATGTTGTACTGCCCAACTGTGAACACAGTGCTATGGTGTTTGTAAGGGTAAAATATGGTGTTATGCGTTGTTTACAACTGGTATAGCTAACAACAGCTGACAACGGCTAACAACAACTGACAATGGCTAACAACGGCTAACAGTAGGCGTCCATCTTGGTTTTCTGACTTGTTAACTGGAACGCTGTCAACTCGGGTGTAACGTCATTTCCAGCTCCGACATCCCTCTTCCAAGCTAACTGGAATGCAGCACATGAGCTGCTGGGGCGTCATTAATTATTTGGTTGCATTTGGAGTTTGGCTCTGTCTTGAGAGCTCCCTGCCCCTCCACATGCTTACATGGAATACCAAAACCTTCCCTCTGTTTCATGTAGGTGAAAAGTCAAGGCAGGGAGAGCGGCAACAAAAACCCCTGGAACTGAACAGAGCCGGTGTTGGTAGCAGGTTTGATCAGCTTTGGGGCCCAGGCTATACAACAGGACAAACGATGTGTTTTCATTATTATGTTTCACACTGAGCTCGGTTGTATGTTGCAAAGTTTGTACGTCTAGGATGTAGTTTTTGCAATCACGACTGAAAGTTGAAATGTAGAAAGTAATTAATGCATCTGTAAACAAGAAGAGCATCAATGTATCAAGACTTTAGCTGCTTTCCTACTTTCTGGAGTAGTTTCAAAATATGTAAATAAAGGTTTGGAGTGACTCTATTTGGTTTTGCGAATATGTAACATCCCTAAAATGAATGAACCAGCGTTATTTAATAAGATGAAGAAAGAAATATTAAAATATTCACCAATAACAAAGTATTTCTTGTATGGTATCTCTAATGGTAGGACTGGCTCAGCATCCTTTGCTTGCTGGTATGGCAACTCCACTTGGACAAACTACACTAAAGTGAGAAACTAGAGGCAGAGGAAGCAGCAGGAGTAGGCAGACTGAGGCAGTTCAATTGGAGCGAACAATTGACATTTGCCATACATTTGACTGAATGCATGGGGGGTAAAGAGGCTGTGCTGATTTGGGCTGTTGTTGGGAGCTTGAATTTTGTGGCCTGCCTGGACAAGTACTATGTTCAATTTGGTTTTCTTTGAGTAAACTATTTAAAAAAGTCTACGAAAATGACAAGCAGACTCAGTGATCCCTCTCCAGCCATACAGTATAAATCCCTACTTGTTGTATTTTGTTACAGGCATACAGCTCCACTTTATGGTACAGAGAAGATGAAAAAAAAAACCATAAATCTCTCTAACTACACTGAGTAAATAGCAGGGATTGTAAAGGTCAGCAAATTTTGGCACGGTGGCCATTTTCCTGCAGCTGCAGAGAGGGAGAAGTGTTGAAAATGAAAGAAAGCATGAGGTTATTCAACAAGGAAATGTTGACGTGAGATATTTAAAGAGTTATTTTCTAACCTTTAGATAAAATGTTGAATTCTAACATTAATAGAGTCTTCTAGTTTTGATTGAATGTGGTAAAAGAGAAAGAGAATAAGGTGACCAGACACCCACGATTTCCAGGTACAGTCCCTGTTTTGGATGACCTCTCCTCTGCAAAAGCTGTCCCTGGAAATGTCCCCAATTTGTACATTTCATGAATGAGGAAATAAAATGTTTGGTGGTGACTACAACAACGGTAATGGTAGCTGGTGGGAAGCACTGAGTGAGCATGTAGCTGGCAGTCCTACAACAACAGCCCCCCTCCCCTCTGAATCGACTACATCCCCCAAAATGAAATTTGTCCCGAATTTTATGTCAGAAATCTGGTCACTTTACAGTAAAATTCTCATCCTATTGTTATTGCAACATAAGCATTTGTATTAAATAGACTGCAGAAGCTTGAATTAACATTTTTAATGCCCTTTTTTCAGCAGTGTAGCTGTGCAGAGGCTGGGATGTGACTGACAGGTTTTTATACCTTTTACTGTTGAAAGATGAAGCTTAAAGGTGGGGTAGGCAGGTTTCCATTAAAGAAGCATCTTTTTTTGTGGTGTATATACAAAAAAGCTTTTAATATCACTCAATAGCTATTAGTTATTGACGACCTTTGGGAATATCACAATATCTCTGTGTTTTGTTATGTCTGTGTGGTCAACATTTTAAAATTTCAGAGCACTCCGCTCTTTCTGACTGTAAACAAAGCCATTCCCCGCCTCCCCCATCCTGATTGGTTGTGAGGCGGACGCTGCTCCTTAGTGCTGATTGGTTGTGAGGCAGATGCTGCTCCCTCATGTTGTGAGGCAGACACTGCTCAAAGTTAGCATGCTACAATATCGGACAGTAGAAACCAACCAGAAAGTACGGAAAATTGTCTGAATCCTCCTTTGGCCACGACTGCCAACACAAGCAAGAAAACAAACTAAATACCGGAGACTCTGGCAGAATAACAGGTGCTTAAAACGGAGGTTAACCGGACAAGAGCTAAGAAGCTGGGTCAACAATGATGGGGTGCTTCAGGATCATACGGACCCTGTAACCTTTCTGCTGGACAGGTAAACCGTTTTAACAAAGTAAGCCAAGTGTAACAGAAGTGTTTCTTGTCAAACCGGACCTACTGCGTGTTGTAGTGCTGCTAAACTGTTTACCTCGGGTCCTGGAGTATGTCACTTTATCCTAGTTGTAGAAGTCCTGTAAACATTGTGTTTGCTGGTAGTCCGATGGCATCTACAGTAGCACCAATGCTGTTTACTTTCACGTTGACTGGGCCCCATTTGTAATTATCTAAAGTTTTTATCTGCATTATATCTGAATTTAATTGGAACGATACGAGCGAGCAGGAGCGTCTGTTTGTGGGCGGGGCGTCCTGGAGCAAAGTCCAAATCAAACAATACTGCAAAAACTTTACTTATAAACATATTAAACTTCCATGTCGTCATTCATCTCTACTGGTAATTTAATGTAGGACTTTTCCACATCATATATCTTATTTTTTGTAATTTTTTTTGCAATGTGCTTTTGTAAAAGCAAAACCCTTCAAATGATTCCGTTTATCCCTTCTCCTGGATGATATTAAGACAAGCAGCAGGCTTCTTGTGTAAGCCAAACATCAGCCCTCCGCTACACCTGACACATCCTTCCTAACGGGGTTTAGACTTCAGCTCTCCGCCTTCACCCCCCACATCCACTGGGGACAGACAGCTTCAAGAGGAGCTGTGTGAGGAATGCCAAGGAATCAGCTCCACCCCCCGGGTAGAGTGGAAATGTCACAGCTCTGTGCATCAGAGGTGATATATTTGGAAAGGTGTGGGCAGCTTTAGCTCATGCATCTGGGGATTGAAACTGTAGCATGAAATAAACTCCGCCACTTGCTGCAAACATCAGCACAATCATGGTTTTTAGGGTATTTTTAAAGGCAGCAGGGTACAGTCCACCGCCTGAGACAATTATAAGAACTGAAAGCACTCACGTCATTGAATCCAGGCAGCAGGTGGAAGGGGAGGAGGGGCTTGGCGTCAGAGGAGGTCAGGGTCCTGCCGAGGTTGGGACGAGTGAGCGGAGGCAGAGCGCTTTGACACACATTACCTTAGAGACAGCATGGCAGAAAAAAGACAAAACATTTTAGAAATGTGAATATAGGGAGGAGTGGCTACCTAGAAGTGAGTTATTTTTTAACGGTCGACGAGATGGAGAGACAAAGGAGCTTTTCTGATTGATGACATTTCCTCAGTGTGCATTTTCCTTGCATCTTAGCCACTTTAGATGCTTTTCACTCTCAATTCTTATCGATGAATCAGTTGATCAAATATAACTCCAGCAAAGTCAGTAAAGAAAGACACGTGGTTCTTAAATTCACAGTTGAATAATGGACTGAAGAACAACCCTGAGCTGCTTTTACCTAATACTCCTGTTAGGTCATGTCTCATGTTTGCAAAAGCAATGTGTCATATTCAACAAATAAAAGAAGAAGAAAAAAGTATTTAAATTTTTATCATATTTTTTTATATACAAAGCAAAACGCGCATTAATATGTTGGGGTACTTGACCAATATCAGTTTTAATGGTCGATACTGATGCCAATTATGAGAGAGCAGGTTGGCTGAAGGCTGTTAAAAAAGAGAAAATATAAATCTAGTTGAGTTATAATTTAAAAAACTGTCATGTTTGTGTTAAATATGATGTTATTAGTAATGGAGAGTAGTGTTTTATTTTAGAAAAGATAATAGTGTTATCAGCTTTGTTAGGGCCAATACTAATATGATGCTGGTTATGTCTAAAGGCAATTACTTGACTTTATGAATCAGTCTATCTCATATTAGGGTAACATGGAAGATTTTAAAGTTTAAAAAAACATAGGTCTCATCACAGTTTCTCACAAGAATTAAGTTGGAGTAACATCATAATATTTTAAGAATTAAGTTGTTATTTTATGATTTAACTATGACTTCATTCATGTAAGAAAATGACTTCATATTAAAATAATCGTTATTAATAAAACAGTTATGTGGCTCTAATTTTCTCTCTACATTAATTAACATAGAAAAACAAATGAAGTACACATTTAAAGAACTAGAAAACAATTAATTCAATTTAAATAAAGAAACATAAATAGATAAAAATTAAAAGCCACCTGTGACCGCTATTACACTGAAATATTATACACTAACAAAGTTGATCTGGTTTCAGATTCTCTGTCAATGCAACAACAAATAAGAGAGAAACCGATACAGATCATACACACATGAGGATACTTAAGTTTATTTAATATACATGGATGTGGGGTAAATAGGAAGTAATCATCTTAAAGACTTTCATGCTGCCTCAAAGTGCCAATTATGCAGGTGAGCTTCAAAAACTCCAGCAGTAGATAATTCCTGAAAAATAACAGCAAGAAATGAGGAAAACTAGAGTTTAGTGTTGAGAGAGTGACAAGGTTTCCATCTAACTACAATCAACTCTGAGCAGCTTTTAGGACAGTGAAGATGATGTGTTTACGTGACACGAACATACCATAGCCTGTTTATACTATGGACAACTTGGTTCCGCCTCCCGCCTGTATACAGACTTGAAGCCAAAAAGCTCTCTGTATTTCCAGGGTTTTTCTTCATTTCCTGAAACCAGCGCACAGTAGCATTGTGCGCATTCAGCGGGAGAGTCGCTGTGATGACGCTCAGCTCAAACAGCGTATCCCCCGGGTGAGTGACGCAATCTCTGAATGCCAATAGGCTGTATCAGGTGTCAATCAAAGAAAACATGAACCCCCTAATAACTTTTAAAAACAGAGCTTCACGGAAAAGCTCCACAAGCTTTGCTGGCGGAGGCGGGATTTATGACCTATACTGCAGCCTGTCAACAGAGGGTCCTGTTCTCAGGGTGGCTTCACCCAGTGAGGAGGCAGACTCTGTCCATTATATATCAGTCTATGGAATATACACAGGCACTGAAACAAATCTGGCAGAGCAGAAGCTACTTTGGTCCAGAAGTGTGATACAGGACATCACTGGAGAAAAGATACAGAGGCTAAAATAGTGCAAAGTTTTTTTTTTCAGCATTTTTCTGCCAATAATTATGTAAATTCTTGTAATTGAAAAAGTGCTTCCCTCACCTTTAATGATAACTGCATCAGTGTGAGTAATCACTCTAGTTCTTGCACCTGAAATCAGCCCTCTTAAAGCAACAACCAATTTATCATCATTAATTACAGGGTCTAATGCCTAAAACTTCTTTCCTTCACATGTCAAAATGTGAAAATATACAATAAAATTGTTACAAAAGCAGTTTTCTTAAAGCTCCAGTGAGGAGGTTTTGATTTGCATTAATTCTGGCGCCCTTTGTGGACAAAGTGGTATTTGCTGATTTTATCCTGTTGATGAGTAAATTGTATCTCTTCACAATTAAATGTCATCTTGCAGTCTTTGAATCATCAGATGTATCACTTATCAAGAGTCTCTGCAATGAAACAAAAGGCTGAATCAGCAGCTTAAAGCTACTCACTCAGTCTGACAGTTAACCCCCACTGCCAGTTGTTTCGTGAAAGGACTTGAAAAATAACTGCGTAGAAATGGTCAATAAGCTTTTCTTGATGCCATCGTTCTTTTTTTAGGTCAAAGGGTAGTCATCTGTACTAATTTTAGCTTGTTACACCAGTGGATAAAAACTCCTTACAGGTGCTATAATGGAATATATCTTATTTCAGCAGCTGGAGCCAGGATCATTTAAACATCTGCTCAAAACAAGGACTAAAACATAAAATAAACTCTCAGAGATGCTTCCCGGTTTGTTTTAAAAGCATGAACCAGTTGATAGTTTGCTCATAAAAACTTTCATGTGGTTACATGAGGTAGCTGTTCACCTATGATATACTGTCTTTACAGGTGTTCAGGATTTAGCTCCTACAGCGTCTCTCTCTCTCTCTCTCTCTCTCTCTCTCTCTCTCTCTCTCTTCCTCTCTCTCTCCCCCTCTCTCTCTGTCCTGGTTCAAGGAGGCCACGACGTGCTGTTTCACAGACTCAGTGTTTGTGTTGCTGACTCCTGATTGGACTCGCTTGTTTTCTCCTCTGCGTGTTCTCTGGGCTTGATTACAGACTGGTTCAGGACCAGCTCACACGAGTAATCATCATACTCGAAATCACAACACACCCTTCCGCTCAGCCATCAGTGTGATTGCCTTTAACCAGCCTGAACCCTGTGTGGACGTGTCTGTGTGCGCACGAACTGTGGCGTGTCACACTTAAAATCGCATGCGCTCCAAACATCAGCAGAGGGTTGCCCTTGGAAACGTACACGCTTATCGTCGCTTGCGTGCACTGGCTTAGTTCTGACTATTCGAAGTAGAGATAGTCCTGACCCGGTGACCTCGCCGCATTTTTGCATCTCCTTGATGTTTGACTTATTTGACAGTCTTTCAAACACGTGTTGTGATTTTACTGAAATGAAGTGGACATCTGCTCTTAGGTTTCTGGGAACTGTATTGCTGCGTGTATGTGCTTGTTGTTGTGCACAATCTAAAAAGCAGATCGTGCGCGTAATTGTGGTTTGATTGTGCGCAAAGTCACGATCTGCGTTTTGGACACCTAAAATACCAGGAAGCTGCAAGTATTTGACTGGATTCCTTGAGAAGCCCGCTGTCTGTATGGTGTTACAGCACTACGGTTGTGGCCATAATTTCTGCCATGATCAGAGAATAGACGTTGTGTGTGTGTGATATTTTTTTTTTCTTTCTTTTTTTTTTTTGCTGGCTGGGGCTTGGAAAAAGAGCACATGAATACACACTCTTGCACAAGTGGCCCGAAATGTCTGAGTAAGCTGCCTGGCACTTCGGCGCGTGAAACAAGGTCAATCTTGGGACCAGGCTGCAGATCATCACTGGATTTGGCACAGTCACACCCTGCAGCGCGCATCTTCCTACTGTGCTGCATGGAGAGGCACCAAATCAAGAGAAAATAACTTCACATGGCTCCGGTGAAATGCCAGTTCACTAATGCGCCTGCGCCAATCACTAATGAACCATCATACTGGAAAAAAAAGCCTGCCGTCAGTTTATACTACAGTCAAATTCGCATGAACGCGCATTTAACGTGCCGCGACAGGTCATGTTTTGAAACTTTTGGAACTTCCAGCGGAGGTGAAGTCATACCATCAAGTCAGGAGAAAAAACCACTGAACAGAGAGACTGTTTGTAACATTTCATGTCCTAAATGTGAGGAAACTTATGCAAACGTAAAGCCTTGTAGTGCCCCCTTTTGCAGTATCTCAGGCTGCAGTATCGCAATAATTTGTCTTAGTTTATTCGGGAAAAAATATGTCAGAAAACAGCAAATGGCATTTAAAGCATGAAAAAGAACTGTGTTTATTGCAGGGCCAATTTGCGATTTTTTGATGCCCCTCTTCATTTAGGAATTCTTTCCACTGTCTCTTTCTTTCATGAGGATTAAAAGGGAGTTACGCATAAGTCAAACTCTCTAAGCCATCATAAAGAGACTAAGATGCATGCTTTTACTGCACCTGATAGACTCCCTCTCGCCTCCTCTATCCGTCTTTCTAAGCAGGTGATTGACTCCGCAAAGCCCACATCCATCTCAACATAGCAACAAGTGAGTCTGCTGCGCTATTATGAACCACAAAGGAACTCTTTCAAGATGAAAACGCCTCGTTTACTCACCAAAATACATGGCGGCGCCGAGGAGGAAGATCCTGTTGCTCTGTTGTTCAGTGTTAAATAAAATTATCTCTCATCTCCAGGCAGAGATGGAGCTGTGCGTACTCTCCTCCTCTGTCTGTCTCCTCTGTATCTCTCTCCTGCGGCTCTACTGCTGCTCTTTCCCATCTGGATTCCCTCCCTCTCTTAACTACCCGCCCCCTCCTCCCCCTCCTCCTCCTCCTCTTCCTCCTCCTACTCTTCATCTCTTCACGATTTGTGTACAAGTCTCTACCTCTCCCAAGAGTACTTTTTTTTTCCCTCAGGAAACTGAAATGGCTGGAATGAGTGTACAGTACCACCCTGGATTAGTGCAACAAACCTTAACGCCAACAAACACAGAGCAGGGGGAACATGCCAGTTCCAACATCGCTGTAAGCCAGAGGGGTTCTCATTTTTAAGTAAAGTAACACATGAACCTGTTCCGGACAACTAAAGAAGACCAAGAGAACAAGGGGATATCCTCCTCATGCAGGTCACACTCTGGCTCCTGTCTTCAGCTGCTGTGTCTGGAGGATCCCCTCCTCTTTCTCCTCTTCCTCTTCTGTAAATGCTTTCCCATCTTCACTTTCCTCTCTGGCCTGTGTGGTATTTGTAGACGCTTCCCTGCAAAGACAAGAAAGTACACACAAAACATGATTCGCAGTCCAGCTTAAAAACATCAGATGCAGTCACGCGTTCATGCAGCTTTATGCATATATGCATGTCCTCCTCACCCACAGTGGAGTGTTTTAGTTTGTAAATGCAGAAAGTTTACATGTTACTGTGTCTCTCTGGAGCGACCTCAGCTCAACTTTCCTTTTCCTTAAGCCAGAGCGTGTTTCCCCTCTCTGTGTCAGGAAAGCAGACAACAACATGTGTTTTCCCACAATCTGCAGCGCCAAGGGGATTCGGCTCAGGAAGGCTATCAATTCAACTGTTGACCTCAAAAGGAGCACACACATGCAGTACATAGCCTCTGCTCTTCCACTGGAACTAATAAGTGTTTAAATCAGCCGTGCACATGAAATGGGAACAGATAAGAAAGTGTAGGACTTTTCTGAGTGAGGGGGCCTTACATTACTGAGGGGGAGCAAGCACAAACACATATACAACAAGGTTTTCTCAACTATTTCTGTCTCCGCTGATGGTGTCTACTGCAACTGGCTGCAACTACAGGTGGTGACGAATGAAACAGCTATGAAAGTACAAATGCTGTAACTCCTGCTGGCTCCAACAGCCAGAGAGGAGATCAGTAGAGCTCACATTTAAGTAAAAATTTTTTACAGCAGAATTATAAGTCCATTTGTAAATCTATTGCTTAAAATTGCACATATTTGAGCAAGAACTGACACCACTAAGAGGAGGTCCAGGATTTTTACAGTCTATATTTGCATCAAGTTGCCTTAACATTAAGCCCTGCACCTAATCATGCAAACAGCCAGTAATAATGTGTGATTTTTGGGCAGCGCTTCTGGGTGGCCAGTCTGGTTTCTGGGCCTGTGCCACCCCGATCCAACCTCCTGTACACACCCCTGCTCTTTAACAAAACCCATAGTTAATACATCTTACAGAAGAAATAGATAATAAAGAAGCTAAATTGGATTTATTTAAATAACTTTGGTATCTTTCCTCTTAATCTGGATTGTCCTGTGATCCACAAGCCATGAGGAAAAGCAGCTGCACTAGTAGGAGAAAACCCCTTGTGGAAATGTCTGCTCATAATGAACCCAATTTCACGCCCCTTTTGACCGTTACTGTACTGCCAGATATTTTGTGTTCCCCTTCATCATTTTAAGGGCTGGGTGGTATTAACTGTGTGCCCCTGTTCCTTGGAAGAAGCTGCAGAAAGTTTCCCTTCTGAAAGCTGTAGGATTTAATCATCTAAATGTGTGCAAGTGTCTCATTTCTTTTCTCAAATGAAGGAGTTGAGTTACAGTTAGAGACTTCATTGAGTTTATTAGAGTGAAAAAAAAAGTTCCTTTTCGCTGACCTGCCTCCTACTCTGCAGATGTCACCATTGTACAAAAATGTCCCCTGGTTGGAAGCTCACCTCACACGCTGCAGATAATATGTTAATGACTGTCCTACTTCACACTTGTTTCTGGTCTCAGGTTGCAGCTAAAAGCCTCGCTGGAATAATGGCTCGCTGCATCACTTTACACCTGCAGCTGTTTAGCATCACATCCTCACGGGCAAACACTGTGGCTGCCATGGCAACTAAGTTATGTGATATTATTTTAAGTGTGACTCTTGGCTCTGTTTAACACTTGGAACCTTTTTGATTGCACACTGGGAAGGAAACTTGTGACCCCAGCCTCGAACACAAACTAGCTCTGTTCTGACATTGGAGGCTTTTACAGGCGTTGACTACTTTAGGACTGAGAATTTCAACAGCTAACCTCACATATACAGAAAGTTACACCAGCTGTATTTTGCATGTTTTTATTTCATATGAAATCGAGGCTGAAACCAAACAGCTTGAGTCTCCATACAGGAGCGATAAACACTCTCTGAAAATTTCCTCTGCAATCACCTGCAGGCGATAATCCACCTCTCAGCTCCTTTACAGCTCTCTGCCTCCCTCTCTTACTGCGCATTTTGGGAAGTCAAGCGTCTGAACACCCATCAGCTCACCTCTCCCTTTGATTGGTCGCCATAACAACATCACCATGGTAATCAGTGTGCATTGATTTCTATTCTGTTTATGTGTTGATGTCAGCTGACGTGGATATCTCAGATTTGGTGTTGCCTGCTGATTTTCACTGACAGATGTAAAGTCATGTGGGAATGTGGGCTGTCATAGACTCTGAGTGCTCTTTTTGTGTTGGTGTGTTTTGCACAACTGTAAGTTTACACAATAACAGCCACTCACATATGGACCATCACCAAATTCAAAACAGTAAACATAAATCAGAGAGTGAAAGACAGGTGACAGTTGAAAATTTTGTGTTTAAACACAATGTTATAACTGAGCTATGACTCACTGCTGTCAAATCATTACTAAGTATTTCCACTACCAGTAAAGCGTTGCCAGACACATCAGCCAGCTCATAATCATTTGTGCAGACAGGTAGGTCTGGAGCAAGCAGCAACATCCAGTCTGGAGAAATGCAGAAGTACTGAAAACTGCAGTTCCATGAGTGTCCACTTAAGGCTGTGTGCAGAAGCACCAGAAACCACATACACATTCATTCAAAACAGCCAAAAAAAAAACATGTTTTCAGCCTGGTTCAAAAAACTGTTTCAGTCTGAATAGCTCAGTTCTCTTACGGTGCACACTGTACCAGGGCTGGATGTTTTTTGATGGATCCATTTCAAAGACATGAAGGTTATAAGCGGAGGTTAGGTTGAAGTTAGGTTGTGTTGCTGATTGGCTGCTGCTTCAGAAACAAATGAGTGACATCCATGAGACTACATCCAAAGTCTCAATGCTTAATCCAATCACTCTTTACCTTAAACATGGGGTTGGTTCTATAGGATGGTGACACCGAGGCTCAGCCTTTTTGTAAACAACCAAGATGGCAGCCTCTGCTCGTAGAAAGCCTGATGACAATGGCGGTTGTTAATTTACCTGGATGTTGTATTTTCATTCAAACAAGAACAAACAACTGCACTTATTGTCAATGCAGTTGAGCATGAGCAGCACAAGTCCAAGACAAATATCTCAAAGTTTAAACATCAAATCAGCAGCTTAGTGGACGGGCATATTCTGCACAAACCCCTCCAAGTGTGTGTCTTGAATACATTTACTCTAACATCATACTGAAATCAACATTAAAGTGATCATGTCGGCCAGAGAATAAAGGTACAACCACAAAGCTGCAGATTATCAATCCCTCAAGTTTGAGTTTTAGTTTAAGATCCAAGCTCTCTGGGGTCAAAGGTCATAACACACTAAGCTAGCAATTACCCCCAAACAGATGTGATGCTGTGGTTGTAAAATTTTGGGGGACAAGATTCCCCTCAAAGCCCGAACCAAGAGGTCTCATAAATGGGAGATAAACAGCTCCATGTCAGGGTTAGAGGTGCTGCACCACTCATCACTGAGGCACATAAACGAGTCCTGCTCTCAGACACAAGCTTTACAGGCTACACATGTCAGGTAGTGAGAAGGTAATAGCCACCATATGTATGTGCTAAATTTGAGTCTTTCCAGCCACTGTGAGCACTTCACCTCAGAGGCAAGGTCAGAAATTGGGCACACACAAAAATGCCTAGAACTGACATCGTTTTGGCATAAAAAAAGACAGCTTGTAACTTTTAATTTGGAAATTTTTACAGCTTTTCTTTTTCTCTAAAGACAGGAGGAGATTTACAGATACCATGACCAGGCTTTCAACCTGTGCAGCCTGTTCAGTCAGCACGGATTATCACAGCAGATGCTTTCACTCAGTCCATGAAACAATCCTCATTCACAAGGAATAATGAAACATCTACTGTTCGCTGCGCTCCCGCTTCGATCATATTTTCATAAGAGAAACATTATGAATACATTTGTGGATATTTCACTTTGGAGAAATGATCTCAGGTATAGAATTCTTCCTTTAGAACACACATAAACACTTACACACACCACAGCAGAAGCTCCTTCTGCACATCTGTGAGCCAGAGACTGAGCACCAGAGTGTCATTAACTACCTCTGCTGTAGATTAATGTCTTCTCAGCGGGGCTGCACCAACCTGTATTTTAACATCTATTGAATAACACACACACACACAAGCCACAGTGCCACATAATATCATGATCACTGGATAAAGAAATGAAAGGGGGAACAAATGCATCACACTCACCAATCCAATACTTGAAATACAGCTGACAACATCAGCACTGCCACCTACAGCCAGAGAACAGACACAACACTTTGAATGTCATTGCTGTACTAAATATGAGGCAAAGGTCTGATGGGGTAAAACTGCTTTAAAGAGTTGGTTATTTTATTATTTAACAAGCTGGTCTTTTTTCTTAATTGCTTTATTAGAATGATTTAATGACCTCAGGTGGAGTCTAGATTCCCAGGTAAGGAATTAATGTAAGTACCAAGTGCAAAGTATAAGAACAAGGTTTTCTCTTTTGTACCAGGCAAGAAGGAAAATACATAAGCTGCTGGCTGCCTGAGGCAGATTTTGAACTACAGTATATGTATATATGTTAGATTTATGCATTTTTATCAGTTAAGGGGAATTTATTTTCACCTGCAGCGACATTTAAGTGTTGCAAAAATGTCAGTTTAGTGGAAATAGACCAGAACAATTATTAAAAATACAGCAGCATATTGAAGGCCAGTGATGCTTTGATAAAAATTTCAAAATGTCCCATTCAAAGGTCTATGTTTGGAACTCAAATACCCAAAATTTCCAAAACATCCTTCAAAGCTTTCGAGTTTGTCATCACTTCTGCTTTGATATTCTAAAAATTTCAGAAATTGTACAATCTAATTTTAGCCATCTCAGTAAACATTGCCATTTTTACTATGAGTCCTGTTCTTCAAATTAATCATTTACTGAAATCAGGAATTTTACTATGATAACGAAGGATTTGAAGCTCCTATGAGGAGTTTTCTGCTTGTTTCAATTTTGGCGCCCCCTATGGACACTTAAGTCTTTGCTTGTCTTCTACTTTAGATGCTCAAGAAATTATTTTTGGTATAGAATCTTATCCTGCTGACTTTTGACCTCAAAAACTATAATTTTATATGAATGCTTTGTCGGATAATTGTCAATTTGAATATCTGTTTTATTAACTTATTAACGTCCAAAAAACCCCTCATAGGAGCTTCAAGGATATAAAGCTGTGATTCTATTTTTTTATTTATTTATTAATACTTGTATTTGAAACGGTCTCAGACTTCTTTTGCTTTGGTTGAGTTTCTGTGGTAATCTTTCTTTATTGTCTCTGTTGTGTCCTCTGTCCTGTTTCCCATAATAAGAGTTACAGAAATGATGTGGACAATAAAGATACACCTTTGTGAAACAATAACACACAGTCAGCATAATATAAATAATTTATTCCAAGACAACCCAGGGTTTTCACTTTATAAAAATAATACAACTTTACAGTGCCTTTTTAGAAATATGAAGATAAAGAATAAAAGAGCAAATACACTTGAGTCAGCCGTGCCTGTGAGCCACTATAGAGGAAATGTGTCAAATACAGACTTTCTGAATATTAAAGCTGTTGATCTTCAGTTACATACTGTACATACGGTCACATATACTTTAAAGCTTTGGACATTGACTGCCTGAATGTCACACAGGTACCTCACTCTTCAAACTGGTTGGGGTTGATGTCATGCTAAGGCCTGAATGACAGTAAAGTGGGATGTTATTTGCACAGAGCCGACTGCAGCCGCCTATTAGGAGCTCTTACAGCAGCCCCCGCTCTCCTCCTTGGCCTCTCCAATAGGCCCGATGGGGCCGGACAGGGTCACAGCACAGATGGAGCCACGGGTCACCTCTCTGCTGGTCACTTTCCTGTGGATCACTGGACATAGAAAAGAGAGGACACATTAGATGGAGAGTCAAAGACAGGAGCTGAGGTGAGGGTGTTAGGGTACATGGACCAAGCTTCTTTACCTGTGAGGATTTCATTGAACGCAGCTTCAACATTGGTGGAATCCAACGCTGACGTCTCAATGAACATGAGACCTTTTTTCTCTAAGTTTAAACAAAAGACAAAGATTACATTAACATGAAACAGGCTGTTAAACACACTCTTTGGTAGGTGCTAAAATTTTTGAACAAATAATAAAGGAATAGCACTCAAAAAACTAAAAGTATACCACTTATACAATGGGCTAAACATTTGATCGAATAAGAGGGATTTTTATTAGCACTCGTGTGCTAAAATGCCACACTTGAACTTTGTGCATGAGTATTTAAATGTGGCTTTTGTGTCTGATTACTTCCTAATTTTTTATGCAGTATCATACTCAAAGTTAGAGATGACAAGACACTTTTAAAACTGATTTAAAAGCTTAATTATGATACAAAAACAACATTTGAGTTTGTTCTTTGGGCTACTGGTTAAGTAAATATTTCAACTCATATCATTCACTCACATCATTTGGTCCAGTTGTAATTTACAATATACCAGAAGTGGCATATTTTTAAGTAAAAGCACAACTTTACAAAATAAATAGCATGACAAGGAAGGTTTTGCTCCACACTTGTTTGTCTGACCTCAATTTGACTTGATTCTCCGTTTCCCCAAAATAACACATTCGTATTGTTATTGGGATACTTTATGGCCACGATGACTGTGCATTGAATTTATGATGTTGTATACAGCCATCTAAAGCATGTTTTTAGTTCATGGGAGAAAACTGGAGTACCCTTGGAGAACATTCAAACTCCCCACAGAAAGGCCCCTGCAGAGTCAGGGTTTTGAACTTTGCTGGGATTCAATCATCTTGACCACTGCAGCACCATGCACCCTCTAGTAATGTTGTTAAATGGACCCACCTGCAAAGGCTCTGGCCTCCTCTGTGGGCACCGTCCTGAGTGTCCCCAGGTCTGTCTTATTCCCCACCAGCATGACAACAATGTGCTGGTCTCCATGATCCAGCAGCTCTTTCAGCCATCGCTCCACGCTCTCATAGGTCAGATGTTTGGTGATGTCGTAGACCAACAGCGCTCCAACTGCTCCTCTATAATACCTGAGTCCCACAGAGACGGCACAAACAGGGTTAAACCTGGGATTGATTGACACACACGGAGAAGGTTTGACGTGTGTGATTGTGTACTCACGCTGAGGTGATGGCCCTGTAGCGCTCCAGTCCTGCAGTGTCCCAGATTTGGGCTTTGATGGTTATGTTTTCTATCTGAACGGTCCGCGTGCTGAACTCGACACCGATGGTGGTGCGACTGTCGTGGTTGAACTCATTCTTGGTAAAACGTGACAAGAGGTTGCTCTTTCCTACCCCAGACTCCCCTATCAAAACCACTGAACAGGCACAGAGAGGAGACACTCATTTGAAATACCTTATCACCACATCAGGGCTTGTAAGAGACTGTTTTAAGCACACATCAGAGCAGAAATACAACTTTTAATGAGTCAGACCTAGATTATCCAGCAAAAGGATTCCTATCTTTTATCTCTGGGAACACGTGTCTTTGACTTTCTATCACCCTCATGAGACGTCACACACCGTGACATGACACAAACATGGCAGATCTACCCTGTGGTTGACTTCTATGAGGAATGACTGGAATGGGAAGTCATAGGTTGTTGAATTCAATTAGGAAAATACACATAAAGCTGCTGGATGGTCTTTGTGTAGAAGAAAGGAAAGCGCCTATGATCAAAAGGTCAAGGGTCAAGTAGACAAATACACACAGAGGTATCACTTCCTCCTTTTTCTATAATCGGGGCACAGCCAGAGTTACACCTGACAGAAAAACATACCTGCTCTGTGTGTTAAATCCTTCCCCACACAATCACAGCTTAAATAAATTCCACTCACCTTTGTAGACGTAATTATACGACTCGTCTGTCGACATAGTGCATTCAGGGGCGAATGTTTCCTGATTAGTAAATATCCAGGGGCCACATTAATCAGAGAAGAACATAAAAATCAGGAAAAAATTAGCTTCTTCCTCCTCAGTTTAAAAAAAAGAGAGTAAATAGAAAAAAGTGAGAAAAGGAGAACAGGTTAAGCTGCACAAACCCGCTTCCTGTTTTATCCGTGGATACGCTGACTCCTGATTGAGGACAGACAGTCAGGTAGACAGGCAGAGTAGCAAAGCTGTGACCAGCCGATCCCTCATCAGCTGACACCTTAGGGAGGGCTGAAGGGGGAGGAGAGCAGGTGGAACAGGTAGAACCACTGGCAAGAACAGCACCACCCTCCCCTACGCTCTCCTTTAACTCAGTGACTCTGCTCATTTGAATGACAATAAACGTGACCAAACAGGTGGAGGTGTGGGCGCTGTGGTGCTGCCTATTTAAAACCCGCAGGTATGAGGATACATGGAACCATTTCAAAGCCCAAAGCACCGAAGCAAACACAAAACAGATCAGCCAAGAGGTTAAAGGTCTTTAGTTATCACCAGGATAAGAAGCTAGGTGATTGCTATGATGAATTATCAATCCTATGCTGGTACTGTTTAACACAAAACTGGGGCACTGTTGACTTTGTTGAACTTACAATAAAAAGCCTCTTCATGTAAAAAAAAACTTTTTTGAAGACTGCCCCCTGGAGACAGAGGCGGACTCAGGGGCAAAAAAGAAAAAAGCACCAAATGTGAGCCAGGGGGAACCTCATCCCCTGCATTCTGGTAAATATTTAGATGACATTCACTGGTGGAAATTAGATTATGTAAAGGAAAAACAAAATTGTTAAAAAATAAAGGATAATGCTACTTTTTGCATAAGGCTCACATTTTTATAAGATTTGAGATGTTATTTTTTTCACAGTCATGTCAAAACTAGTTTAAACCAAAAGACTGAGTAACTGATTTAATTGATAAATTAAAACCCTTACACACAAGCATGTACACCAAACAGAAAATAAAGTTGAACCACTTTAGGGCACTTTTCCACATTTCTGCGAGGGCATCAAGAAACCACAAGGTACTTTTTACCCAAAGCGTTGTACATCTCATAGGCAGAGAGTGTCACCAGAGGGCACTTTTAAATTACTATATATATTCGAAAGGCACTAATATGGCTTTTTTTCTCTTCATTTTTAAGACCTGAAGGGCATTTGGGGGGCTGGAAATATGCTGGAAATGCATCCAGAGGGCACCTTTTTTAATATTTCATACCCCAGTAGGGTATGTTAAAGACACTTTTTTGTTCATATGTTTGAAAGAGCATTCAGAGGACACTTTTTATTGTTCTTTAATCTTGATAGGGTATCTATAGAGCACGTTTTATGTTTTATAATTTGTGGGTTCATCCAGAGGGCACTTTCTGAATTAACATACTTTGGTAGGGGATCTTAGGGACACTTTTTATGTTGGAAGTGCATCCAGAAGGCACTTTTTACATGCTACATATGCTGAAAGGACTTCTAGAGGGCATTTTTCCACATCTTTATACCAGAAGGGCATAAAATGCACCTTTAATTCTTATATGCAGTAAATGCTTCCAGAGGGCACATTTTATGTTTTAAATGTTGGAAGTTCATCCAGAACTTGGTGAATGTGTTAAGACAGTGTCACCTGTTGCTGTAACATGCATAGTGGGTCTTGCACATCTTTAAAATAACTCTGTTCTACACAAGTGTCAAATATTATAGTATGCAGCATTTAAAGATGTAACAACTAAGACAAACTTATTTTGTTGATTTGGTGCCCCCTTGTGGATGATAAGTATCCTGTTATGCTGATCTCAACTTCACCAAAACTAACATCCAGCTTCCAACCTAATAGACTACACCTCACACAACTGTACAACAGCTAAACTGTAAGAGTAACTGACAAACTGTTGACACCAAAATATTATGTTGGACATTTTTGTTTTCAAGCTCCTGTGATGAGCTTTTGGTTTGAGTCAGTTTTGGCACCCCCCTGTGGACAAAGTGATAGTAAAGAGCCATTGGTGTCAGTTTCAGCCTGTTTCTCAACCAGATGAAAACTCCTGACTGTGCCTTTAATAATATATGAGCTACAGGCATTTAAGCAAAGTTTTATATCCGAGTTACAATTCAAACTCTAATTTTTGACGTTTTTTATTTTTTTGTCTGACACTTCATTTACTTTTATTTACATCCTGAAATAACAATTACATCAACCCTTTTAGTACAAACAAATATTTGGTATTTGCACAGTATGGCAGTACAACAATGGACCTCTGGATTTCTGTCCAGCCATCTGTAGTCATCATAATTGTTAGTATAATTAGTTAATTTACTTTGGATCAGCCTGAACTGCTGCTGATTATTTCAAAATGCAATCAATGGGCCTGATTACTGACATAGACTTATTTATTGGTCGAGTTCTGATGATACAAAAGCTAAAAATGCAGAATGTATTAAACCTATACACCCACGCCAAATGTAGGTAACATTACAGATCCTTAACACCAGGGGGTGGTATTTCAAAATAATGTCAGAAACGTGTTTCAGGTGCTCTGTTTGGTCACCTCACAGACTTGTCGTTAAAGAAGAGGATATAGGCTTGGATCTTTAAAACTCCTCAATGTACAATCAATCAAAGCAGAAACAGTCCAAGTTTGTTTAGTCCGAGGTTCAGATATCTGGATAAGTTTAAAGTCAGAGAGGTAATTTTGCAGTGTCCCATCAGCATCGTGAAAACACTACAATTAACCGACACAGAGCATCAACAGTTTTTGACCATGTTTTATTTTTTTAGTACAGTACTGTTAAAAGTTAGTTCCAACATGTTCAATCGGGTGATGGAATTTTCTTTCAGCTGAGGTCAACAGACAAAGCAAAGCTATAGAAGCAGTTGCCAAGGTTACCACAACTACAATGTTGAGATTTCCAAAAGAAAAAAATAATAAGACAACCTATAACTTGATTTTAGAAACGTATGGTGCCAACACACCACAATCGGTCGTAAAGCCTTTCCAGTATTTATTCACTTCTTTACTTAATTGATTTCCACGTTTATTTTATGCGAGACAAATCAAAATGATCTCTAGGTACTAACTGCACCTCAAAACAAGAATAACAGAATAAAAGAGAATCAGATTAAAATGAAAGGAAAGCTTGTTTCATTCATGTTCATTTCAACATCATCCTTTGTTTCAGAGCTGCTAGGATGTGATATTTGACTATGTTTACAGTTCAGGATGATGCTGTGAACAATTCATCATTGTCTCTAATGAACTGAGTGCGTGGGGGCTGTAATTTCTCCAACAATGCTCTGTTAGGGCAGGAAAGGACACAAGGCACAGCAGTGGTGCCTCAGGAGGAAAAGACACTGTGCACCTGTGAGTGGGCACTTTTGTTTGGAATGACAAATTATAAGTTCAGGGTAAAGTTGAGGGAGTCGTTTTCTCAAGCACTTGCAATAAATAGTGAAAGTTATTGGGCAAAACCTGCTAATCCTGTCAAGTGTCAAAAATGGTGAAAAAAGGAATAATGAGGATGAACATCTGTATGGACAGATAGCCTCCAACTCTTAAACAGCACTGTCTACTGTCTGCTTATCAAGATACTCTTACGTATTGAACTGCTGGTTCAATGCTAACAAACTGTCATAAGGAACAGAGCCGACAACCAATCACATTGCTTGGATTAAATCTGTATTATGTAAATGTCTGTCTGCAACACTAGACTCCAGTTTAATGAAAAAAAAAAGAAACAACAAATGAAGAATGGTTGGGAATCCTTTAACATGAGGGGTTTTGCTTCTTTTCTCTGCACCAGAAAACCCCTGGAGTTGAGAGTGGTTCAGTCCGGCTCTGCAGGAGCACTCTGAGACAGAGATCTGGTTGGATGACGAAAATCAAGCAAAGTTTGGGGGCTGGGGAATGATCTGAAAACCGATGTTGAATGAGTTTCTGCCCAAGTTTCTTCTGAAAAGTTTGGGACGATACACTTTAATTTCTCTTGGATCTCTGGAGATGCTGGGTGTGTTGATGAGTCAGGTTATGTATGCACGTGCCTGTGTGTCAGATGTACTGTATGTCTTTAAGAGGGCTGTGAGCCCAGCAGTCTCTCGATGGCGGCGTTGATGTCTCCTCCAGTAGCGATGAGGGCCTGCAGGTTGGCCTCACGGTTAATGAAGCCCATGGCGCTCAGCTGGTCCAGCTGGGACTGGAACCTCACCTCAGGGGTCTGGGTCTAGAAGTAGGGAGGATAATAAGAGCTTAATTCTTTTTTAATAAGTTGAATTGTTTGATGAAATCTTTCATAATTGATGAAATCAAACAAGCTGTTTTGTACAAAGCACAGCAAAAAGACTGCATGAGTCAAAAGCTTCTGCTCTTGTGAAGCTTTTTACTTCACCGTTTTGAATATTAACTGAGAGAATTTTATGTGAAGTTGGGTTAATGCTCATCAAGGTTGTTACCGAATAAACTATTGTGTTCTCCACGGTTCTTTTCTAGGGTCCTCAACTTTTTAATCTTTCTACAGTATCTCTTGGAGATGTCACCATGAGGTGCATGGTATCAACAACTATGCAGATGACACCCTGCACTGCACTGACGTGTCCTCTAGTAAAATTATGCCCTTTGCAATCATTTTCTAGACATGAAGTCATGGAGAGCAGAACTGTTTTACAGCTCGACCAGAACAAAAATCCAGTTTTGGTCATCGGTCAATGAACGCAAAAACTCACAGCAATCTCTATTAATCTACATCAGAGGGTTAAAAGAAACTAAACATGACGTTTGATTTAGCCACAAATCAAAGCATCATCTTGTCTTTGATAAATTCATTTATTTTTGTGATAATTGTCTTATTGTCTTTTTATTATCCCGTTCATGACGTCTATTTTTGTAGTTTTTCCCGTTCATGACGTCTATTTTTGTAGTTTTTCTGTTCTGTTTTGAGTTTTCACTGAGTATTTATATTGACATACAGCACTGTGTGGCACACAGAGCTTTACATGTGAAGTCTGATTCTGAAGAAACATTCATACAAGGTGTGGTGCATGTCATATCAGATTATGTGTATATATGGTACCGTTGCACTTCCTCCGCCAGCTCCTCCGGCAAACATCTGGAGCATCTGTTGCATCAGCTGCTGCTGGGCAGTGTTTGTTCCTGCACTGCTGGGGGAGGAAGCTGGGTTCTCTGTGGGTAGACCCCCTCCTGTGGGCATGCCAGGAACTCCACCAGTCGGCATGCCAGGAACTCCACCAGCTGGCATGCCAGGAACTCCACCTGACATCAAACTGGATCAAAAAAAAAAGACAAAAGCGTAATCAGAAAGGAATCCTTCTCCATCTCCAACATGTGTATGTCAATTTGTGGGGGCAAACCTGGGCATGAGGCCCGGTGCTTCTGTCTGCAACGTCTGTAGACCCTGTTGAATCTGCATTAGGGCCTGCATGGCCCGGGGATTAGTCATCACTGACAGGGCTTCTGGGTTCTGCATCTAAATCCAATAAGATCAATCAATTAATAAAAAAACAAAAAAAAACAAATATCATCTCATTTTGCACTTTTACTGAAACAGATTACAAAAATGTTTTATTGCCAAACCTCATTAAAAAAAAGCAATATCTCATTATGGCTCGTGTGGTTTGTTGTTCTAACAGGATCATTTTTCATTCTACTAGAACTTGTTTTGACAATTAGTGGATATAAATTTTGATGACCTTAGACATTAAAAAAGAGGTAACTCACAAAGTTTACAATTTATAACATGATACTGATCCTTTTTCTAACACTACAGCCAGTTCAAAAACCTGAAATGACTGCAAAAGATCCTGTCCTCTCAGATCAGTGTTCAGCATGTGCAGATACAGAGGAGTGTTCAGTTTCACAACACCAGGGTCAAGGTCTATTGGAGTATATTGCCCCCTACGGGCCAATCAGTAACCTTCTTGTTTTTCTCGTTCTTGTGTGTCGTTTGAAAAATACACAACCTGAGAAACCAAGATGGATTCATGAAACTCAAGTATGATGGTACCTGCTGCAGAAAGATGGGTAACTGAGCTCTGAACTGTTCCTGCAACTGTGGGTTTCCAGCAAACAAGGGGTTATTCATCAAAACCTGGTGAGGGCAGAGAAAGAGGGACGGTTCAAGTCGGTCCACGTAATCCCAGGAAAAAAAAAAAAAACTCCCTGCAAAAATGTCTTTTAACCGTGTCAGTGTTTGTGCGATTCTCTAATGTATGGGGTTTTCTTTAGTTTCCTAAAAGTCACTCCTGTGCATTAGTGGTCTGACTTACCCTGACTTTATTCTTTAAGGTTTAAATACAAATGCAAAGGAGCTTTACAGACAATCCACTCTGACTGTGTACTAAATAGTTGGCCTTATTAGTCAAATGCACAGCAGACCTGCATATATCCTTCTGTTAATGACAACAAAGTGTTCAATATATACAGTTGAAAAAAAACATATACGCAAGAAAGACTTTCTGATTATGTTTTATCTAAATCCCAAGAATTTACGGTGTGACATTATTGCTTCAGTCAGTTTTTTCTTTAGTGAGTGTGATTTCACATGTGAGATTACCTGTGAGGCCAATTCTGGGTTTTGAGCCAGTGACTGCATCATACTGCGCATGTAAGGAGCAGACAGCATGTTCTGCATCAGCTGAGGGTTTTCTGAGATCTGCTGAAGTAGACTCTGCATGCCCGGGCTGTTGAACATCCCTGAAAGTTACAGAAGGAGTTTATTTTTGAACATTTATGAGCATTTACACAAGTAATCTACATGATCATATAAACTTATGACCCAGCATGCAAATGTGCAGAGAACAATGGCCCGCTCTGTCTTACCATTACCCAGACTGCCCGGATTGATGCCCAGAGGGTTGGACACACTGGGGTTGGTGCCCCCAGTGGTGCTTGTGCCCCCCGTGGTGCCCCCTCCACTCTCAGAGGGGTTAGAAGAATTTGGTGGCCCCCAAGGATTAGGCAAGGGCTCTCGGTTCTCTGTTCGGGACGGCTGAGCACCAGACTCAGAGTTTCCACCTAGAGCTGAGAACGGGTTGCTTCCAAACTACAGGGAGAGAGATGGGACACATTTGGAAATAGAGAAACCGTCAAAATAAATTTTTCACAAAACACTGGTTAGTACAAGTATGACAAAGGTAACTGAATCAAATGGAGTTCTGACAAAGGGTACACAAACAAGGTTACCTGTTCTCTAGCAGCGCTGAACATGGGTTCCTGGATATCTGTGTACATCCTCCTCAAAGCGTTGTAACCTCCTGGGATGCTCTCCAAGTTGCTCAAGGCTCTGTCCTGGTTCCGCATCATTTCCTGCATCATGGCCGGGTTCCTGGCCAACTCCATGGTCTGAGGTGGAAGATAAATGGGGAGAGGAGCCAAGTCAGTGAGAGTTCTATTTAACCCTGTGAACTCAGTGATGCAAATCAGTTGGTGACTGCCAAGAGCAGTATCTCTGCCTGATGTAATGTCATATCTTCACGTATCCCCAACTGTACTCTTATTCCTAAAAACCACTGCAGTACAAAAGTTATGTAAGGTCAGTTGAAAATTAACTGTTTTGGTTTGGCCTTAAACAGGGTTATGCAAACAAACTTTTTTTTACTTCCATGCTTTTAAACAGCGCATAACAGAAAAGACTCTATCCTAAATTAATTTTATTTAAGTTTATTCTAAACTGGAACCAGATCATCCTGTTAAATTCCTGTCCACGGCCTTTACCTGTCTCATGAGCTCAGGGTTGTTGAGCATGTGGGAGATCTCAGGGTTGCGTTCCATCAGCTGCTGCATCTGAGGGTTGGCCATGATCATCTGCCTCATCAGGTCTGGGTTGGACATCATGTTCTGCACCAGCGGGTTCTCCATAATTTGAGAAAGCATCTCTGGGTTGGACATAAGCTGCCTCTGCATCTGCTGCTGCAGCTCCATGAAGTTAGCCGAGCCCATGCCCATCCCAGCGAGGCCAGCCAGGTCACCGAAGCCAGCTACGGGAGGCCAGATGGTTACTCATGCTATCTTTAAGGTGCTGAACCAATACAGAGTGTTTGGATGTAAATGAAACTCACTCAGTATGTTGGGCGTCTGTGTGGGAGGGGGGGCGGTGCCAGTGGAGCCAGCTGTGGAGGGGGGGTTGGTACCTGGACTAGAAGTGGAGGTATTGCCTGCTTGAGTGGAGGTCGAGCTGGAGGCTGAAGTGCTACCGCCATCACCTGCCCTGTTGGAATAATTGTGGTTGTGATGACAAAGTTAGCACCTCTATCCGCTCCAAATGTAACCAGAGACTAAAGGCGTAATCAAGAGATGCCTTACTTGTGTGCTGTCTTTATGACTAGGTGAACTGTCAGGCCGTCCTTGATGCCGTGTTGGCTGAGGCTGTCGCCATCCTTCAAGATCTTCCCTGCAAAAATCAGAACCAACTGGTCCTGTTTGGCTTTAAACCGCCTTGAGATCTCTTCTTTAAACTAAAAAAGGGGAGAGATGACAAAAAGAGGAGGTAATGAGGCGATGATAAGAGGAAAAATAGGGTGGAAAAGAAACAGGAAATTAAAGTGTTATATTCAGAATATGAATGAGGCAGTTACAGTTCAGTGCAGCTGCTTGGAAAGGCTTCCAGTCTTTTGCAACCGTAAGGCCTTAAATTCCAGTTTCTAAGCAAGGCCTGTGTACTTATCCTATTAGCAGAGGTCTAAACACTTGAACTCTGCCAGGCCATTGTTACTCTCACATTATGAGCACAGAAAATCTTATCAGTCCTCTCGCTGCTTTTTGTCTTTCACTTAAAAAGATTCATATTTAAGCCACTTATGATGAAAAAGCCCAACAGATTACTATCACAGATAAGATGGGAAGAAGAACACAAATAATGAAATATTTTCAAGATAACATGCTGGTTGTGCTACGTCCACAAACAAACCAGCTAAATCACTTCCTGAGGACATTTTTCTTGTAAAGTAACTTGTGTTTTGGTATTTTACATTTTTAATACGCAGTAGTTTTGTAAGTCGATCTTTTCCACCCTGTCCTTTTTCTTGAATCTCACTTTTTTGTTTCACTTAACTGACATGTTTGTTATCAGATTGTTTGATGGTACCCATGGTAGACTAGCGAACACTCGCAGAATAACACACAGAACAAAGGATGTTACTGTTCATATTAGCTTTCAGCTTCAGCACTATTTCAGTCTACTAATTTAACTTTTCTGTCAGAGCCCTCCATCAGGCACCCGGGCACTCACTTTGAAACACTTTCAGAGGTGTGCTTTTACAGGAGATGTCACCTGAGAATGTTTTAATCCCCTGGATGCTGCTTTCAGGCAGTCTTGTATCTTTTAATCATTTCAATCTTTTACCATTTGCTGGTTTTACCTCTCTAAGCTGGTACTATTTATTTTAAATCTATTTAACTTCATTTAGTTTCTGTGACTGCCCTTTTTAAATATCCCCTCGTTTTTCTTTCAGTTTCACTTATTTACCTCTCATTTGTAAAGCACAGATGCTGTATAAATAAAGTTTATCATTTTAAAGATTGAAAATTGTTCACACAAATATCAGAGTAGCCTCCTGGACCTGGATGAACATCTGTGAGTCGACCCCCCCAAAAGACAAACTGCTGAGTTGGACCTGAGACCACAGACAGGATCCTGACCAGCAACAGGCTCAGCTGAGACTCTCTGGTTTCATTGAGCTACTCTGATTGCTCTGTAGGGTCTTTGTAACACGTCTCCAAGACTACAGTAGTCCTGAGGATCTGTAGTATTCCCTAGAAACCTGAATGACTCAGGACCAGCTCTGAGAATGTTCTAGAGGGACAGCACGCTTCAGCATTTTACCAACAGAAAGCTGTTTTTCACAGTGTGAACAGAAAATTACAGGGTCATAGCCTCTCTGAAAGGCCGTCTCCATGGTGTAATGTGCCACTTTTGGCTTATGGCTCTAACCCTGGGCGCAGAGAGACCGAAACCTCGTCAGCTGACTCTTGTTTGGCTCTGAGTTAGCTAACTAGCCTCCTATCACCGTTAGCCGGCTAACCGGTTAGCCGTGTGGTGTACTCTGGTGGTTTTATCTCCCTTTGGAGCCTCAACAACAGCAATAACGGCGAACTTCTGTTTTAACAAGCCGTAATACTCCCACTACACACAACCCGTTGAATTCGTCAAACGATCTGTTAGCCGGCAAGCGGTATGACGAATGCTAACACGGCTAACTAGCGTGCTAGCTGAAGCTATGGGCATGACGTGAGAGCACCATCAGCTGAGTTATCCTCATACCTGAGTGACAGAGGCATCCTCTGCGATGGCGATTTCTTCTTTGTCTTTCGGGGTTTTCACTGTGACCTTTATAATCGTTCCCTCCGACGACTCAGGTTTATTATTGTTGTTATTTCCAGGATCTGCGGCGCCTTGGTCAGCCATCTTTACTCCGCCGATGGAACAGCTCGGGTCTAGCGTCAGCTTCCGGGTCATAAGAGGTCAAACCTCCTTCCAGAAGTTTTCTGGTCCTCATACCTGCTTGTTCACCTAGAGGCAGCTCTGGGGAAGTCCTGAAGTACAGTCTGTCTCTTCTGAGAGGTGAGCCTGGACCATCGATCTGAGGTCTCTGAGTTGAATGACTTTTATATGAGAGGAATTGTCTCTGCAGCAAAATAGACAGAAATAGACCGGCTGTTTGGGGTATTCAAAAGCAACTTTTCCTTAAACCTATGTGGTGTGTTTTTACAGAAATTATTTCTTTGTAGTGATTCTAATATTTTAACTTAATTTCTGCTTATCAATTCAAATAGTAAAATGCCTCATCATGTTACTTCATTTAGCTGCTTGTTGGAAATTTGAATTGTATATTCACTGATATGATAGTCTTCAAATAATGCTTTATCTGGAATTTATTTTCCTGATTTGGGTGTGCTAAGATTTGGTTTGGAAGTGCCCTGTGATATTGTGTCTTTGAAGATGGCACTTTTACTGCTGGAATTAAAAGAGTACATTGTATAAAGCTGCCAATAGTTGATGCTTGTGAGGTTTTGTGATTTTTACCCCCTTATTTTCAAAATTTAGCTGAGAAACAGGTGAAGCTGTGCAAAGACTGAATGCAAAAATGTTAGTTCATTATTTCAATTAAATACGGTCTCCCAAAGAAGCCATTAGCTGACGTGCATCCATATGTTTTTTTTTTTTTACTTATTTCCCTGTGATATCAAGTTGATTTTAGTTCTTTCTTGAAGTACTTGACTTTTGTAAAGACTCATGGTAACAACACAGTTTTTCCTATCATAGCAGATTCACTTATATATCAGGATGGGTTTACTTATAATAACTTGCAATAATAATAATTTATTCTGGTCTGGTCACTTTGAGGATCCACAAACCTTGCTGCTACTGCCTATGCTCATGAGGTAAGTTACGCTGTCTGTTTCTGCTGTTGCAGTTCTTGGGGGATCAGGTTATAAATGTCTGATATTACTGTGGAGAACAGTGTGGCTATGATGAGACAAAAGTTAAAATCTTGAGGGAAAAAGATAATATTGCACGAGTGAACAGATTGGATGGACTATGGATTAAAGTCCACTTTGGGCCCCCAATGACTCTCCTTTGGGAAAATTAAAACAAATTAAAGATTTAAATTAATTTAGAGAGGTCTGAAAAGACTGTCGTTTTGATGACTGACCTGCAAAGAGGTTGCTGTGACATTGTTGATCAGCATCTTTCAAGACCAATCCTTAAATCAATCAATCAGACTGAGTTTGTTTAACACTTTTGGTACAACAAAACGTAGCACAAAATGCTTTACATGAACATAAAACCATTGAAGTCATTCTTTCGATCTTTGTCTGTGTGACATTTTATAACTTCAAATATTCTGGATTACATGTGGGTGCTGCCTACTACAGTCACAGTCTCATCTGTTGGATCCAAGCAGCTGAGTAGTTTAATTCACTTCCCTAACTTTTTGGCCACCTCTCCACAGCCCTTAGTATTCCTGCCCTTTCTTATTCATTTGTCTATGGATAAAGACTGAAACATTTGATTGTTCACTGAGCCCTATAGTAGGCTGGTGATGTTCCTATGCTTGGTATGTTGATTTTTACTCTGGTGGAAATAAAATTTGGAAAGCTAAGTTCAAAGGGTGCATGTAAAAGAGCTTAAAATGCAGCTTTGAGTCCTTTTGTAGATGAAAACTCTAAATTTCTTTTTTTTCCCAATACAGTAAAAGGAAGAGCTCAAGATGTGAATATTTGATCTTATTTAAGGAAACTTGGCAGGAAAGTTTTAGAGACACTCTCTGTATCAAGCGCTCCCTCTATATGTGTCCTCCTCGCTGCCACAGAGTGACAGCACTGAAAGAAAAATGTGTGTTTCAGCATGTCGCATTGACACAGACAGTCCTGCATACCTTTGCATATCCCCAGTTCTAGAGCACACCATTTACAAACAAACAAAACCCAAAGAAGAAACAGGGACCAACACCCCTTTTCCAAAGCCCGACAAACCCCGTACACACTCACACACGTATGCAAACTCAAATCCAAGGGGTCACATGCACTGTGGCCTCTTCGGTGTGTCATTCAAGTGCAGGAGACTGTTTGCTGCAAAGGATTTTGCTTCCATCGACAGAAAAAAACGGGACAACTTTTGTGGGTGTAGTATTGTCTGTGACTCTCTCTCTTTCCCCCCAAAGTGAGCAACAACTCCCTTTCTCTCTCTTTCCCCCTCCACCCGCTTCTGTCGTTACCTCGGAGAGGAGAGGGTGCAATTCTAGAAACAAGGTAAGGGATCGAATTTCAGGGTGTTTGTTGTGTTGGTCCCAGAGCGATACATTTATGATGACAGTGATTGGATGGAGGCTGGCAGAATCAGATAAAACCTGACTACTGCTGAACTAACACTGCTGTGACATGAAGACAAGGCAGGGGGACAACAACAAAGTACAACAATAAAGCTCTTACTGTGGTTTTGTTTTGCACCAGTTCAACTAAAAGGGATGTTTCCAAGAAAGAAGAGGTAAATATGTTTGATAGGAACGATGTCAGAGATCCAATCTGGTTTTCATACTTTTCATCATATCTGAGGGGCTTCATCAGTCTGAATGTTTTGTAAATATTATCAATCTGACGTGGTAATGAAAAAGCTATATGATAACTCTAAATGTACTGTATGTATTTAAACAGGCCTGTAAGATTTAACCCTTGCCTTTCTAAGGTTCACTATACTCCAAGTTTTGGCAAAATTTGTTTGGTTTTGAATAGAAGCTTCATTCATATTGTTTTTAATAACTTTAATCTGGATTTAAATTGCAGATCTTGGGGTAAATGGTTTAAACTTGGCCTGACTCACAGAGTCTGTATTTTTAAAATGTGTTATCCGTACTTTAATCTCTGTTTTGTTCTCATTTTATCACAGTTGCTCTGCAGTGGCTCCATTATATCAGCTCAAGATGTATAGCTTCATGGGAGGGGGCCTGTTCTGTGCTATCGTCGGTAACATCCTGTTGGTAGTCTCCACTGCGACCGACTACTGGATGCAGTACCGTCTGTCTGGAAACTACGCCCACCAGGGTCTGTGGAGGTACTGCATGTCCAACAAGTGCTTCATGCAGACTGAAAGCATAGGTAGGAGAGATTTGATTGGATGGAAAAGGCAACAAATGCTGAAAACACATGCAAATTTGTGTTTGTGTTGCTTTGTGACTTTAACATTGATGTGACAGTTTGTAAAGCCTTAAATCATGTCTGTATTTCTCAACATTAGCTAGTACAAGACACAATAGGTAGCTATAAGATATCTGGTTAATGCCACTTCTGCTAAATAGAATAGCAAGATAAACATATGGATACACTGAAACTTTGGTGAAATGCTCTTACAGTCATCCAGCTCTTACTCATGTTTGCTCAGGTGGGTCCTGAACATCGACTGTATATACTATGGACAACTTGGCTCCGCCTTCCACCATTGTACAAATTTGAAGCTGAATTGTTCTCGGTATTTCTGGTATTTTCTCCACTTCCTGGAACTACCACTTGCGCAGTAGTGTTGTAGACATTCGGCAGGAAAGTTGCTGTGATGACACTCTGCTCAAACAGCATATCCCCCTGGGTGAGATATCTTAGTACACCCATAGGCTGTATCAAGTGTCAATCATGAACCCCCTAATAACTTTCAAAAATGGAGCTGCACAGAAAAAAGAGGACATCTGCACAAATCAGTCTCACAATAACTACATGTCAACATCGCAACCAGGGGGGAGAAAATTTTCTATTCTGTGTAACTAATTTCTAAAGTTTGTCCACAGCTCCATAGGGATTGCTGGAGGAGGTGGGATATATGACCTATACTGCAGCCCATCACCAGAGGGTGCTGTTCTTAGGGTGGTGTCACCCAGTGAGGAGGCAGACGGTGTATATTCTATATGCAGTCTATAGTCCTGAACTGCTGTCGCTCCAAACTCTGCCCAATATCCTGACCCAGTCACAAGCTTCTACTTAGAAAGGGGGCGTGGTCTGTAAAAATACATGAGTGCCCTTTTAGCTACTGCCACTTGGAGGTCCATTAAATCCAAACAAGAAGAATTTTACTATCTGCACTTACTTTCTTGTTCAAAATTAAGATAAGATAAGCTAAGATAAGGTAAGTTAGGAATAACTTTATTGATCGCCAAAGAGACATTCAGTTCTATGTTGTCTAATGTCTCATGTCATTTATGTCATCTACTATTTACATTGATTAGGACATGTATGTGTATGAATTGTTTGACAGGGCAACATCTACATATAATCTGCTATTTATGTTTAAACTGTTCTTTATAAGTTTTAAGAGTGAGCTTTGGTTTGGCCGAAGAATATTTTTGTGATTTCGAAAGAGGCCGCAGTGTTTTTAAAGCTCCTGTGAGGAACTTGTGGACAGCGCAGTCTTTGCTTACCTAGTTCGAGTGTCTTTGGACAAAAAAAGCTCCTCCTGCTGACTCTTGACAGTCAAACACATCTTTTAGTGTGAAAGTTGTAGAAACAGGGCTGTTTCTTCAGCTGCTCACCTAACACACCAGTTTCAGTCATCAATAATGACGATACAACAATTGTCCCTTTTAGCACCAGCTTGCCCTGTTTTGGATATCACTAAGTCTTACATTTTTGTGGACATTGTCTTGTTTTTATGTTCTTTGTGGTGTTTTCAGATAAAAACCTCATCTAGTTGTCTGTACTAGTCAAATGCTCACTCACCAATAGTATTTGCTACGGTAAAAGTAAAATTCTGTTTCCTCAGTTGTCAATGAGTTGTCTGGTCTGACAAGTACCTCCTCACAGCAGTTTCAGACATCAGAACTGAAACATACATATAGCAGATGGTCTCATTTGCTTATGTAGGTCGTAAAGGGATATCACTTTCTCAACCTAAAACTCCCTGCAGGGTCTTTCACCAGAACTGTGACTTTGATCCAAAAAGGATTATGTCAGTGTTCGTGCAGAGGTCTTAAAGTTTTTGAAGTGAGTTGATGAGTCCTTCCTGTTTCCTCCCAGCATACTGGAACGCCACCAGGGCCTTCATGATCCTCTCCGGGATGTCGTGCTTTGCAGGCATCATCGCTGGCATCATGTCCTTCTCGCACTTCTCCTCCTTTGAAAGGTTCAACCGCTCCTTTGCTGCAGGAATCATGTTCTTCGTCTCCAGTGAGTCTCATTTCCTCTAAAGTGACGCACAATTTACACTTTGCTCAATCATAACTGATCTGCACTTCCTCTTCACCCCTTTCAGCTTTCTTTGTTCTGCTGGGTATGGCCATTTACACTGGAGTGACTGTCAACTTCCTGGGGAGACGGTTCGGTGACTGGCGCTTCTCCTGGTCTTACATACTGGGCTGGGTGGCCATGCTTATGACCTTTTTTGCAGGTGAGAAGAACACCTGGAGTAAATGTTCAACTTGGGAGGTCAGATTTGAAAAGATTCTGGTCATTTAGCTGCTTCTTCATCTCTCCAGCTGGTATATTGACAGCTAAAGCCCAGACATAATAATTTAAACAGGCCATAGAGGTCAGAATATATGGAAACACAACTGCACAGAAACAAGTGAAAGAGGACTGTTACCACACCCACTCTGTAACCGTAAACCTTGTCTCTTCATTGTCTGTTTCAGGTATTTTCTATATATGTGCCTACAGAATGTGTGAATGCAGGAGAGGAACCAGCTCACGCTAAGAGGAGACCAAAAGTTTGTTGAACAACAACATTAACAGGGGACGAAGCTGCTTTGAACGGAGGACCAACAGAAGCCAGTCCAGAGTGATCTAATGAGGATTTGTAGTCTGATGCTGCTCCTGAAGTCCTTTGACGGTTTCATGAGCATGTCTCCTAAAAGTCTTGATTCCTGCAAGATGGATGTTTTACAAACATGCATGTTAATAGCACAGAGGAAAAACACAATAAAGCTAATCATGCTAACAGAACTGGATAGTGTTATTGAACTTAAATTTCATTCATGTAACCACAATCAGGCACCTTCCAGGGAGTTAGACCTTTAACATCAGACCTAATTCAACCACACATTCTTAGTCCTGCCCATATCTTCACAAAAAGAGCACTATAAATTACTATAAATTCTGTAGAGATCCTTACCTTCTCAGAAATTTCTGTCAAATAATTGGGGGATGATATTCCCTTCCTTTCCTGTAATGATGCCATGTTTGGTGTCATACTCTCAGTTTGCATTGACATATTTTGAGGAAGCTATTCCACTTCTCTGCATCTGAAAACACTTTCTTGAACCTTACCCTAAGATGTTAAGATTGGTAGGGTGAAAACAGGTCCTATTCGAAGAGCAGGAACACACTGGGAGAATCACCAGCAGGTGGCAGCACTAAAACACTACAATCACTTGAGCTCAGTGCTTTCAGTAAAGATTGGTTTAGGGTACTTAAAGTCAGGTTACTCTAGTATCAGATGTATTAAAGAATAAATATAGTTTTACAGAGAAATCTCTGGGAAAAAAAGTTACAAAAATAGAAGCATCAGAGCGAGAGAATTACAAAAATGTTAAGTATAGAGGCAGTAAACACAAACTGTAGTGCCCAAAAATAACAACAATTTTATGATGAGTATTAAAAAATATTTTAAAAGTTGAACAACCTAACAACACCAACTGTGTTTACTGTACTAGTAAATAAAAATAAATAGCCCATAGAATTGCATTTAATCATACATGGTAACAACAAAAACTAATAATATTGTCAGTATAAGCAGGTGAGAAATCAGCCAGAAAGGTGATGACAGCTTACACAAGCTATTATTATTATTATTATTATTATGCTCTTTGTCTTCATTGTCTAGACTGGCATAACGATTGAGTAACAGGTGAATTGTATGACAGGAGAGACTTTAAATTCTTTACAATATATAAAAGGTGAGTAAACATATATCTGTATCCACCAAAATAAGTTTTAAAAAACATCAGCATGTCATCAATATCACTGAGTAGAAGTGAAAGTAAAAGTAATGTGGCGCATGTTGTTAATAAGAAGAGTCGTGGATCAGGGGTTTTTAATAAGACTGAAGTTTCTATTTGCTGCTTACATTGGAGTAAATTCAGCAGATCATATGAGCGACTTTTTCTCTCTGGGGAAATTCTTTATTTTATTGACAAACTTCTGTAGGAATGTAGGAAATGTGGAGATTTAGTGAACCCAGTAGGGAACGATACATCAAAGGTTTACAGTACATATGTTGGACTCAGGATTTCCCCTGAAGCGGTTTGATTTGCTCCTGTGTCAGTCCATCTGAAAGGATTCCTTTAAACAAACAGAGAGTATCAGTTCTTTATGAAGCTGTTCTTCATGGGAACAGGCTCTGCCTCTGGCTGCCAACATGATCCTCCACAACATGTTTGTTGACAACACCTTCGAGTCCAAACCACACATGGAAAAGCTGTGTAAGCCTGCTTGCGAGTGTTTTTGTGTGTTCCTGTGGCTGCGTAGAACCTGAGAAGAATGCCATGTTCCTGGACCGGGGGAGGACCAGGGTGGGGTCTCCAGCCTCTGATTGTTCCTCTGTTTCTCTGTCTTTAATAACTGCTTCCGCCTCTTTCTTGGTCCTCGTCCACTCCTCATCATCAGCTGGCAGAGAGAGGAGCAGTAGCCGCTGAGGTAATGAATGCTTTGGCTACTTGGTGACGCAGAAACAATGAGTGAAATGTAAACAGTCAGCAGACGGATCCCTTGATCCAAGTTTCCATACTTGGTCTGTGAGGCTGCGGAGAGGAGATAAGCTCTGTGATATCACGTGCTCCTCTCCAGATGCTTTAATAAAGAGCACTTTCACTTCACTTTTTACAGCCTGGGGGACCAAGTTGGTGTATTTGAACATTTTAGCACCATGATTTGTGTTATCTGTTGTCTGCAAATCTCCTGCAGGACGTTTTATACACACTGGTGCTGTGAAAAAAGAGGAAATATAGATGAACTTTTATACTAAGAGCAATTATTATGATGCTTTGAGAGCAAAAGTATCCTGTATAAGTGCATGTTTGCTTTAGATTATAATACAGAGTAACTGATTTCTGTTCTGTCCCATCCATGAGAGCAGCCAAACATGAGTGCCGTCAAATGTGAAGCCTCTTCAGCTGAAAGCAGTCATCTGAATTGACTAGAGACCTGTAAAAATAGATCTTAATACCTGACATGAACTTGGTAAATTGCGACACATGTCCACGTGTTACCAAATCCAAAGCCACGCAACATGTTTACTCAAGGTTGAAGTGTAACTGAAAGTATGCCACGTATGTACTTTAAAGTCGTTTTGAGCTTTAATAGGTGATTGATTGGATGCGGGAATGTGAGGTTAAGTTCAGAACTGGACACAGCAGGTAGTCTCACCTTTAATCAGAGTGTTTGTTGAACACAGAGGCACAGCAAACACCTAGTAGTTTCACTGACAAAACCTGAAGATTTATGTGACAATTATGGATAATTTTGAAGACCTGCAATTTATCTCACCTCAGACAGGAGGGTATATCTCTGTGGGTAGACAGATGTTCACACAGGTGTTTGTGAGGAGCCTAGTAGCTCAGCTTTGGGTACATCATGCATCCTAGTTTGACATTTTTTCAATCTTACTGTCAGAATAGTTTGACTGTTTTTGTTTGTCTTTCTGTGAGTTTAAATCAACCAGTGCAGGTTTCTGTAAGTGAATGATTCAATGTAAAATAACATAATATCAACAATCCAACCATGTGTTACAAAATATCAGAAATGTACTTTAAAGGATCCAGACCGCTGTCAAAACTGCCAAAACTTTCCTGTCACTGAACTCTCAAAACGATGGGACTTTATCCTCCTGATGTTACGGCTTTACTTCTTAGTTTTCATAAAACCAGGACGTTTCTTCAACAACCCTTGATTCTTGTACCTAAATTACTATATTCTCATGACATTATGACTTTATTATTGTAACAATATGACTTAATCACAACCTCATGCTTGTGCTTTAATGATAACTTAAACTTTATTCTCAGAATAATTCAATTTTATTAATTTATTTTATATTATGTTAGGATATGATTTCAATATGACATTATTCAGTAAACACTATAACTTTATAACTTTTAACTTTATTCGAATTTTATCATGACTTTATTCAGAATTTATAACTTCATTTTTATTATGTTGAGCTATGATTTCAAGACGACATCATGAAGTTGGAATTATGACTTTACTCTGATTTTATCATGACTCTATTCTTGACTATGCTATTCTTGACTATGCTATTCATGACGGCATGGCTTTCTTCTCCTCTTATGATAACTTCACTACTTCATTCCCATAGTCTAAAGCTGTGACTGCAATACAACTTTACTTTTGTACCATTTTGACAATTTTCTTGTGGTATTATGACTTAATTCTTGTATCTTTATGACTTAATTATTACCGACCATGACTTTATTAATTTATTTTAATTTTTACTTTTTGGGGCGACTTTGCCTTTTTTATTGATAATTCAGGGTGAAATGTGGGGAGATAGATTGAGAGGGGGGAGGACATGCAGCAGATGGTTGAGGCCGGACTAGAGCCCATGACTGCGTCCCCATACATGGGGGCACGCTAAGCCGCTCAGCCATTTGTGTGCCTCTCTACTGTGATTTTATTTTGGTAATATTCAGATTTTATCATGACTTTATCCATTTAACATTGAGACTTCATACTCAATCTTATTTTGATTTTTTAGACAAAATGATTTCACCATGACTTAATCCTCATAATATCATCCCTTCATTAACCTACATATACATCTCAATAACATAGTGACTTCATTACAATTTTACTCTGGTTACGATATGTCTTAATCCTCCTTATATAATGGCTTTACTACTTTTTCTTGTATGACTTCATACCAGAGATATAATGACTTTTTACTTATAATATGATGAAATTAACAAACCATTTTTTATCCAATTTTTATAACTTAACTATCACTTTATTCTCGTTACCTCACAGTCTCATTCTCATAATTTGACACATTTTTTTCTGACATGGCCCCAAAATTTTGTTGTACATTAAAACTTTATTAACATAAAGTTTATGTAATGGGAATATTTGAAATTTGAGAAATTACCCTTCGACAGCTTAAAGCTCCTTAGTCTGTGTTGACTTTGCCGCCCCCTGTGGACAAAGCTGAACCTCAAATCTCTTCACTGATTTCATGTGTGATTCCTGTTAACTGACCAAATAAAAAAGTTATCTTATTTTATATCATTCTTCTAAAATCTCTACCATGTAAAAAAAATATGTTTCTCTAGCAGGCAGTTTATCAGCTGACTGCACTGACACCTACCAACCACCAGGGATCTTAGGTATTACAAAACTCTACATGAAAATCATCAGTGTTGTCTCTGAAGATTTTGTTTCCTCTTGTTGATCATAAAGAGACACCAGTGTTTCTTTTAGTCTGGTTCATGGCATATTAAAATTCCTTAGAGGAGCTTTAAACTTCCCTCTGTTTTTGATGCAAAGTTTAAGATCCATTTTTCTGAGATCCTTTTAGGACGTGTTCCTCAGAAATGTTTATGTTTCTGATCATTTTAATGAGCAGTAGTTAGTACAAAAAAAAACTTATTTAAATTGCAAGATTTTGAGCACACATGTCCGGGGTTTTTACTCCAAGAGTCCAGGTGTACAGTATTCAAGTATGTATTCTCGATGCATATAATTTGGCCTGCTTCTCCACTGACTGATGGTCAGAATTATTGCTCTCAGTGACGGAAGAGTTCGCTGACACAGCAGGACCTTAGAAAAACTGTCCTCATCCCACCCGGCCTCATCCCAGAGAGCTTCCCCCTAAAAACCCCATACCCATCCCTCCCTTTGTGACTCACTGATCCCTGATGGTCCTAAAAATCACTCACTTTCTCTATTATCTAATCTGCACACATGCATGCTTTATATGGTATTTTTCATTACCTAAACACTCCTATGAGACACAAAAAGGTCCTCAAAAAGTGGACGGCATCATTTTGGAAAGACTTTATTGTGCAGCACAAGTGAACACTAATGTGGTTTTGCATTTAGTGCACACAATACAAGAGACAGAGAGATAATACACATTTAAACACAGAAAGAATAAAAGAATATAATTTACACATCTCGTTATAAATAAAGTCTACACATTGGTGAATATGGAGTGGTTCATTTTACATACAATACATCACTTCTGAAGGAAAGTCTGCTGCAGCTCGGCTGGGTAAATTTTGAAGGAGTGGTCGAGTAGTTGAAGAAAACTTGCCTCAAAAATTTTTAACATCCTCACATTTAATAAAAAAATATCCCAAAAAGCTCAAACTAAGTTACACGGTTGTTTTGCAAACATTCCCTCGATGTTAAGGCATCACAATCACATAAAAGCATTTAGATTCAAGGTTTTTATTCACCTGAATCCAACAGACTGCATCAAAATGGACTTTCAGACAGGATTTCTCTGCTCAGAGGACACCACGAGTCCAGCTTTGGTCAGATCATAGAAGTCTGCTTTTCTTTCCCAGAGCACCTGAACACACCACTTCACGCTTTCTGTTTCTATTTCAACGTCTCACACCAGCTCATATCCATGTTTCTCTTGAGGCAGGAGGTCATTAAATATTAACCCATGATAAGAATAAGCATGAGAGGTGAAGAAACAAACAAGCAAATCACTGTAGTTTAATGAGAAGAGTAAACCAAGCAAACAACTGAAGTTTTTTTTGAAAGTATGTCAAAGAATCTTCTTCTTTCTGCTGACAGAGGACGAAACAGCAGATTTCACATTGTCCTTTGTTGTCATTAACTGTAAACCTGTTTGAAATCTCATGTCATGGACTCAAGCTTCGGTTCATTTCATGAGAAACATGCAAGAATTGCTCCACCGCGGTGCACATTGCCAGTCCATCCAGACATTTCTTGTTTGCTGAGCGATCATGAGACGTGATGATATGGACGAGGAAAAGCCTTTTGAAGTTACAGCTGAAGCTCAGCGGGATGTGATTCAAGGTAAGTGGTTAAAACACAACAAGTGATACTGAGAAGGAATGAGAAAATCCCCCAGACAGCTGAATGAAAGACCTCAGAGATCCCTGTGGTGGGTTGGCATGGTGAGTGTACAAGCATAAAGTCATAAAGATGATGTAAATATCAGAACACCAAGACTATCAGCGACTTGAGTGACTTGTAGCATTAGTTACAAGTGTTCATTGCAAACTAAAGACTCAATAATCAAATACTGTAGCACAGACTTCATAGCAGCAGTATAAACCCCCCTCATCCACCCCTTTTTCCATCCAGCTGATCGAACAAGAAGCACAAGCAGAAAGCAGCTGAATATTGAATGTTAGGAGTTACTAAATACAGTACGTCTTAAAACATGTTGTCAAATACAAAATAACTGCACCAAAAAGAAGATCTTCAGCTTAATCCGTAACAGAGTAAACAGAGCCGAGCTTTTAAAGATGACAGAAGCTCTTTTTTTTTGCAGTGGTCAAAATGATGTCTTCTCTGAGGCTTTTACAGTCCCTCTATCCTCTTAATGCATCGACACAGAGACCCTTTCAAACATGCACAAAGCTCCTTAAAAATTTCTAGAAATGACCTGGGTGAGGTTTGTGTATGTGCACCTGACTTCACTTGAATATTTCTGATACAAAGCTTACACATCTGATGCATATTCCAGGGGCTGAGGAGGGAAAAATGAAGAGAATTAAGACAGAAAGTGGATTAAAACTCAAGGCATTATTAAAGGATCAGTGGTTTTAATCTTGGATATAGATCATCCCCTCATATTATAGACAAGAGTTCAAGCTGTGAGGATGGATGTGTAGAAATAGTAAGGTCAGGTAATTTTAAGGTCCAAGCCCTTTAAATTGTCTAGAAATTTCCCAGAGTGCACGTCTGAAAATGTCTCATTTTCTAATCTAACAGTGGGGTCAGTGACAGCGTGGTTTCTACATCAATTTGTTGTTATTCATGGTGACTTTTCAAATCGAGCATGTCTGGAAAAATTATTTATATTTCCTTCAGCCATGTCTAATTGAGAAATATTTAGTCTTTCTTCTGACACTGTTGACACTGGCCAAACTCTGGAAAAAGACAAAGACTCTGCCTTTCATGGTTAAATTTGCTTCAAATTATTCACTGATAAAAGTCCTCCGAGGTATTTTGTTTGCTGGTCACTGTAGGTGGCACTATAAATCCTCCTGAAATCCTGGGTTTTAGTAATCTTATACTCCACATCAAACCTCCCACTGTTTGGAGTGTCATACTTTGTGTTTCTACTGGAATGTGTGAGAAACTCTACCTCCTGACTCTAGACAAATGTCCTCTTTAAAACTGAGGGGAATGAGTCTCTGTGCCTCTGTATAGCTGACAGGTAAATGTCAGTAAGGTCATCTATGATATACGATCATGTTACACGCTTGAGCTGGGTGTGTTTCTCTGATACAGGTCTGATAGTCTGGCTCTCAGATTTCCCCTTTTTTAAGCCCTTACTCTGAAATCAGGTCGGTCTGGAATATAGATTTGGAGCTAGAAGACACTAACTCTGAAAGAAGAGTGAAAAGGTCAGATTGAGCTTCAGCTTCTGTCATCACCCATCTAAATACCACGCTGAGGATTCTGGGAAGTGTTGTCTTTGGATTCAGTAGGTACCTGAGGTGCCTAGTTGCAAGGCAGCATAGCAGAGCTTTAGCTTAGTTCACTTTTTCTTTGTTTTTGGTGTCATAAACCTTGAGTTAGACTGAGTGTGGGGAGAGTTGTCCTTGAAGGGGTTTGGTGATCCCCAGAGGGGAGTAAGGCATAAAGAGAGTAAGAGTTCAGGGACTTGCTGTTATCCCAGCCAGCTTGTTGGGTTAGCAGATGTGCTGAAGTTCTGAGACTCCTCTGGATTAAACACAAAGGTCTCAGCGTGTTTTTTTTGTTTTCGTGATATCTGTTGTGTCTCTAAATGTGTCGGCGGCGATGGTGATGATGATGCTTGTGCATGTCCTCCATTGTGATCCTGCCCCACACGCCGACCACAAATGTTTCAATCTCACACTCGTTGTCCCCGCGAGCGATGCGGAAGTAGCCGTTCTCTCCCCAGTTCTTGCCCCAGGAGTTGGCGGCAATCTGAAAAGGAGAGGACAGAGAAATTTACAACAAGAACAACAATTGAAGGATGAAACAGAACCATGTTCTGAGCCTGCATGTGTCATAAATCCTTAAAGGGATATTCTGGCATAAATTTCAGTTATGGACAAACACACAGTAACACCGAGTTAGACACCCCGAGGAGAGATGAATGTTGCCAACTGCTTGCTTCACTAGTCATACGTACTATATGTACTATGTGTAATGTTGATGAAGTTAGGTGCTGTTCTGAGCATTATTTGTGGCTATAGAGTGACTTTTTGATTGAGGATTGTGGAGATGTAGACCGCTGTGTATTGCTATCAGAGTATGTATGAGTATGAGTAGAGAAGCAAGCGGTCGGCAACATTCATTCTCGAGGGGGTGTCTAACTTGCTGTTACGGTGTGTTTGACCATAACTTAATTTTACACCGGAATATCTCTTTAAATGTTGTGACTGTCTTTTATTTGCTTTTGCTGCCTATGGTACCGGGCCTTTATATGAAGCAGGCTTGTATCAGAGACAGGCCTTCATTTTAAATTCTGTCAGTCTCACAGTGTTGTAACTTTTTATAATTTAGTACAAAGTAAGGGCCTGATTCACTTACATTATCCAAGGTACAAAAGGCTCAATGCTCAACAAACCTTTTCAATCTCTCCATGGCGACCATCAACTACCATAAAGAGATTGTTATAGCCGTGATCTGACAGGATCCCTGACCCAGAACTCTCATTTACAGAGCCATTACGCACACGCGTCCTTTTTCTGTTTTTCAATTGAAAGAACTTTATTAGTCCCTAAAGGTTAACTAAAAGGCCAGTAGCTAAAAAGAGAACAAAAAGACAGCACCGATGGGAAATACTGTCTAAAAATAGAAATCTTTCATAAATCGCCTCTGAAAATAACATGAGAAAGATTCCCCTTCTACAACCAGTTTATTATTAACTATTGGAGTGCACCAAGTGCTGTCAGGATGAGAGCTCACAGAGCAGCTCTGTGCAGCAGAAAGTGGAGATGTTGTAGTTATCATAACTTCTGTCTAATTATGATGAAAACCTGGAGCAAACTACGCAGGTAGAGATATTTCATGTTATATTTTAGAAATATGACACTGCCAGGCTAATAATCAAAGGACAGCCTCTATTCACTCATAAAACCTGCAATTCCTGGCATCATAAATGGCCCAGCCAAATACTACATACTGTAAATGAGGATTTACAGTTACCTGGAAAAAGAAATAAACACCTTACCCAATATTTTTTCAGTGTCCCATCATAGTTTCTCTCCTCTCCCCACCTGATGCACAAAGCAAAGAGAAAGGTTACTTAACAGGAGAGCAAAATATCCTCAAATATTCAGCTGTGTATGAGTTGAACTGCTATTATTAAAGCTTGGACACTTTGAACAACCGTATCTGATGTAAACACCGCTGAGGAATGTGTCCTCCTCGGGCACACTTGGCATTACAGATGTGGAAAAAAAGAGGAAGAGGCAGAGGTGAGGTCAAGTAGGGAGAAGAGAAATCTTTCATCTTGTTAACAACATCCTGAACACACAGAGTATTTTTGGCAGGACACCGCCTTGTTGTACTCCTACATCACACCGATCCAGCAAGCACGGAGTTCCCCTTTTCCTTTGCTATTTCCTCTCTTCTGACATGGCACAGGAAGTGGAGGGAAGGTTACCAGGAAGTGAACACCTCCTCAATCCTATTGATACACAGACAAGGCGCACTCTCGACACAAGAATGTATATGTCTTAACTCCAAGACCTATCTTTATCTTCCAAACTTTGTTCTCAGGAAACTCTGGCAAAAGTCCATAAATTCCCATCATGCTTTGCGCTCTAGTCTTAGCTTAGCCACTGCCAACTTTTTAGATGCTTTCTGCTCGTCATGATCAAAACATTCTCTCAAGGCCAATTCCCATCCTGTTTTTGCACTGCGAGCCCACCGGTTTCCCAAGAGACTCCTGGTGCCTGATCGCTTGTTATCTTTTTAAAGGGGGAAAGGAATGCTGGGAAATAGAGTGGCTGGAGTCAGTCTGCCAACTGGGTAACCTGCCACCACAACATGGGCCTACTGTGCCAACGTCCTAACAGCGAGTGGCTTTATTAGCCTAAAATGTTGACAGACGTCATACTGAGCGGGACAGTGTCATTACAATCAGCTGTGTAAACAACAGATCGACACTGCAAACCAGAGAGATGGAGTGTGTCTGTGTGTGTGTGCATACACACTTGCATATGTGTGTGAGTGTGATCGCATATGCATGCATGACTCTCTACACTTGTATCAGTATAGACAGATCCAGACATAATCAGACCACTGCTGATCTCTTATCAGGGCTCCAATCGGCTCACTTGCTCACTCCGGGACAATGATGGGCATACTGCTCTGCCCACGCGCCCCGCCTTTCCTCAACGCCCCTGACCTCCTCTCTCCGATGGTTTGATCCCCGTCTCTCTGTCTGGTGCAGTCGGGATCAGCGGCCCAGACAATGCCCTTTCCACCAGGCTGAACCCCAATGCTCTCTCCACAAACTTTCCCAGGCGCTGGGCTTAAAGGAGTGCATCGCTGTGGGATTTGGACTGTGTAAACACACTGATGCCTGTGGCTGGCAGGTTGGAGCTCAAAACCCTACACACACCCCTCCCTTCCTCCTCTTCCTCCTACTCCTCCTCCTTTGCTTTATTTGTCCCTAAACCTGTGCCACTGTGACATCCACATCCACTTGCTCGGGGAGCAAAGTGCAATCATGGTGTCAGTTACGGTGGCTGACAAGGACAAACGATCTGCAAGAACCAGAATCATCTACATGGGGGGGGAAAGCAATGGAAACGCAGAACTGACAGAACTTCGATAAAGTACGGTGGCCCTGAGGTGCAAAACACAAAACAAAAAGAGAAAACACAACACAAAAAAGAAAACACAACTCAAAAAGAGAAAACACAACAGCAAATAAGAAAAGAAAACACAATGGTTAATGTTGTTGTGTTTCCTCTTTTTGTGTTGTGCTTTCCTATTTGCCGTTGTGTTTTGTACCTCAGGACCACCATATAAACACATGCAACACAAATAAAAAACAAACACAAATATGCTGTAAAAAGCAAAAACAACTGACAGTAAGCGCTCAGAAGTGCTCTAGGCCTGTAGGGTTGTCAATTCACACAGATTATTACTGATGACACCAAATAATGAGCTGCTTTATTTCCAGCTGCTTTTGTGCATTTTTGCTCTGTATCATTTGTGTATTTGCTGTGCTTTTGCACCTTTTTTCCACCTTTCTGTTTTTGAATTGTTGCATGCCCTTTAGAAGTCGTATCGTTTTTGAGTTTCTCTTAATGAGGACTGTTTTACACTCTAACTCTCTGCATCACCTTACAACCTGCATACCTCTGTAGTTTGTTGCCGAAGTGAGGCTGAGGAGATGTAATTACAGTTTGCATCCTTATGTGATGTATGTGTGGAGGAGTTTGTGATTTAGGTTTGCTAAGTGCAGAGTGTAAAACCTACACATGCCTACACCTGCCATTTGATGGTACAAAATGGAATGTCATAAAACATACAAAAGAGACAGTAGACATAAAGAGCTGCTGTCTAATGTTTAGTCTGCTTCAATGGCCAATCAGATCAGGAGAAAGAGACTGCTTTTATCTTTGCCATCGTCTGCCTTCCAGTTTTCTCTTAGAAGTCACAGACCATGCCGAGGTACTAATGTACAGTGATATGCCAAAAGACACACATTCCTTCACTCTCATTTTGAACTCATTACAACAGAGGTGCTCATTTTTCCAGTTTGGAAAGTGAGACTTAAGTGAGCAGCAGCGTATCATTTTCACAGCAGATGCATTTTCAAAAGCAGCTGTACGGCTCTCGGTGAAGACCCAGTAAAAAGCATGTTTCAGATTTTTTGACAGGTCAAAACCCCTCCTGGCCTCTCACTACCCTCTAAACAACTCATAAACAAGACGGCAGCAAACAGCCAGAAGAAAGTGAGGAGAGAGAGAGAGAAAGCAGGACTATCAGGGACTCAGACGATGAAAGAAGTGATGAGGCAAGAGAGAGGAAGGGAGACAGACAGGAGGATGGGGGCAGGTAATGCAGGTGTGTCGGCCGTCTACCCGTCTGCATATTTGTGGTCGTCCCTGTTAGAGATAGAAGGAGAAAGGAGGGGGGCCTTGTTTGGGGCAGACAGATGAGTGGAGCCGAGGTGTGTCCATGAGCAACAGACAGGGAGGGAAGTTTGTTCACAAGTGCACGCTTAGCTTAACGCAAACATACGAGCAGGTGACGCTTTGAATCCAGCAGCGACTAAATTAAAACCTGATTCATCTTAAATCAACACTGAGTCCTGCTGGAGTGGCTTCTGTTGAGTGTGGGAGACAAGGCACTTCAGGATGTGATTCACAAGGGTGGACAAGGGTTGTTATAGAGACTACAATCAACCCTCTGGAGGACTCACACCTGACAAGAATACTGACTTTAAAGGATTAAAAAAACAAGCGGGGAGTGTCAAAACCTGACGATGTTTGGTGCTGTAAAGCAGAAACTTACCCGATGATCCTGACCGAGTGAGTTCCATGTTTGCGGTACTGTGTCGGTTTGGTGAAGCTGACGTCACTGTGTTTGTAGATCCCACTCTTATACACAAAGAAATCCTCGTGGACCTCCATAATAGCTGCAAGACCAAACAAGCACAGGAAATAAGTAGGTGGTTGTAACACACACACACACACACACACACACACACACAAACTAAATGAGCATCTTTAATAACGGCTGTTGAATCAATTACTCAGGGAGGGATACAAACCTTATCCAAACACGCATTCATCTGAGAGTAATAACCTAATTTCATCAAACAATTACCAATTTCTCCCCTGAGTCTCACACACCCACACTGTGTGTGTGCGTGTTCATGTGCATGTATGTGTGTGTGGGCTCAGCTGTAGTTTCCCCGCTCAGTGACAATACCACTGCGGATATACTTCTTAGAAATGTCCTGATTTCGAGCTCTACCTGCTCTGAATACACTCCAGATGGAAACAGAGTGGATGTTGCTAACCTTCCAATCAACAATTCACAGTAGCACACAATAGGTGAGTGTTCTGACACACAGCCAAGAAGGAAACTCGACTTTAAGCCAAAAACAACCTCCCAAACTCCCAAACAATAAAACAAGGCTGGCACAGGCTCACAGAGGATCTCCCACACACACAAGCACACACACTTACACCTACACGTGACTCTTCTACTCAAGTGTACTTGACAAAGGTCCAGATGGTAGCAGACAGGCGAGGCAAGCTAGTAAATAAGGGTCAGTTCACCTACACTGACATGATGAAGGTCCATCATTTTAGACCAGAGGACAGGGGTCACAGTTGAAAGTGAGGCCAAAACCATCAGGATGTCGAGGTCAAACATGACATCATCAGAGTCAGATACCTAACACGAGGCTTTTAAGCGCATGTGTTTGGGTTTTCGTGCTCCCTGGGTGTGCAGTGTTGTTTTGAGAAGCAAATGTTTGTGCGTAACTGCTGCTCAAACGTCTTCTTACCTTGCACAGGACCATTATCCATGATTTCCTTCATAATCTCCTTTTCCTGAAAGAGAGAGAGAGAGACAGGTCGATCGTTACATGTCGGCAAAATGGAGAGGTTGAAAACAAACCCCCCTGGATGTTAAAAGTCAAGTAACAAGATTGAGACTAGCGGGGGGGGCTGACTTTAATGCCTGGCTTATTGACTTCACAGGCCATCAGGAGACAGAAACAACGGGCTGTAATGATTTTGAGAAGCATTAGCTGTCCTTTAGCTCTGATTGATGCTGGCTGATAAAACCTCAGGTCGGCTGCAGCTCAGCAGTCGAAGCTTCATGCAGGGATTGTTTCTGGAAACAGATTTACTTGTGAGACATGATACTCTGTGCCAGTGAGGGCGGGCAGAGGTCTGCTCTGCATGAAGTGGACTGGAATCAGTGTTTCTCAATTTAGATCATCCAGCTTTTAGAGACAAAACTAGCTCAGTCATCGCTCTGTCATAAACTCTTCAGGTATGAGGTAACTAAATACAATAAATGTACAATTTCAATCAGTGCTCTGACTAAATATAATTAGATGGAGAAATGTTATATTATCTGTAAACAGAAAGTCCATAAATCTGATCGTGACTCACTTTTAAGTCGATATATAATATCTTTCAAACAGATCACGTTTTTAGACTCTGTTCTATTTCCATTAGTATTCTCAGTCCTAAGTCAACCTGTCTAAACTTTAAAACACAACTTCTTGCCCTCCACTGGTTCAGTTAGGAGTGCTGTGGAGCCTTAAATCCTCTACATTCCCAAGTAAACTCACCACCAAGTCAAGTATGCATGAGCAAAGTGTGCGAAAACACCTACTGTAAAAGCACGTGAGGGAGATTAAGGCCTACTGAGGCACGAGGAGATCCCAAAAACGCTCAGAGCGCATGAAAGCTGTGGGTTTCCTGGAGCTTTAGAAACATGTGCTGCTGCTGCCAGGATACTTAGAGTGATGTAAAAAAAAGAGCAGAGGTTCATGTGTTCGTTTGTGGTTGCTTACATTAGTTGAGAGCCTGTAGGGCGGTGTGGACTGGTAGATATCATTGTGATAGTTGTGTGTGTTTGGGCAGTGCTGTGTGGCCTGCCTCTTCCCCCGGCCTACTGAGCGGCTCTGCATCATGCAGCGGCCCACGTCAGCTGGTGTTTGCTGTGGAGGTTGGTACGGATAACACTCTTCAGTCACCACTCTGTGAGAAAAGAGGAATAAAAAATGTAGTTCAGTAATCACCTAAACTGACTCTGGGCAGCATTTTCTGTCTGAAGTCACTCTAAAAAGACAACTTTACCCTCTGCGTCGAAGGTACCACCAGGCTCCATCGATGCGCCCCCCTGCACAGCCTCCCTGGTTACGGGTGTCACAGGATATAAGGTTTTGGGGGGAGAGCTGGGGAGTCATGTGACCCATTGACTGGATGGATATTCTGTCTGAAGCAACAGCTGAGGAAGAGTACATGCAACATTGTAAACTATGACCTCATTATTTTACATTTTATTTAAATGGTTTAAAGATTTTACAAGATTCTCGATTACTCATGTCTGCAGAAAGACACAATAATCCCCTTCATTCCTCCCACTATAATCTCCACAGTTTATGCTCTACCTGCAGTTGAGAAAGCCCAGGACGCAGCACAGTTTCCCTGATCCAGAGGTTCATGAATCTTCCCCGGCCACTTCTCTGCCGAGTTAAAATAGAGCGGCAGACGGTCGCTCTGTGGGTCCATGTTCATCTGACAGAGGGAGAGAAACAGAAAAGAGAGGACATGTTAGAGACCAGCAAGTCCTTTCTGTTTTGATTACAAGGTTTTTGACAACTACAGTCAAAATATTTGTATGTTTTGGTTTAGGCCACATGAGTCTGCTAAGATTGTCAGTAAATACAGAAAGAAAACTAATTTTCTCAGTGTGTGATCAGTTTGCTCTCTTTATATATGAGGGATATTCCGGCGTAAATTTCAGTCATCAAACTGTAACACCAAGTTAGACACCCCCTCCAGATTTAAATGTTGCCAACTGCTTGCTTCTCTAGTAATATCAACTATACCAACAACTCCCCCCCATTAGATTTTACCTGATTCTACATGTTTTTATTGACATTGTCGTAAATTTTATTACTCATTTATGTGTGTTTTATTGTTATTTGATTTTACCTGATTACATGTTTTTATTATATTGCCGTAAATTTTCTTACTTATTGATGTATGTTTTTACTGCTTACTCTGTACAGCGTCTTTGTGTCTTTGAAAAGCGCTTTACAAATAAAATGTATTATTATTATTTTTATTATTATTAACTCACCCAATCTCCTCCAGCAGGCGCTTGTTTGTGGGGGAGCCCTGACAAGTCGATCACAGAGAGATCATTTCCGGGAAGTATTAATCATCATAATAACCATTTTGCACTGCCGATGCAATAGTTCCATAAATGTTCTTCCTTGAGCTGCAAAACTCTGCTGCACTCGGTGATCGACTCGTCAGGGTTCCCCCACAAACAAGTAGTTGCTGGAGGAGAGTGGGTGAGTTGTGTTTGGTCTCTTTGCTAAAGAAATCAGGCAAAACTAAAAAATATGTTTGATGGCTAGTGCTATGGCTGGGACCCTATATGTACTGTTGATGAAGTTAGGTGCTGTTCTGAGCATTATTTGTGGCTGAAGAGTGGCTTTTTGGTTGAGGTTTGCGAGTGGAGACGTAGACAGCTGTGTATTGCTATCATGCGGTCGTTACTAAAGTTGGTATAACTAGGGAAGCAAGCAGTCGACAACATTCATCTCTCAAAGGGGTGTCTAACTAAGTGTTACGGTGTGTTTGACCATGACTTAAATTTACGCCGGAATATCCCTTTTAATGAAGAGATTTTGACCAATCAGAATCAAGTATTTACCACAGCCAGGTGACTATAAGGAAAACAGGTAATAATGTGTTATAGTGTCAAATATTCACTTCATGGTCATCTCCATGACAACATGAAGCTGTCTGTTGCATTAGAATGACATTGAAAGCATCACTTCAGCTCATCTTTTAAAGTAGCTTCCATGTCTGTTTAAAACATCTATATCACTCTGATTATCAGCCTTTATTATCTTCCTGATGTTCACTGGTTGGTGCCTCTCAAAGGCCAAACACACTCAGTCCAATCACCTCCTCTCCAGGTTGGATGCTCTCCTAATCTCTCAGTTATGTGTAATAACAGAGACCACACTTCTGGACAACAGACTCTCCCGCCCTCTCTCCTCGTGGCCGCCTGCACTGCATTCCTCTGGTTAATAGTGAGGTATTCAGGGCTCAAACGGACACCTGATGCATGACTAAAGAATGTGCTGTTGGTCAGAGGTTTGTATGTGTGGAGGGTCAAAGTCCAGAGTCACGGACGCCAGAAACACCTGAACTAGAGGCGTGATTAAAGAACCAAAAATGCTGCAGGAGTTGTTGTGTAAGAGATTATCCACTGATTCATAATTTCCTTTACACATAAGTCAGATGATGAACAGGGAAAGAGAGAAGGACTGAAAATTTATGAATGAACTACGAGGATCTGATCAGGCTCCTGGCACAGGTAGGGACACGCTGACAGAGGAAGAAGGAGGAGGGGGAGTCGGGAGGTTTTTCAGAAGTGGAATGCAAGCAAGGAGGGAGTGAGGATGGATGGATGGATGGAGATGAAGTCAGAGGAGGTGAGGTAGAGAGGAGAGGTCACTCCTTTACTCTCCAGCCTCCTCTATCGTTTGTGTGTGATGTTTTGGTCTTGTCTTATGTAATCTGTCTGGGTAAAATGTAAACAGAGACTGTGCGGATCAGAAGACGACAGCAACCTAAGTGCCCATAATAAAGAGGGGACATCTCATTAGCACCCTCCACTTGTATTGTGTTTGGACTGTGGATACTGCAAACCATAAACAGGAGGTATGCAGGAGCTTTTGTTAAGGTGTGGTGTGGTTACAGACACATATAATATTGTTTACATTTATGTAATGGAGTAAAAATGGTGGAATTTTAAGGTAAAACTCAGAGTTCAGGAGGTCATACCCTGGAGCAACATGTAACCTGATAATCCTTTAATCATTGTATAGAAAGGTTTGCTCTCTTGACACCTTTTAAAAAGCAAGGTCAGAGGTCATAGGTTAGAAACAAAATGAGGATGGAGAGGGTCTCACAGTGGGCTTGGGGCTCTTTGTCAAGAATGTGACGCTGAAGTTTTTCCTCACACATATACTTCATTTCAAGACCACATTTTTGGTCGTTTTGGTTCATTTAGTCCCAAAACCCAGTCTGAGGTTTGTACCTGAATCTCATTCATGTTCATGATAGTCCTGGAAGGTCTCTGCGTGCCCAAGCGGAACCTGATGCCCTCTTCTAACGTCATGCCGTAGAGCTGGCTGTAGTTCGCTGCTTTCCACCTGAAACCCAAAGAGAAAATGTGTTTTAAAAAGTCCTCTTGAAGACCTTCAAACACCACCATGTAGGTATGTTTATGCCTAACGATGTTATCACTTTACCCATAGTTCCCTCTGTTGACGGCATGGATCATGTCAGAGTCCATGAGACAAGCGTTCTGCTCGCACTCCCAGCGTCCCGTGGTCCCACATGTGCTGCAGAGAGCAGACAGAAAGTAAGGGAAAGAAAAGAGACCATTAAAGGCATCTGCCAGCTGCAATTCAAATACTTTCAAGTTCCATATTTATGCTGGGAGTCTGTTCGGTCAACAACGAAAAAAATGAGAAAGAAGCATTTTTAACTGAAAAAGGCTGCAGAAGGAAAAAGGAGGGGGCGAGAAATTGAGGAAGAGGTTAAAGGAGATATTAAGCCTTTTAAGGCTGCAAAGTGCTGATCCGTTTTTAGTCCGAGGGACGCACGAAGATGACAGAAGAGATAAGAAAACAGGAAATTAATGATAAAGACAACGTTTACTCTGGGAATACTTGAAAATAACTACTCACACTGTGCACTTAATGATGACTCACTTAGTGTGTGTGTGTGTGTGTGTGTGTGTGTGTGTGTGTGTGTGTGTGTGTGTGTGTGTGTGTGTGTGTGTGTGTAGCTGGACCAGCGACAGAAAAATCAAATTGTGTACAATCAAATTAGACCTTGCTGTTTTAGCCAGTATCTATGTTATTAAACCAAACGAAGAAGAAGAAGAAGGAGGATTTAATCTGGACTGGATTCAGGTATTGTGTCCTTTATAAACCCAAATTACCCCCTTTCCAAGGTCTGAAAGCATTTTTGGATGTCCTGATAGCCACATGTAAATATTTTTGTTCTCAGGTGGCTCCCACTACAAATACCTGCTTATTATTTAAAGTCACTAAGTCGCCTGTATTGCTGCACACAGCTTCTGAGTCGGCAGACATTCATGGAATTTTATAATAAATGAGTGTGTTGTAAGACAGAAACAATGAGGGGTGTTTCCCACACAGGCATGTACAGACCTCCAACTATTAAAAGTCTACAAACTGTACATCAGACATCACGTTTACAGAAACGGAAACCTGCCTGAGAGCATCATTTCACTCAAACACACAATGAGGGAGAGGCCAAAATCCCCCTCAGTCCCACTAAAGCCTGAATGTGAATCAGCTATAACTCTGCACTCCTCCCTGCTGAGGTCCAAATGTAATCACACACAAATGTACTGTTCGCACACTGTTGGGAGTTTAAACTGATGAACAACATTGGTGTAAATAGACAATGGTCTTTCACCTCTCCCTCTCTAAACCTGGAGCATGAATGTACAGCTCAGGCTCCCGTGGGTCAAAGACAGCGCACAGGAAGAGTGCAAACATACAAACATACAGTATATAAACACACAGAGTCAGAGACAGGCGCAATGACAGACTCGTGAGAGACAGCAGGACAGAGAGACCGAGGAGAAATATGGAGGCTGCAGGGACAAAGGGAGGCCATATTCACGCACTTTACAGGAGGAAGGCACCCTCTTAGGTGGTGCAAATGAAGACACAGCCCTGACTGAAAAGTTCCACAGAAAAGCCAAAAAACAAATAACACATTGTAGAGGACATGATCTGCAAATGCCATTTTGTCCACTAGGGGCACCAAAAACAACACAAAAGTGCAACTCTGCTTAGTCACAGAGTATACTCTGAAGCTGTGCTGTGCAGCCACAGTTTGTCTTAAATGTCAGTTCAGTTTCATACACCCTCTTTAAAAGCACTTTGATCAAAATACAGCTAAACTAAAATCCAAAGATTTCAAGAAGACCTCCAGTTTCTGATCCTGAAGATCAGCTGTCAGTTTGTTTAAAGTATAGGGAAAGTGTTCATAAACACCCAGATCCATAGATATGCAGACATCATGGTTGATGGTTGTCTGTGTCTTCTCCTTAAATATGACTAACAAAAGTCATGGCTCAACATGAGTGTGCAGTGCTTTGGGATTTGCAAAGACCCTCACTGAAATACTGCATGTCATACTTTCTGTACATGTGTTGATGTATTGATTCTTTAAATTAGAAAATAAGACTGCAGATGCAGCTGAGGAAACATCCATCTTGTGGTTATATCTTCTTCATTCATCAGAGGTGCATTAACAGCACCTGTGAAATCACACAGCCACTCAGGACAGCCAAGTTGACACTGGAGTATATCCAATCTGAAGTAGTGGCAGAGCGAGATAGTTGATCCTTTGGGTTTTAAGAGGTTGTAAATGCAGGGAAGAGGCGCCATGTTTCAGCTCATTTGGAGCAGACCAAGAGTTATCAGGATGCAAACAGCTCAGGGAGGAAAAGGTCTCAGCTGGAAATGCCATTAACGTGCTACATCTTGACACACAGCAGCAAACACAAGTATGTGCTCTTTAGGTTGTGCTGTTTTTTCTTTTCACTCTGGTGCTAAAAACTCTGACAAGATGTTCTCGCCATATACACTGGAAAAAAGACAAAGTTCAGACTGATCTGACTGTGATTTTGACCCACTGTAGCTGTAATATTTGGCATGCTGCCCAAATGATTTGACAGCTAATTAAGACCTTTAGGAGGTTAGATAAGAGCATGCTGGAGCTGCACCTCTGCTAACACTCAGCGGTAAAAAGGGAGAGCAGCTTGTCATCTCAAAGAGGAAGAGGAGCAAGGAGGACGCACATTTGGGAAATCAATAAGTGGAGAGTGTGGGAGCAGGAAATGGGAGTGCTTGTACGTGTGTGTGTGTTTGTGTCCCTCTGTGCCAAAGTTGTGGTGCAACTTTTCAAGCTGCCATGTGTGTTGCCTTAACAAGCACGTGTGAGACAGTGTGTGTATAAGGCGCTTTTGTCCGGAGGTTAAAGGGGGAGTTGGCACATAAACGCGGCTTTCTGGTGACCTGGAACGCTGAAGGCTATTTTTAACCACGCAGTTTGTGTGACTTTGGTTGAGAATTTTCCTCAAGTTGTGCTGTTTATCAGATACACACCCATCAGACTACTGAGGTCACACCTTAATGAGCTTCCTTGATGAAAGTCATATGTCAAGATTATCAAACTGACAAAACACAGCCGCCGTGCTCACAGAGGAGGACGTGGAGATCATGAGAGTAGCTCTGTTTTGTTAGACATGATGTGAGTGTGATGTGTTGCCTGTCAAGAATTATAACAGGTCAAAATGGTCGTAGTCTCTTACTTTTCAGACAGACAGCCATCAGCTTGTTAGTGCTTGCACAGGCTGGTGATCACTCAACCTCTCTTTTAGTGCTCAATCTGTCCCTTGGCTTTCCAGACACACACAGACACACACAGACACACACCTGCCTCCTCTTGCCCCTTCCCCTGCTTTCCTCTCTCACCTGTGGCTGCCTAATAGTTACTACCGCTGTTGCAAAACAAGTCAAAGATACAACAGTCTAACATTAATTTTAACTATGGTGACATCCTCTTTTACCCGGACATGTCCTCTGTTTGGGGGGCTGTCCAGACAGTCCAGCTTTGTCCGGGGAGTTTATAAAATCCTTCAAATGTCCAGGGTTTTGTATGGAAGTTTTGAGTTTGTGTCGCATGGACTTACTGAGTGAGAAGCGTGTAAAAAACACACAATCTGACCTGAAAAAACTTTCAAAATTAACTATGCTGACTCTGTGACTCCGCCCCCCGCATAGTCGTGTCCTCTTTTTCGGGATTCAGAATAATATGGTCGCTGTATTTTAACGGGAGCCACAACTTCCTTGCACTCCCAAATTTTCCTTCAAATGCATTTCATTCAACGTTCAGGATGACTTGGTTAACACAGTAGGAAGTACAATAATCATTCAGATTTGAACTATGATCTCAGGAAGCCATCATTGAAATCAACATCCAAAACAACATTAACAGCTACCTTGTCATAGACAGTATGTGCTATAAAGAAATAAAGGTAAAGGAAAGGTAAAGGCTTCCCTTATTCCTCATGTTTTGAAAGCACGAGGAATAAGATCTTTCTATGTAAACTTACATTTTTTGTTTGCACAAACTTAATAAAAAAACATTTTAAGAAGATTGACACCACTGTGCTAGTATGTATGTTTGCACACGTACACACACAGAGTCAATGAGGAATATTAAGTGACACTGAGGTGAGAAACTGGATTAGAGCACAGGTGAGAAATTCGCCTCCTCCATGCTTTCTTGACCTCCTCATCCTGCTTTGTCTGCTTCCTCTAAAAGAGGAGGACTAATGGCGCCTTAATCGGCGTTGATATCATGCACAAAAATGACAACAGCCACATGGACTCCATTGCTCTCAGGGTGATGAAGGCCATGGAGATAAAAAGACACTTTGCTGTTACTTAGAGCTAATCTCAAATACTGTTTTTAGCAACCCTTAACCTTGTGTCAGGGTCAAAAAGTTAGAAGCTGTTAGTGAATCTGTTCATCTGCAGCCCTAAAGTGGAAAATACAAAGCAGCAACGTCAAGGAAGTTTACTTACAGAGTCAAAACAAGGACTGATGAACTTTGTCTGACCAAGTACAGACACAGTTTTGTGAGTTAAGGTAAAGTGTATTCCTAAGCGTGTCAAAGTGAGAGCAGTCGGTTCAGAAGCTCTGCATTAAATCTTTGCCACTATGATCAAACTTATGATGATGCTCAACGGGGACAGAGACACTACAGCGAATTTAGAAAAATATTAAAGAGGACATTTTGAGCATTTTGAGTTTTTGAACAAGCTTGTGATGGAGTGAGATTTGCAGGCACATCAGACATCACACACACAGTTAGATTTGAAAAAGTCTGGCTGTTTTGGTCGATAAAATTATCAGTCTTCTTGGTCAAGTTTGCTTTGTTGATCATGAGTATTCGTCATTAGCCAGAAAGTCCTCACATGAGCTTTGGGGTCCAGTATTTTTACAGATGTTTCAGTCGACTAAAGTGATGAAAGGAGGAACAGACTGACAACTTTGCCATACAGAGAGCAAAAATATTGTTCTTTCCACTTTCTACAGTTGCATAATCTCAAGGTTTGTGAGTGAAGGTTAATGATAAAACAGTCAAGGCCTTAAACCTGTTTTTTCACTCACTGTTAGTTTTTCCTTTTGTATCCCATTTTCCACTCCAGAAGTGTTTTTGTTTACTCCATATTTTACAAACAGAAAAGCTGCATTATTATCAATATTAACAACAGTTCAGATTTCAATAATAACCTGTAAAAATCCGTTCCAGGACTCTGAAATAGACACAGCCGAATGGAAATCAGCCACCATCAATCTATCATTAACTCCTGTGCAGCTCCTCCCGTGAGATGTCATGATAACTTACTCTTACAGACAAAGAGCTATAAGTAACACCACAGGAAGTGGAGGTTGACAGGGTCAGCGTGAGTATGAAGATAGGTATGATGCTCATGGGATCGTTGTAAGATTTCGACTCTAATCATGGATATTCCTCCACAAAACCACCAGTGGATTCATTATAAGAAACACATGCTGTGCGCACACATACTTTATAACCCACACAACTCCAGTTTAAATTCCACTAGGGGTCCCGGAGGTTCTGTGTGCCAGCATGAAATTTACAGAAATGTTGTATGCTTTAATTGTTGTAACCTGCTCCTCCATATCAACATAATGTAATGTGCTGTATGTTCAACTTAAGGCATGCATTGATTAGTGCTGGGGTTAAAACATATTTACATAAGCAGACAGGGAAAGGTGTTTTCAATTCAAAGCCGCTCAAGAGGACATTTATGGGACAGCCCATAAGGTTTAAGCTGTTAAAAAAAGGACACAAGGGAAGAAAGGGGAGTTTACCTACCATAAATTGCAGTTCTCTTTGTATGTTTGTCCAGAAAAGAACCTGTTTCCATTTCTTTCACAGGTGCCTGCATGTGGGGAGAGAAAGAGGAGCAGCTTTATCTAAATATAACAGAGATACTACCATGATCTGCTTTCAATATAAAGATGCACTCAGGATGAACGCCAAACAGAAACACTGGCAAAACTTTTGCAGTTGCAATCAAAATGAAGAGCGTGTGTGTGTGTGTGTACACGAGTGCGTGCAGTGTGTGTAAGTGTGCAGGGAGAATATGTGAGGTCTAAGGAGCTCTGAGCTCCAGTAATCCAGTGTAGGAATGTGGCGTTAGCGTCTTTCCTGCCTTCCCAGGCTTCTTGGGCCCTCGTCATGCTCTAAACAGCTTACACTAACGCTTCACCACCTCAGGAGAAACTAAAGAAGAGGGGACACAAAAGCGGCTCCTATATTACATGCATTATTAAGCAGCTAAAAAGAATTTTATTTGAGAGCAACCTCATTCACACAGCAGCTAATTTACTCAGACGCCACACTCGGGGCGGAACGCTGCAAAAGCTGGTGTTTAATATTGAGCTGCTGTGTTTGGGGTGTGAGAGGAGCAGCTGGTAATCCTTATCATTTCACAGACTCCCATCTGATCAGTGACACCACAGATGGTTCATACTGAGAGTGAAATGTGGCACTGAGTCTTAATTCAGCATTACTTTGGCAGGAACTATTTTTTCTATCATGCAATACTACAAAAAGTAACACTAGAAACGATACTTAAGACAATAGTATGTTTAAAACAGTTCAAATATCTCTTAAAAAATAGTGAAATGCCCTTTAAAATCATGTTTAACATTGAATTGTTGCTTTATTCAGCAAAAGAGCTCTGCTTGTTTACACACTGTGGAAACTGCATCAACTTGGCGACAGTTTCCCGATGAGGTTTATCTTAGAGGTGATTTACAGTGAAAGATGCTGTCAGTGTGAGTTTCATTTTGGAATTTGGGGCATAAGCTGGCTGAGGATTTACAGTGAGTGTGCACAGGTTTCTTTTCCCTCTAGTGTGAGGCCCAGAGCTGAGAGTGTGATTTATGGCAGAGGCCCTCTGATACCACATCCCCTCTGTCACAGCTGTCTCACAGTGTCTATCACTCCTTCGTCACTGCAGAGCTGCAGAAAAGTTACACATTGACTGTGGAGGAATTTTTATGGAGAGGGGGGCGTCTGTAAACCTGAGAGTGGTTTCATGTAATATGTTCAGAGTCTCTGCGAGCATACTCTTATTCCCACCTTGTCATCTAGTGAAATGTACCTGCAATCTGCCTCCCATCCTGCACCCGCTGTCTGCATCTCCTCCTCCTCCTCCTCCTCCTCCTTCCTCTACATAGTCCACATTCTTTCTTCTGACCTCCATTCATCCCTCCATCCACCCCTCCGCCCTCCCTCTGTCTGGGCTAATAAGAAGCCTACTGTTCCCTGCTCTGTTCTCAGGTAGGTCTCTGCTGTTGTTGGCACATTTAACACCCCTGCTTCGAAAGAGGGACTGGCACTATGACTGCGTGGGATGTCAATGCATTGTTGGACAACCTTAACATATAGCTTGCCAAGGAAAGAAAGCTCCAATAGACACAAGTGAGTCATGGGTCAAAAAGGGAAATAAACTGTCTGTTCAAGTGGTCTTCACCTGTTCCCCTAAGATTGAAAACTTGGCTCAATTTCACTTCTTTCTAGAGTTGCTAAAACATATTCTCAGGGGGGATTGGGGGGGAGTGTACGCCTGCAGATGTAATTATTCCTTAATCCCCAGTATGTGTCTCTCTTCTTGGTTAAAAAGGAAGCAGTAACACACAGAAACTGTAATTAATTTTTAGGCATCCTGCTGCTTTGCACTGTGATCCAGAGCATAGTCTGTCAGCGGGGTGTCTGTGCAGCACTCTGAATGATTTTAACTCACTCCGACAGGCCCACACACCCTCTTACAAAGCCCACTAATGCACATACAAACACACTTACACATAAGCCTCTGCACCTTTCGCTTACCAATAAAAGGAGGCTGTACGCCTAAACAATGACCCCAGAAGTCAGGGCAGCAATCGGACACAGTGCGGTTGCAGAACAGGTCACAGTAGCAGATTGTGTCCAGGTAAGGCACCGTGCACATGTCGTCTCTGCCCGGACAGCAGCCTCCTCTCCTCTGGCAGTACGAGCCGAATGGGTCCCTGATGCCGCCGACATGGAGCGGACTTGCAAGTTCTCTTTTGGTTCTTCTGGACAGGATTCTGTCTGCAGTACTTCCTTCCACCACCAGGAGCAGCGTTGCCACAGACAACAGGAGGAACCTCATGGTAAATCTGTGCAAAGGACAGAGATAGGGAGTTGGATAGGAACACTAAAGCACACTGAAATGATGAAGTGGAAACATGACAGTGAAAGTTAACCTGATTTTCATGCTTCACAGGCTGAGAGGTGAAGAGGTTGCTCTGTGAGGAGCAGAAATAGGTTAAGACTGCTGCCAACTCACCATCCTAACCCCTGCTAATTCACACACACACTTACTATTACACTCTCAGTAACACACACACACTCAGAAGATACATTAAAACAGTGTTTGTGGAGAATGGTCCAAATAAAGCCCACATTATCCTTAGAGATGATCTGCTTATTTTTTTCGAATTTTCCTCTGAAGCAGCCAAGCCAAACAGCAGCTAAATATGAAAATGCACTTAGCAAGACTGCGATGGAAAAGACACAGAGGTCTGTAAAAATGCTGAGGCACGTATGATCAGGTCACCTTAGGTCTTAGGGTTAGGGGTTTCCTGCTCCCTTGTTTTAACTCTCAAGTGAATTAATGTCATTCTAATTTTGTTTATCTGTGATTAGAGCTGGTATTCAGTCCAAGCTGCGGGGTTATTATTTTAACCAATGCAACACTGTTTGCTTTGCATTAACATATGACTCTATCTTCCCGATGATCACCGCATAATTCAATCATTTTCAATTTAATATAATCCCACTGGTGCAGTTTCCAGTGTGAGGTAGGGGACACTATCACCCAAGATTAGCATCTTATACCAGGCACAGAAATAAGGTCCTGCTGTCAGAAATAATCACTCACACTGGAGGGAAATATCCAGGGTGGACAAACACTCCGCATTTATTATTAATAAAGGCCAACAATAGCCGAGACAATAAAGTTTATCTTAACGCCAAGCAGGGGTGTGGTGACAGCACAGGCAGAGGGGAACATACACACTTAATGTCTGTTTAATGCAGTCAGGAAGTAATGTGATCAAATCTGGACTCCAGCTGGTGATTAAGGAGGGTCTGTGGGTCAAACTCTGGTACAACACAACAGGCAGTAACGTCTATATTTATAACTTTGCGTGACCATGATGACCCATTAATCCTCAGTTTGGCTCCTTGTGTTATTTTATTTTGTTTTCAAGTTGTGTGTTAAATGAGTATTTTTAGGGTATTTTAGGGCCATAATGATCACAGGGGGACGTCTGATTTGATGTATTGACATTTAACCCAATGTCTAAAGTTTGACTTTATTTCTGGTGCTGTGCTTGGATCATGTTTGCTCGTTATTTTAATGCATTAAGTTGAATTGAAACAGGACAGCAGTGTCGCTCATATATTTCCTCCATTGCCTGTGGATTTCCTCTAATTATCTTGTTATATAACCACACGTACTCTCTGTGTAACCCGCTAAATGACCGGCCTCAGCGTGTGTGAGCCACAAACAAGCATCCAACTCTCACTTCAACGCTTAACAAAGGTCAAACAATAATCCTCATGTACTGCTGTGTGAGTGTGGGAGTGTGCTGGTCTCAGGTTACCAGATGGATAGGTCTATGTAAGAGGGGGACAAAGACAGGGGTCGGCCTGCTGCTTACATAAATAGCATCATTAATTAACCAATCAGATCCCAGAGTATAATGAAGGCTGCACATAAAGCGGGGACTCCGGAAAAAGATCTTTGCTCTGCTGTTTTCTGCATGACTGTGCCTTTAGTTGAAACTGCACACACACACACACAGCCCACACACACACACATGCACACACTGGAGCATATGGCAGCATGGGATGGGCAAGTCTCCTCCTTCACACAAGTGTTTTGTTGTGGCAGACTCTGAGCAGCAGTGCAATAAAACACCCACCAGTCTGTTCGATGAGCTGCTGAGGCCTGCAGGTCAAACTGTGAGTGTGAAAATAAAACACAAGTGCTGATTGCGCTGGCTGCTGACTGCACCCTGATCAATAACTCTCCAAAGCAACTTAGTGACTTAAACACTCACAACATAAACAACATGAGGGCCTTAAAGAGCTGTCGAGTCACTAATCAAAGCTTAACTAGCCTGGAAGACTCGTTATTTGAACTACATCAACAAAATCAGATAAATGAGGTTGTTTCTGGTACAAAGCAGCAGTTGTCAAATGTTTTAACTCACAATACAATGATGTCTCAGCACCTCTTCGCCTGATGAAACCGGGGTTTACAGCATGTCACAGAGGCGGCCATATGGCCCATCAGAGCTGCAGACAGCTGCAACCAGACTACTGATCCCACACCGCAGATAAACCATTAGCATGAGATACCACACAGGAACACACAAATACACACAGACACACAGTATCATATGAAGTCAGACACCATCATAATTTCTAATAATATTCAAACGTATTTTTTATCTACAGGTCAAGTCCTGTGACTACATTTTTTTTGAGACGGCACTGCCACATAAAACCTGTTTGTCATGCTTTTATTTTGAAAAATACAACCTCTACTAGATCATAACTTTTGAAACTAAAAGAAAACTATTGCTTTCACTCTTTAAAAGTACAAATTTTCAACTAATAAGTACCCCAAAGCAGCATCAGCTCTGAAATAGTTTTTGAATGTGCCGAATCATCTCTCACTACAGCTGCTACAGCTAGCTTGCGAGCAGCTGCTATTTTTTATATATCTCTTCTCTGCAATTATCAACTGACAATATTACCTGATGTATATTTTTGGACCGTGATTAATTGAATAATCAATTAATTCTTTTAAAAAATGGTTATAATCAATACAACAGTCCTTATACAGATGCAACTGTGCACATGGAAATCACACAGTGGAAGTTTTTGAACTTGAAGGACCCTTTCTGAACCCAGCAATATAGTGAGTCTCATGAAAATATAGGAAAATAATGGGTTAGTGCACCCTGCCTGTCTTGAATTAAGTTGATACCAACATTGATTTATTTGTTTAGGACCACTTGGCATAGAAAGTGTCCAAATAAGTTGTAAAAAAAGGGGGTGTCAATATTGGATACCGATACCGATACTTGTAACAATGCAGAGTATTGCATTTACATTAAAAAAGGGGGAAAGAAAAAAAATACGTCAAAATGTAGAGAAAAAAAAGTAATATTAAAAATAATACTGCATACCCCAATATAAAACGTTGCTTAAATGCCTTGAGCAAACAAAACCGAAAGATTCAATATCACAGCAGTAAACAGGTTACCAGATACACCTATTATGTCACACCACTGTGTAGATTTGTAGACAGGGCATTATGTGAGAAAAAGGGGCCCAAGAAAACAGACCCCAGCAGAACCAAAGTTGTGCACTTCAAAAAAAAGTATCTTATGAGGCATTTGTGAAATAAAAAGCTGATACAGATTCAGCCGAATGACAGATATCAGCCAAGGCAGCTCACCGGTCTATCCCTGATGTTGATAAACACAAACCTGAATTTTGAACCCTTAAAAACCACCAAATGCTAAAATGGCTCAAAATAAAAGTTTTTCAGGGCTGCAAATACTAGAACATATAAATGTGCACACCTTGCATTTGAAGAAATATCATTTCCTACACAGGGAAAGAACCTGCATGGCAACGAGAGGTAAGCAACATGCAACACTGGGTGAGCCAATCCTCACATACCCCCCTTTTTCCTCATGACTCCACCGCTTTCCTGAACTTTCTTGCACAGCTGAACTCAAGATATCTGTGCACCACCCACCAGATAATTCAGGCATCTTGGCTCAGAGTGAGTCTGTACAAAAGGCCTTTCAGCTCCGTTTCCCTCTGTGACACACAGTCCTTCACTTTGTATCTGTCAGGATTTACTTTCCACAACACAGAATAGAGTGAGTTCAAAGAGATCATACAGGTGTCATATGTAGTGGGTATAACAGGTGAATTATAGTAAAACCTGTCCTCTGTGCTTGTTGAGTCTCATTGTGGAGCAGACACACTTTCAATGAACTCAACAACCTTTGGAGGGAAAAAAAACACAGTTTCCCATTCATATTCTCAGAGCTATTTATAACATGCTGAATATTGTGTTCTGCAATCGCACACCCAGAAGGTAAATATGCTGTAAGAGAAAGGCCCTGACAAACTTCTGTTTTCTTCTTTGGATAAATACAGAAAAAAAAGTGGTTCAAATATCAGAGAAGAAATAAGGGTGAGCAAACAAATGATTGAAAAGAACCTGGAGAGAGAGATATTCCTGGTAACGTGAGATCTGTATAACCACGCTGCACCTGCCTGGAATAAAAGAAAGCTGAAAAAGTGAGAGTTAAGAAAGTCAAAACAGTCTTCACCTCGGGCTGACGGAGAAATCCTGCTTTTGTAATCCGATCAAATCCTGAAGAGTGTGATTCAAAAAGTTTCTCAGGGAGTCATTCACAGGTGGACGCTGCTGGGGTAAAAGGTCAGTCTCTGTCTCTCTTTCCCTCCTTCCCTCTCTTACAGGATCTGCTCTGTTACACTCTGTCTTCTCTATATACAGGCAGACGGCAGGAGCTAACCACTCCTCCCTCCCTCTGCCCACCCCCCCTCTAGTCTCAGCCCCGTGTCCCCAGCTCAAATCTGTGCTCTCTCTCTCTCTCTCTCTCTGTCTCTCTCTCTCTCTCTCTCTCTCTCTCTCTCTCTCTCTCTCTCTCTCTCTCTCTCACTCACACTCACACACTCCAGCAGGTTTGCTATCTCTGTGCCTTTCCTGTCTTTATCAAACTTAAGCTTTAAATCTGAAAGTGAAATAGTTGAGCGTCTTCTTCTACTTCTTCTGTCCTCTGACACTTTCCCTAACATCAGTTTCCCCTCCACTATCTCTGTGTGTGTGTGTGTGTGTGTGTTTGTGTTTTTAACCCCTCAGGGTCAAATCTGCTTCTGTGTCTGTGATTCCTGCTGACCTCTTCACCTCCATCTAGTGGTCACAGACTGCACTCTCAACCACAGCCAGCCAGGAATCATGAGATAATCCGTGGAAGACCTTCTAGAAAGTTCTAAACTGGTCCCTGGAGTAGAGGTTTTGGCAGGTGTTTCAGAGAGACCAAATACTCAGGCTGCACCAAATCTTCTGCATGTTTTCTTCATTTATGATCCACGTCTTAAACCTGTTTATGTCATTTGCTTCTGTTTGTATCTGCATCTCTCCAGCAAGGATGGAGTCGGTTTCATAATTTAACAAACCTGAATTAAAAAACTTTATAAGTCACTTTTCTGATGCAAAAATACACAAAAACAAAATGAAATTTCAACCATCATTCCTTAAAATGTGTATCATTTGATTCCTTCATTGTGTTCTTCTGAATGAAGAAGCTAAAATGTGTTAAAGACACTACTTTGGTGGTCCCCCAGACACAGCTGTGCCACAGGTCCCCCCTCTGAGCGGATCAATAAGCTAAAGGCTGAATCAATAACTTTGAGGGAGTGGAGGAGGGCAGTGGGGGCGGGGCTTAATTGACATCTCAGGACAAAGGCGAACACTGCCGAAATAGAGGTGTTTAAAAGTCAGAAAATTGAATAGGTGCCTGGGTCACATCCGAGCAAACGCCCATTATGAACAATTTCTGCATGAGAAGAAACTCTGGGATTTAAGAGCAAAAATATGGACACACACGAATTGTCCAAATTAAAGCTCCTGTGAGGAACTTTCTGTTTATGTCAGATATATCATCAGAAATGTCTCAGAGACATTCCAGAGTATGCGGGTCTCATTCTTGCAAAGCTATAATTATGGCTCTTACACCTCTTATACAACTCCTGCAGAAAGGTGCTCCAGCCTGTGTTTACAGTGTTTTATTGTCCCCACCCTCTAAGTCACTTCACCTTAGACTGGAGTTTGATTTAGTTGCACTAAGATGTAAAGAATGCTGAAAATACTGTCAGTAAATGAGTCATGTGTAGAAGCGTATGGCTATGATGCTTCACTGACAGTAAATGCACAAGTGTTTGATTGTAGCCATACGTAGGAGAAGGTCTGTGTTTGTGTGTTTGTGTGTGCGAGGACCCTCCGTTTATCTCTAATAGACCCCTGAATCAGAGGAGGAAGTCACCAGACCAGGCACCAACGTGTGTGATTCATTTCCACTGAATCACCTCTGATAGCTGTTAGAAATATGTTTCACAAGATCTGTAGGCGGTGTGTCGTAACACTGGCTGTACGTTTAATGTGTCGGAGCGTAGGCCCGACCCTGCCTTCAGTGACTCAGGCCTCAGTGACCCCCTCCAGATGTTCAAACATGACACTGGCTTGTTCAGGGCAGCAGCAGAAAAGAGGAACCAGACGTCAGATCAGCAGCGCTTCTGTTTGTGAGGTAATTTCTCAGAAACAGACCCAGCCGAGGAGGCCGGGGACACACACTGAAACAATAGGGGCTATACATGCGCACATACACCGAGAGGCCTCAGGCGGAGCAGCACAGACGCTCACATGCCCACATATATTCAAAGATGTATGCGCTCACAGATGTGGTTTAAAGAGGACATTTAGCTTGAAAAAGTCAAATTCAATAACTGTTTTAGAGAGCTGACTCATAAATCCATATCAGAGCGAGACCATAAAAGATCAACAACATGGTCCCACTGAGGTCATCCTTTGGTTTCTCAATGGATGTTTTGTCGCCCGTCAGTGGTGGGCACCACACTGGAAATGCTGACTCAACTTTCAATTGACTTTTTGAATTTCATTGATTCTGATAACATAGTTTGACCATATTCTGAATCCTCAAAAAGAGGACACAATTACTCTAGGGTGGAGTCACAGAGTCGCACAAAGTTAATTTTGAGAGTTTTTCAGGTCAGACCGAGTGTGTTGTACACGCTTCTAACTCAGTATGTGACACAAATTCGAAACTTCCATACAAAACCCCCGACATTTGAAGGGTTTTATAAACTTCCCTGGACAAAGTGGGCAAGCCCCACAGCCCCCAACAAAGAGAGGACATGTCTGGGTAAAAGAGGACGTATGTTCACCCTATATATGATCACCCTGACATTACAGACCCCACACATGATGACCATTGAGTGGATAGTTTCTAAGGATGCAATAAACAAAGCACTCCACTCTCATAAAGACTCCTTACGCCAGCAGATAAAGTCCCGACTCTCCTACCCGGGAATCTTGTCAGGTCTCTTGTGATCAAACGTGATTTTAGAGTAAAAAACATGGCTGACTATGGAAGCTAACTGTTGCTAGCTGCTTAACTTCCAGGAAGCGTGCTCTAGGGTCTTTTTTCATGTGGGCCTATAGCCACAGTTGTGCCCCTATAACACGATGCATGCTGTAAGAGAACCGTGCCAACGTTGGGCCTGATTCTCCTTCCAACAAAAGTTTGCAGAGGCCCGATTATCAGATGACTCTGAATGTTATCTCTTTAGATCATCTTGTGGTGTGAGGTGTGTAAGAAGTGATATTTCTTCACTCTGATCTGCATGGACAACAATCAGAGCTGTCCCAACATGAAGTTGTCAGTTTTAATGGTGTTCAGTAGCAGGTCATCTAACACCTGCAGGTCATCTACCCTGCTGCACTGATTTCAGACAGTAAAAAGAACCATGTAGAAGTGCTCAGTTTTCTTGCTGATGGTCTGTTTTGCAGAGCTTTACTTTAATCTGTTTCATAACTAACTTAAAACTCCTCACATGAGCTTAAAATGTGTTAAATTAGGATACTGAGAAATATCAAGCATCAAGATGAGACATGACAGAACCTCAGCGTGGGCACAACACCCACAGTCAAACACACTCTCATCCAGAGGAACAATCCCTCTCTTTCTCCTAACCGTCACAGTCCTCCCATGATCCCATGCATCGCAGGCGGGGATTCCAGCTGCACTGTGTCAGGGTGGAGGAGTGGTAGACGCATCCATCTTCATCTCTCTAGTGTATTTCCTGTTCCAGGAACATGCAGGACCTGGTGGTAAACAAGGATGAGCTGACAGGAGGCACGTGGCATCAGCGACTCCTCGGGATGTTGTTTTACAGCAGAGAGCAGCAGGTGTATGAAAAATGACCCCTGTGTGTTTGTGTCGAGGAGAAGTCCAGATATTAGAGTTTCTTTGGACGGTTTGGCCCTTCTTTTCTGCAGCTGGACCTGTGACACTCAACAGTTTTGTTTTTGACAACAGCCTCAAGCCTCAAACCAGATAACTTTGACACAAAAGGAACATGAGACACCTCTATTCTTACTTAAATCCTCTCTCATACCTCCAGTTTCAGGCTCAGTTTCTATCACCATGAGGAAAAACAGGTCCTAAGTTTTGCTTTTGTTCTGCATATCTCTGAAATAAAACACCTCAAAGAGTCCGACGGTAATACAGGGGGTATAGAAACCCAAATAAGTAGATTTGAAACCAGACTGTGAAGCAAAAACAATCATATAAGCTGTGCAAACAGATTAATTATTTTTGAATCAATAAAATCATCTCTGATTCAGCATTTCCAGTCTTCTTGTTTTTTTTACTTTAGTTGGTAATAAGCAGGATGATGTATACTGAGCAGGTGGTCATGACAATGAGACTCTGGAGTGAATGCTATCTTCAACAGGAGAGATCATTTAATGTTGCATATAAACCCAGAACAGACATTTTTCTGTTGATGCCGACACACATTCACCATCATGAGATGAGAAAGTAGATTGCTCAGCATGATACCAGGATGTCAGTCCTTCCAAAGGTCAGTCCGTCTGCTACCTCGACTTCGACCACCCTCGCATGTCTGTCACCTCAGGTCCATATTGATTGTGAAAGTGCAGACTTGCAGATTGATTACTGCTGACAAGGAAATGACAGATCCTGAATCACTGGAAAAAACTGAAGAGCTGAAAAATCTTTGAAGACAAGATATGTCAGCGAAAATTCAACAAAGACTCTGATTGTTCAGATCTTAAACTACAAGCTCAGCTGCTGCGAAGTTGAATCTGAACCATAGTGGATATATAAGGTGTGTGCAAATCAGATGCCTTTTAATTAGTGATGCGTCGGTCGCGAACGAACCAGTTCAAAGAGCTCTTTCACATGAACAATGGGAGCCGGTTCACATCTTTGAGCGTTTTTTTTTTTTTCTCCCTTTTTTTCCCTACAGACCGTAGAAAAAAACTACAAGGCACCATGACGGGATTTATATTTGCCTGATTTCTATCTAGCAGACTGGTTCTACAAGCAAGTCAGTGCATTCATTGGGTGGTTTCAGAGAGTTACAAGGGTCTATAAATGCAATGAAACAAATGGCTACAGCAATTTACTGATATTAGAAAATGTAATTTTTACTTGTGAATACTTCAGTACAAAGGACGTATTGAATTATTTAAGAGGTATGTGTACACATAAGTACATATCATAAGCCAAACAATGCTAAATTTGGCTGATTAAAAAATGTATAAGTGGTAAAATGAAGAGTCGTTTGGGAGCTGAGCCAAATAATCTGGCTCACTAAAAAGAGCCGTAATTCCCATCACTACTTTTAATGTTTCCAT